TAATATATAAATTAAATTATTTAAGTAATTATAATAATTATTAATAAGATTATTTTATGGTTTTTTTTCAAATCAGTAAATAAAATCCGGTTTTAATAAAGCCTACTGGAAGCTATTACAGGCAGTTAAATATTTTAAATAAAATATTATAAGTTATTATTTTTATTAAAAAAGAAAAGCTCTGAAGAAGATATATAAATATACTGTATATAAATATTATAAAATAGTCTACTGCCAGTAAATTACTGATATTAATAATATAAAATCTGTATGGAAGACTATATAAAAAATAAAAAAATAAGATTAAAAAATATATTAAATTTATATATTTTTATTTAATATTCTGAATAGTATATGTTATTTTTTAGAAAAAAAATAATAATTTTAGTTATAGTCTTTTTTCTATCTCTATCAGTTATAAATTTTAATAATTTTTAAAATTTCTATTATTCAAAATCTCTGGAAGTCTCTTTATTTAATAAATATAAAATTTATTAAATAATTAAAGTATTTAAACTGAATAAGGTCCCTGGATTAGATATTATTTTTAATTATATATTATAAATTATAATAAAGATTCTGGTTTCTATACTGATAAGATTTTATAATTATTATATTAAAATCAGCTATTATTCTATATATTTTTATAAGATTAAAATAGTTATTCTCTATAAGCCCGGCAAGTCTGATTATTCTATTAAATATATTTAATAAAATTATAAAAAGTCCTGCTGATTAACTGTTTAAATTATTTTATTAAAATTTATAAACTTCTTCTAAATAACTACTTCAGTAAATAAAAGAAGTAAGATACTGAGACAGTTTTATATATAATATTTAAAATTATATATATTGAATAAAAAATTAGAAATATAGTTTCTATTTTATTTTTAAATATTTTTAAAATCTTTAATAATATATTTTATAAACAGCTGCTGTATAATCTCCGGAAATATCAGATATTTTTAATTTATATTAAATGAGTTTATAACTTTTTTAATAATAGTATACTATCTTTATTCTTCTAGAATATATAATATTATATATACTGGTTAATACAGATATTTCTTAGAAATTTCTACTATTTCTAATTTTATATATCTTTTATAATATAAATATCATGACCCAGGAAAACTTCTTGAATAATATAAATAATATTAAATATATAGATAATACTATCTTAATTATATAGAAATCTATAAAATAAAGAAATTATAAGATCCTGGCCTGGAAATATAATAATAATCTACTATAATAATTAAAAATATATATATTAGTTTTTAAACTTTTAAAGTTTTAATTTATTTATTTTTATTTTTTATAAGTAAAAACCTGCAGTCCCAGAAATANCTTTTATAATAATTTTTAAATTCTATAAAATACTTCTTATTTTTAAAGACTAGATAATCTTTACTTAAAAATCAGCTAAGCTATTTAAAGTTATTTTTAATAAATATCTTATTTTTATAAAATATTTTATTAATATTAATATAATTATTATAAAATATATATAGATTATTATAATACTTAGAAAATTAAAATACGGTCTTTATCTGCAAAATCTATAATATATATAGTATTAATCTGGTACATCCCCCTAATCCGCAGGATTAAATAATATTATAATAAGGAAATTTAGATTTTAATAATTTTTTAGAAATATACTGATAAACTGATCTCCGAAGACTTTTATATAATTAATAAAATAGTTTATAATATAAAGCTATATCTACTGCTAATAATAAAATAATTATAAATTTAATAAATCTAAGTTTTAAACTAGATTATTAGTATTTCTATATATATAAGTATTCTGGATTATTATTATTATTATTATTTAAATTTTTTATTACAGAGTCTACTAGAGCTTATAAAAAAAGAGATTCTATTGATTATAAATATTAATATATAAAAGCTTAAGATATATTTTTTAAAAATAATTTTTTTATAATAATAATTTCTAGAAATATATATTCCCAGAGATAAAAGTTATTTAATTATAGAATATAGTATATAGAAGCTGATTAATTCCAAAATTACTTAAATTTATATAAATAATTCTAGTATTAATAGATATATAAATACAGCTACAGTATATTTAGATTATTTATCAATTTAATAAATTTATTTTAATATATAGATTAAATTTAATATATTAATTATAGAAATAATTAATTTATTATCAATTTTATAATTAATCAGAAATCTAGCTTTTTTATAAAATAAATAAAATTTAGTTATATCAACAGCAGCTAACTAATTCTATATAAAAATATATTTAAATAATTAAAAAATATTAAAGATATTATTATACTCTGTACAGACTTCTAACCAGTATCTGTTATTAAAAATAATTAAACTATATAATAAATTAATATAAATTTTTAATATTTAATATTATTAGATCACAGTTTATCTAGGAATCATTAATAATGAATTTACAGATTTTAAAATTAAAAAAACCACAGACTGGCGGGAGCCTAAGCTGGTAAATATAATAAATTTTCTAATTTAAATTTAATTAGAGATTTTATTAGAGAGTCTGCTGGAAACTTTAATATTTCCAGTTATATTAATTAAATCTTATACTTTGACGCGGGTTCTGCTAGATATCTAAATTTAAAAAAAATTATAAAAATAAAATAGTTAAAAAATTAGAAATATTTTTTATATAAATATTATTTATACCAGCTACTGCTGGAGCTGATATCTCAGAATATAATTCTATATAATAATTTTTTTTTAATTGAAAGAAGTATTATCATATAATTCTATATAAAAAAATTAAATTTAATATATATTTTTATAATATCTGATAAATTAATATTAATAAATATTTATATAGAGTCCCGGAGATTATTCTTTATATATTAATTATATATAAAAAATATAATATACTTCAGCAGGAGATTTAAAATATAAAAAATACTAATATTTCTAATTCTACTATAGTTATTTAAAATCTGATTATACTTTTAAATTTTATAAATATTTTATTATTAAGATATATTTAATAACCAGCCTACTTTATATTATATATAAAAAGATTAATATATTTTAATAATTTTATTTTATTTATAAAAGCTTTTATTCCCGGGCTAGATTTTTAGTAATATCCAGCTGTAAAGAATTTTTATAAATAAAGCTATTCTACTACTTATATTTATTCATATATATTTTATATATTTTACGGGGGCACCGGGGCTTATTATTCTAGAATTTACTTTTAATATCTTAGTAAAGTAGACTTTTATTATTTTAATAAAATTATATAAGAAGCTGAAAATAAGATTATATAAATAGTAATAAGTAAGATAGCTGCCGGAAAGATAATTAATAAAATAATAAATAAAAAGTATTTAAAAAGTAATTAAATAGCAGTTAATAAAAGTTTTATAGATATTCAGATAAATAATTAAATAAAGTTTTAAGTAGATGTTTAGATAGATATTTAAGAATATAGATACTATAAAACAGAAGTAATAAACAGTATAAGATTAAATAAATAAGAGAAACGCGATATATAAGAAAATATAGAATATATAACAGAATATTATAGAAAGATACTAAATTAATAGGATAATATAAAGATCTATGAGAGCGACAGAGACAACAGATAGTAGAATTAAAGATAATTAGATTATATATATTATCTCTTTAATAGAATTAAGTCTGGCAGCTACCGCGAAGCTGTTATTTATATAATCTTATTAGTATAATAGAGAGGTGACTGTGTTTTCAGCTGAAAAGTCAGGCGGCGGTTATATAACTAGCTAAGAGCTTAAGACCTCTGGCGTGGCCCGCAAGGCGCCGAAACGGAGTAAGGAATGAAACAAACAAACAAACAAACAATTAAAATATTAATTTTAAATAATTATTTTATTATCATTTAAGGACTAAAACCAGAATTACTGAACATAAAATAAAGCTTTTTAATATTTATTTTAATAATGTTATGACAGTCAGACAGATATATCTTATAATTAATTATATATTACTAATAAAATATTAGTATATTAATTAATAAATAAGCTTATTATATACAGCTTTCTGTACTATTAATGAATTATAATAATAATAATAATATATAACTACTATTTAGACAAAGACTTTGTTAAAATATATTATATATTTATTAATAATATAAATTTTTTTTATTAAAGTTAATAAATATCATTTTTTTATTTTTATATTATAAAAAAATATACATAATATTAATCTAAAAATTTCATAAATTTAGTAATATTTCTGAATATACCAGCAGGTGTTTAAATATATTAAAAAATTTATAAATTTTTATTATTTTATAATTATCTTAATAATTATAATATTATCAATATAAAATAAATTTCTTTTTATTAAAAATATATTTAATCTTAAAAGCTTCCTGGACCTTTATAATTTTAGAACTAAAATATGTTATAAAAATATAAAAATAATATATATTTCAAAATTAATATAATTTAATTACTGTTTTATACACGGATTATAATTTATTAATTATATTTACATAATAATAATAATACTGGCCAGTCTCTCTATCTATTATAATAAAATAATAAGTATAATATAATCTGCTGGTAATTCAGAAATAGAATAAATATAATTAGATATTTAATTACTAAGGAAAAAAATAATAAGAATAATAAATAATTAATATAATAAGAATAATAAATAATTAATATAATAAGAATAATTAATAATTAAAATAACAATAAAAAGAAAAGAACGCAACGTCCATATAAAAAAAATTAAGATATAAAATTTTTTTTTATCTATTTCTTATCATTAAGACTCTATTGATATAAATATATTTAAATACTAATAAAGTTATATAGAAATAATATATAACTTTATTTATATTATATATTTTATAAATTTTTTATTTTTTATTATTAAATTTCTGCTATGCTAAATTAAAATATATATTAAATTATTTTTAATATCTGAGCCAGATGGCTTATTCCAGTTAAAAAAGAATATATTTATAGTAAAATAATTTATTTATCAGAAGTAAAGCTATTAAAATAATATATTATAGTAATTATGGAAATCATAAAATTATTAATAATAATTCTATAATTTTTTATTGTTTATAAATACTGATTTCCTTGTCTGGACTACTAATCTTGTAAAAGTCAGTTTATTTTATAGATATAGACTATCTTTATTATTATATAAATCTTTAGTGTTTAGTGGCTGATTCCTTACTTAATCGACAGGCTTTCTATTCTGACAAGTAGATCCTATTATATGGTATATATCTATATCACAAGAATCATATGGATACAAAACCTTACACTGATAGAAGATAGTTGAATGAAAGAGTAGCAGATATATAAGAAAGTAGCAGTAACACCAACAACAATATCCTAGGGGATTTCCCTTACAGTAGGTAGGTAGAGTAATTCAGAAAGTCAGACATGACTTTACCAGCGAGAAACTAGTGCTTTTTTCACAAGTAGTATCTTAAAAAGTATCCTTACATTACTGACCTCATCACAAATCTTACCCTGTCCCTTGAAAGCAAGGAATAGAAAGCAGTAAGGATAGTAGAGGCTTTGCTACAACAGGTCAAATATGCCACTGATGATAATCTTTCTGCACCCTGCCAGAGTATTTCTACTACCCAAATTTCTAAATACCAAAACAATGGATGTACAGTGTGAATTATAAGGCAGACGGAATGCTGCCCCAGCAATCAACATCAATTTCCATTGGCTCACCACATCCATCAATAGGCCCTTCTACTGTACCGCGGCCACTTGTAGTCGCGCTTGCGGCTGAGCTTTTGGTGATGTCCCGACCTTGCGTATGAAAATCCTGTCGACTTTTTCTAGCGCGCTCCCTTGTAGCTATCAGCGCTTTTCGTACATTATCATCCTCCTTAGGGATTGATAATGATGTAGGCTCGGTGTAAAGGACTAGCTCATTGCACGGGCTTGTAGTATTTGCAACCAATAACTTCGGGATAGTTGACATCCGGTCAGCAACTCCGGGAAAGATCTCAAGACCGTTATCCTTTTGTTCAATATCCTCTAGTTCTCTGTCAAGATCATGTATATAGATGATATCCTTGGTATCGTCCAATAACATTGTATCAGGATGGACGGAAGCAGGAAGCCTCCTATCATTGATGTCATATTCGGAGGTTATGGTATCTTATCAAGCAAATGAGTTCAAATCAGATCCAGTGACTCTCATACAATGGTAATGGAGAATGCAGATAATAGGATAGATGGTACAGAAACATACTGATATGCAACCGACCGAATCTCTTTGCCAGAGGCTGATCCCCCTCAGGGTAACTGTCTGCGGGGCGCTTCTTCCCGTGATTGATTTCCTCACCAGCATGTGCCATCAGCCACACAACCAGTGACCTTTATTTCCTTCCCCTTTCTTGGTGGATGAGGGAATTAGACCTGGTAATCGGATTATATATTAAATATGGTACTGCACATGACAGTGTGAATTTTCAAATTAAGTAAAACTGGATGTTACAACCGACGAGTCGCTTGATGCGTATTCATAGGTTCATAAAGGAGGGGGAACTGGCTTTGACTCATCTATCTTCACCTTTTAGGTCGCAACCCAGAACATTCTACCACCTTCACACTCCCCCACTCCCAAATATTCCGCCTGCAAGAACCATCACAAGACCATTCAGTATGGCTTCAGATAATGATCCTAAGTTGGAATGGACCTCCAAACGTGTCCGTGATACGTTCCTTCAATATTTCAAGGAAAATGGCCACACTTTCGGTAAGTATTTTTTTTGAGACAGTTTCTCGGTCAGAACTGATTATAATTAAAATTGGCAGTTGCCTCGTCTCCCGTTGTTCCCCATTCTGATCCAACATTGTTATTTACGAACGCTGGAATGAATCAGTTCAAATCAATCTTTCTAGGAACGGTGGATCCTCACTCTGATTTCGCAAACCTGAAAAGTGCAGTCAACTCTCAAAAGGTCAGTACTTCAATCCTACCGGTTTCAGCTAGTTCTAACACAACCCGTAGTGCATTCGTGCTGGAGGAAAGCATAATGTAAGTGTAATGCGCATGGTCGCTACCAGAAAAAAAAAAGGATTAAATCAAGAGACCTGAGCGTCTACTAATTCTTGCGAACGTAGGACCTCGACGACGTGGGCAAGGATAGCTATCATCATGTGAGGAAAGCCACCAAATCAATAATGGCTTTTATGATGCTAACACGGAAATGGTTACTAGACTTTCTTTGAAATGCTCGGGAACTGGAGTTTTGGGGACTATTTCAAAAAGGATGCGATTCGCTATTCCTGGGAATTGTTAACCAAGATTTACGGTTTAGATCCCAGACGTCTCTATGTTACCTATTTCGAAGGGAACAAGGAAGGTGGTCTAGAGCCAGATCTCGAGGCCAAAGATCTGTGGAAGGCCGTTGGCGTTCCGGAGGATCATATTCTCCCAGGCAACATGAAGGACAATTTCTGGGAGATGGGTGATCAAGGCCCATGTGGCCCTTGCAGCGAGATTCACTATGACCGAATCGGTGGACGTAATGCTGCCCATCTGGTCAATCAAGATGACCCAAATGTATTGGAAATTTGGAACAACGTCTTCATCCAATACAATCGTGAAACGGATCGATCCCTGCGGCCGTTGCCCAACAAGCATGTCGACACCGGAATGGGATTTGAGAGGTTGGTGTCTGTCTTGCAAAATAAGTCGTCAAACTACGATACAGATGTGTTCACTCCCATATTCCAGACCATTCGAGATGTTACCGGAGCTAGGGAATACCGTGGATGCTTCGGTAGTGATGACGCTGATGGTATTGATACTGCCTATCGTGTCATAGCGGATCATGTTCGGACCTTGATGTTTGCTATCTCAGACGGTGCGGTCCCAAATAATGATGGCCGCGGCTATGTCATCCGTCGTGTTCTCCGTAGGGGTGCTCGATATGCCAGAAAATACTTCGGTGTCGAGATTGGCAATTTCTTCTCAAAGATCGTCCCAACAGTCGTCGATCAACTGGGCGATATGTTTCCAGAACTGAGAAGGAAACAACCCGACGTTATGGAAATCTTAGACGAAGAAGAGATGTCATTTGCTAAGACTTTGGATCGCGGCGAGCGGCAATTTGAGCATTATGCCCAGCAGGCTAAGGCGAAGGGGGCTGATAAATTGCACGGCGCCGATGTCTGGAGGCTCTATGACACGTTCGGATTCCCGGTTGACCTTACTCGTATAATGGCAGAAGAACGGGGATTACAGATCGATGACCGAGAGTTCGAGGAAGCGCGTTCGCGAGCGAAAGAAGCAAGCAGAGGCCAGAAGAAAACTTCCGCTGAAACAGTGAAGTTGGACGTTCATGATCTGGGCAAGCTCGAAGCCATGAACGACGTCCCCAAGACTGATGATACTGCTAAGTTTGGAAAGGGTAATATTACCGCCCAAGTAAAGGCCATATACCACGGCAAGACGTTCCACTCATCTACGGACGAGGTGCCCGACGGCGAGCAACTTGGAATTATTCTTGACCGGACGAACTTCTACGCTGAACAGGGTGGACAAGAGAATGACACGGGTAAAATTGTTATCGATGGACAATCCGAGCTTGAAGTAGGTGATGTTCAGCTTTATGCTGGATACGTCCTGCATACTGGTTTCATGAAATATGGCTCCTTCTCGGTAGGTGATACTGTCATCTGCGAATATGATGAACTGCGTCGTTGGCCGATCAGAAACAACCACACCGGAACTCATATTCTCAACTTTGCGCTCAGAACAGTCTTAGGGGACGGTGTGGAGCAAAAAGGTTCCCTTGTCGCAGCGGAGAAGCTGAGATTCGACTTCTCTCACAAGTCTGCTATTTCGGACAAGGATCTGGCTCGGATTGAAGAAATTTCGACTGAGTATATTCGACAAAACTGCACTGTTTACTCTCAAGAACTCCCTCTTGCAACAGCCCGGGAGATCTCTGGAGTTCGTGCTGTATTTGGAGAGACTTATCCTGACCCGGTCCGCGTTGTCTCCGTTGGTGTGGAGCTGGGTGAGATACTCCAGAACGTGAAGGATCCGCGGTGGAAAGAGGTCAGCATTGAGTTTTGTGGGGGTACTCATGTTCAGAAGACAGGAGACATCAAGGATCTCATTGTTCTAGAAGAGGGCGGTATCGCCAAGGGCATCCGCAGAATTATCGCTGTGACCGGCGAAGATGCGCATGAAGTGCAGCGTTTGGCAGCGGAATTCCAAAAACGGCTCGATCTTCTAGAAGCAATGCCCCTAACTCCAGAGAAAGAGAAGGAAGCAAAGCAGATCCAGGCCGAGCTCAATCAGCTTTCGATTTCTGCTGTACAGAAATCCGCCTTTCGCGAACGTTTCGCGCGTATTAACAAGGAGGTTATCGATGGGCAAAAGGCTCTACAAAAACTCGAATCAAAAGTCGCGCTGGAGACCATAACTAATTACTTCCAAGCTCCGGAAAATCAAGACAGGAGTTGGCTTGTCGCCAAGCTCCCCATCTCTGCGAACTCTAAAGCAATTAGCGAATCTCTAAATTACGTGAAGTCAAAGTTGCCCGACAAGTCGGTATACGTTTTGGCTGCAAGCACCGATCAAGGCCGTGTTGCCCATGGCTGTTACGTGTCGAAGGTATGTCTTCCTCACTACTACTTCGGGCCCTCTGGCATTGAAACTAATGCACTTAATACTTTGTATAGTCATCAAGCGAGGCCGGTGCCTCCGCCAGTGAGTGGGCAGCTATCGTTTCTGGTGCAGTCGGGGGGAAGGCGGGAGGTAAAGGAGCTACCTCAGTCGGCAACGGAGTTAATCCCGACAGAGTCGACGAAGCTGTCAGCTTAGCTTCTGACTACCTTGGCAAGTTGAAGTTATAGGCTGTTGGCTATGCTGTAGCCAACGCTTATTAGGGTAAACAGAACTTAAGTGATTGATGGTGAATTTCCCGAAACAACAGCCAACTTTTTTTCTGGACTTATTGCTTATCGTTCTTTGTTCTGTGTAACATAAAAAGAAAAATATCATGCCACTGGAATCTCGATGCTAAAAACATCATTGAAACAATGTGTCACATCTCCCCACATTGCACAATCAGAACATCTTGGTTGGGCTTATCTCGCGTCGTTCTAGTGTTCTCAATCATCCGTACAACGTCCATCCCTTCCACCACCTTACCAAAAACAACATGCTTGCCATTCAAAAATGGGGTTGCAGTTGTTGTTATGAAAAACTGACATCCATTTGTGTTCGGACCAGAATTCTGGGAGAATTAGTCAAGGTATAGGGGATGGATGTCTTGTAGCTCAGGGACTTACTGCCATACTAAGCAGGCCAGCATGGTCATGCTTCAGAAGGAAATTTTCATCTGAGAACCTTGGGGTGCCGTAAATGGTACAAGATCCCGACCCATCTCCATTAACGAAGTCGCCACCTTGGATCATGAAATCTTTGATCTTTTCCGATATGAAAGGATTAGCAATCTCTCATGCACACGCCTCTGTATTTCTTAAATAAACATACTACCCGATGGAATTTGCTGTTTTTGTATCCTTGTGGTCGTCCCTGTGCATTTTTACATTCTCCTGTACAGAACTGGCGGAAATTCTCTGCTGTTCGGGGCGTAACATCGGCAAATAGTTCCATTTTTATACGACCTAAAGGCTCGCCTGTCATAGAGATAACTCAGTTACTATCCCTTTAGTATTGACTTTGTTGCATAGTGCATTATACAGCACTGCATGAACCAGTAGCAGCACAATACCCACAAACCGACATATTGATGAAACACATTCATAGCCATTCCTATGGACGTGCCTATGTAGCCTGCCTGGGCCAGGAGAACGGGGTTGCAACAGATTATGTATCATCTGATGTACATACCTCCTAAGGCTATATCAAAGAAAACCACAGGGTTTCTGTCTATGTGCGAGGTTGAAGTTGCGCTGTTCATTCTGTTCACCTGTCTGGCTTCTCGTTATGTCGTTGCTGGTCTCGTGCTTGCGATATCGACCCTGTTAGAGACTGGGTTCGTGCTAGTAGCTACAAGTGGTTGAATACTGGTGGCCATGACGATGTTTCCTGAATTGGCTGTTTCTGTTTAATTTTATTACCCGTCCGTCCCCGCAGTGGGTTCCGACATGATGGATCGATCGCCTGCCCCGTGACTCGGACGTCCCAGCCTTAGGTGTCTGCGTTTGGCGACCACGACGTTGGTGTATTTGTTCTCACTTCACCTCCCCCCATTGAGTTTGGTGAGCATCCAACACCAGATCAGGCTCCATTTTGACAGCTTGGAAGCTACAATTATATCGGTGTCAGTGATGACCTTCCCGGGGCGTCCTTTAACATGAGCCTGGGAGTTGGTGCCCTCATCTAGATGAACTGAATGGGATTGTCGACCAACCTCGCAGAGACAACCTATTATTTAAAAGTGTCTTCCTTCTTCCTTAAATCGATACACTGCATTCAGTACTCTGCTATACGCGCAACAATTCCCACTCTTTTTCTTCCTCTTCGGCATAGTCTATTGAACGTTGTCCACCCCTCCCCCTCCCCCATCGCCTTCTGTCGACATGTCCTCAACGACTACAGGCTCCTCTTCAAGTGCCACTAGTACAGATCGTAATGGGAAGAACAACAGCTCAAGCCCTACTAGTTCGCCTCTACTATTTTTCGTCGCCCTCGGGTTTGGTGTTGTTTTCACCAATCTATGGTATGTCCAAATTGGTATCACTAGGCCTTTGCTGCGCTTAGATGCTCATCTAACCATCGCGTTCCAGGATTATCGTGGGGGTAAAATATTGCTTTCGATATAATCAACGCAATCGCCAATTACGCAGTGAAGTGACAGGCGAGCCTATAGATCTGGTCGCTATGCCACGAACACACCGAAGACGTCGAGAAAAGAAGTTGATGACTATGGACGACGTTAACGAGAGGTTTCCACTGACGAAGTATAAAGCATGGAGGTCATCCCGGGAGAATGAAGGCCTCTCTGGTGCAGGCGGGATCTCGGCACCGAATAGCCGGTCGCAAAGCCCCAAGGATGAGAACTACATGTTGTCCGCTTCGCTTGGCGCTCCTTCATCCATGGTGGCATCGCCACTCAAAAGCCATCAGCGGGTTGATTCCAACACTTCGCAGGCCTCTGCACCACTAGAAAACCTGGAGACAACGCTACCACAATCTGAAGAGAAGAGCCAGAGATATTCCGAGCCAAGCCCTACAAACATCGGAGTAAACGACAACGCCAACATATCAGCCCCGGAGCAGCCCCGTAACCACGCGCTCAACCATGTCATCGTAGAGGATGTTGGAGACCTGGAAGACCATATCCGCACCGCTGTACCTGCCGATTTCCTGGCAAATCCAGGGGATACTTGTGCTATATGTCTCGATACGATCGAGGATGAAGATGATATACGGGGGCTTACATGTGGACATGCTTTTCATGCGTCTTGTGTTGACCCATGGTTGACAAGTCGACGGGCTTGCTGTCCCCTATGTAAGGCAGATTACTACATCCCGAAACCTCGCGCAGAAACTTCTGAATTGGCTCCTAGCTCAGAACGTCAAGGTCGACGGGGCATGGCACGAGTGACACCTATAAACCCGCCACAGGCTGTTTTTATAGGTGGAAGAGTGAACTTTCTGCGGCCAACGTCGGGATCCCCGGAGCAGCATGTGCAACGGCGCCCGTTGACCCACAGAGCGGGCTTCTCTCGATTGCGCCTTTGGCGAGCCTCTCAATCTAACCACCAGCCCACATCTCCTGTGCCTGATACTTCGTCTGGACAGCCAGATCGGAGGGCTCAAAGGCTAGCACTCTTCACTGCATCCTACTTTCCCCTGAACTTCAGTCTCCGAGGTAATCGTGCATCGAGAGGACTTGCAAATAGGAACGCAGACGTCCGACATTCAGAAAACAACCGATCGCTTGGGGAACTTGAAGCCGGACCAACTATATGAAATGTTCCCTTTTGTTATCCTCAAGGACTCCTGATCTATATATCTTGAATTTCATGTCTTCTCTGCCTCTCGACATCTGGAATGCCGGTTGGACAGACTCGTGGTTATCCTTGCGCAGGGTGCAGCAAACGCCTGCGGCTTTGTACAGTACATTGATGCACCACACCATCATAGGCTAATGTGCCCCTGCTTGGCTGAGGTCATATCGATTTCCCCCTCTCACTGTAATTGATCAGCTCTTATCGACTTTCTGGCATGGATCTTGGCGTTTGTTGAGACTTTTTGAATCTAGGTCAGCTTATTTGGTGCAGGTGAAACCGGAGACATCTGGCTTTTAGTGGGTAATGCATGGCTGGGTATACTGCTCATTGATATTTGGCAGGGGCTATCTTCCGTCCTTTCAAGATGAATAGAATAGGACAGTCATATGTTGACTTGGCAGAACAGATATCTGATGGCACGGCTACATTCATTATACTAGCCATAGTCTACTCACTTGCACCATTTTCCAGGGTTACTCTCCAAGTTACACGGATGTTGTAGGTTAGATATTGGATATTCTAGGCTATGTTGACAGGTGGAGTAGCCAGTTCAGTAAGTAGTGTGCGACAATGTTTATTGTTGACATTTAGACCATGCAACGTTCCAGATCCTCGTTCAAACGTTCTCGCTAACCCTACATCCGCGGGTCATACATCGGGCACTCATCTTGTCCAATATGAAATAAGTTCTTGAAGGCGGCACCAATAGCTACTATAAAAGCTACAGCAATTGCGAGAATAAGGAGGAAACGGTAACAAACGTGGGCTTTTTTTTTTTTTTTTTAGCCTACAGGTCCATTCCAATGCATAACTTGTGTGGCGTCTTCAAATTTTCTGACCGTGGTTTCTCTGCACTTCCAGATGTAGCAGTCAGTAGCAGCCACCCCACCAGGGGGGTTCTGGAACAAGATCCATGTGTGCAGAAAAGGTTGGTTGCATCATGGCATGATATGCTCAAAGAATAGCAATCGGAAATAGGGGTAGAGGAAGCATTGTAGGCGTATGGGATGCCAACACTGGCATGGTCCCAAGCCATCTGAGCCTTCCGACAGATCGCAAACCTTGTTCGCCCTTACACACCACTGGCGTGAGTAGGAAGGTAGAATGAGAATAACTCTTAATGAATGATAAGCTGGATAGCTTGATTGTTGGTGTAGAGAATGGCTGGTGTCATTTAGGCAAAAACGTAGCTAACTTACAGGACATACTATTTATGTACTCCGCACATCATGTGAAGTCGGGGAAGCTCTGCATGGCTGATAAGGTTGGCTTGGCTCACGTGCTACAGCGGCCGGGCCTAATAACACAGGAGAACACTTTCTGCTCATACTATCGTAGTGGTAATTAATTAATAAACCACTAAACTCACGATATTTGTTATTATTCATCTCTGACTTTAAACTTGAAAATCGCTGGGCGTAGGCCTTGCACTTCTCCCATCGGCTTACTCCGTTGCACTCTATACCAGCAAACTGGGCAATAAGCCTACATTGATCTTTAGCTCGATTGGTGGTTTGAAATGTTTCTCCAATAATTGAAACCGGCGGCCGAGTTCTCTCAATGTATCATGCTAGACGATTACTTCGAAAATCCCAGGTAACATTCCGGATAAGCCAACCATTACCTCGGGATTCAAGCTCGGTCACTATTCGTCAACTACAGATCAAACGCCCGTGGGCCAGGTATGCTGAGCAGCTCATAGTTCGAAGCTGTCATAAAATCACTCCCTCTACTCACAAGTGCGCCAGGAAATTTCTAGCTACCTTTTTATTGTGCGGGACTGCAATTCATTTGTTAACTTCCTTCGCCGTCTTGCGGTTCGATGAGTCGCTCTATGATACTGATCGGTCACCGGAGAGTTTGCCAGGGCTCGACGCCTCATCCACACCTGAGAAGTTTGACAGGGACGAATATGTTCCTCCCCACTCAGAGCATGCTGTTACTATACAAACTCGCTTCCTTCCCCTAGGTTGGCCTCGCTTACACGAAGGAAACTTTTATGCACCGACAGACCCTGAGTGGCAAGCTTTTAGGAAATTAGCCCTTGACAAGAACAAGCTCTCGGGGTTGAAAGGTATTTGCGAGCAGATGGCCGTTTAGTCAGTCTGAAATTAACCAGTCATAAACAAACAGAAGACTTAATTTCGGCTGTTTTGGATGTCTCATCGCAATCAAGACTACTTAATTATATGCTGGGGGGTCCAGTGTCTGTCGCAGGAGTTTGGCTAGAACACCGATTCCCGTACCGTGCACCCCCTGTATACTATCGATTTGGGTATGTATGCCCTAATAAGTACAGTATAATTTGCTCATTGGTACAGACTACAACTATCTCCGAATGGCCTCGCCTGGGTTTCGAAGCCAATAGCTTCAGAAGACGGCGACTGTCTGCACAGATGTATGAGGCCGTTATGTGTGGCACACGCAATTAAGGATGCTTTTTTGGTTCTGTGGAGCAGGCAAATTTCCCGACTTAGCCCAGGCTTGATGGATGAGCAGATGTCTGGGTCTTTTATTCCTCTAGATGCAAATTTATTGCCCTCAGTCTTGCAAGGATCTGATGGACTTGACGACGTTTCTCGGTCTGTGTCACAGCCGCCTCCACAGAATTCCCAAGACGGCAGCCCATCAACCAAGGACTGCTCCCGTCCGCATACTTCATTGTGCATTTCTACGTTGCGAAAATTACCGCTGCCAAAGCTCGGGCCTGATTCTGACCTACGTATGGCGCTCCTGGCTTTCAAGTGGCGATTGAATTACTGCTGGGCTCGCAACGTGCACACATCTCGTCGCGGTGTCATGTACTTTTCTGGTCCTGTTGGTATACGAGGCCCCAGAGGGTTGTGCAGAGTGGAGGTGAAGGGAGAGTATGATGTTGTGAGGTCTCAATGGACTGCTATCTCCATGGATATCAGAGATCTTAATTTGTTCAGTCAAAGGGCACTTGGTCCTCGTTAGCAACCCTTATGTCCATTGGCTGTAACTCAGCTGGCTTGTGTAGACCACCAATCCCAGAGCGTATCAAACAACCTCAATACCGTGGTATCCTTTATGGCCTCAAAGCCTTGTGGAATACCGGCGAGGGACATGGTTTGGTGTGTCTGTCAGATGGTCTCTTACGGATTATTCTAGGTTCACGAAATCCTTTCGGAGACCCCATCTGGAGCATTCAGCTTATTATAATGGGTTCCTTGAGGCAGGCAACAAATGAACAGTACAGCGTCTTGATGGGATATGTGTATCTTCCCTCTATTTTGCTAAAGTTCGTGCAGCCAGCCAAACTACGTACCACCACTTCAAACTCCGCATAAATATGAAGGGCGAATCGTGCTACCGGGTGCTAGTTGTCGTTAGTCAAACCAGGTGTAGTAAGCTTTGATAATTGTGTACACAAAGATGAGTCAAATCTCTTAAGCGATGCTTGGTAACTCAAGTATTAGTTATCCTGATTGACAACTCATTAATAAATCCCAAAGGGTTAGTTTACCATGTGATTTGACTAATTATTCATGGTTAGTTAACTAACGTAGTTACCAGTCAGTTGATGTGTAATCACCTCACTCCCGCCGATAAGGCCAGGCAGTGAGGAGGGGCATTCTCTTTTCAGCTCACTACTAGTATCGACAAGGGCTGACTATAGAAGGTTTAACAATAATGGCTCTCCATCCTAAATTTCTGGGGCAGAAGTTGTTGGCCAATGCACAGCAACCATGGCATACCCTCGAACTCTGTATGTTAAATGAAATACTGGCGATGCTCTTCTATACCCCGATGACTAACGCATTAATTATCGAAGACCTTGATTATGTCTGCCCTGTTAGTACTATACAACACCCTGCCCAGGAAGGGCTTACTAAAAATGCTACTTCCAGTACTCTGCAAAGCTATTCAACACATTCTACACATCGGTGAGACCAATTATCTTACAAAATTATCAATCAAGACTTCAGGTTGTCTTTCGTCAGCACATTCAACCTTGGCATCCATCATCCACTCTGACGCATGAAGCTGGTGCGGCGGTGCTGAAAATAGCTCCAGACAAGTTCTGGGAGTTTAGCGCTGCACTTTTCAATCACCAAGAAGAATTCTTTGATGTCAGTGTTGTTAAAGAGACGCGTAACAAGACATATCAGAGACTTGCAAAAATAGCCGCGACAGTTGGTGTTGACGAACACGAGATGCTCGAATTATTGAACATCAGCGAAGTTATGCCTGATGGACAGTTGAATACCGGCAACAAGGTGACGAATGATATCAAATTGATGGTCAAGGTGCGCCATTGAAATATTGTTACAGGGCTCAACATTGAATCCTAACTAGATATAACAGTCAGGTCGAACAATTGGCGTCCATGTATCTCCGACCGTATATTTCAATGTAAGCCGTCTCATTATTAACTGAGCGATTTGATGCACTGATCCCGCTGGTTAGGGCGTCGAAGAACCAGGTATCAGCAGCAGCTTCACGGCCACACAATGGGAGCAATGGCTGGCCATGAATGTAGCGTAGGGAATTGTGCTCTAAAAGAGAGTGGTATGATAATAGGAGGTATTCAAATGCAGATGATAATTGTGGGCATTCTCTGGTAGCAAGGAGCATATCTCAATCTGAAACCCGAAATTTCCAGGATGAAACATCTGGATGCAGTCTATTCAAATGGGCCTTCTCGCATGCATTGCTCACTATCAGTGACTGTTGTTTTTGGATCTCGTTGTATTAGTGTTTCAGAGGCGACGGGGGCAGGTTGGCATCAACAGTATTCCAGCTGACGAGTTACTGTGATACTGGCGGCTGATAGTTCAAGGGGCGCCTGTATGCATTGGTTAGGCTTGAAAGCGATGACATGGTCCCCATACTCACTTAAAGAGAAGAATATGTGGTTCTGGCTCGTGCACTTCATAATGTTCCCAACCCAAGCTCTGATCATTAAATTAGACGTCTTACATTTATAACTTTCGTCGACCTCTTCTTACGTACTTGTGTGATACCAAGTGCACGCCATTCATCCTCCCACAGTAGTTTTAGCGTTCCTTTTGAACTGTCAAAATAGTCTGCAGGTATTTTCTTGAGCATGTTTTTGGGGAGTTGGACATGGCGGTATTCGAACTGGTCATCTGAGTATCTGCGTTTGCTGTAAGGCCAAGGCACACCAAAAAAAAATCGCTTGTATGCGGCATACCTGGCTGAATAATGAATAGAATCAATGAATTCCTCTAATCTCTCCCGTTCAGATTCTAGCAAAGGGCGGGGCTTTTTATTCCTTCTGCTTAGATCGATGTCCATCTGGAAAGGCGGGGGTAGCGGGGCAGACACTATCGTAATCACTGCAGTCTAGTTGCTGTTAGAAAGAAGCATCAAATCATGCGTTGTTGCGACAATTGACAGAAAGGTCCCTGCCTGTTCTTGACAGACGGTCCAAGCAGACACTCACAAGTAAATAGTCCTTTGGTAGCAGAGTGAGGAAAAGCAAGTGGGTGAGAGGACTTTTGAGTCTCAAAGAGAAGCAAACAGCGTTATGATGATGACTTGTCGAAAGAAGTCTCTTCTTACTGACCTCTAGAGTTTAAAACGGGCAAGGTGTAGATTGAAGCTGTCTTGGTTTGAGGGCGCGTAGAAGGAGCCTCCATTAAGATGTCCGAGCAGTGACTCTTCGACTTTAGGATACAAGTGGAGTAGCTACCCGCTTTAATGCCTAAGGTATCAAATTTGATACCTGGATGCCATCAAGTCAGGACTAGATGGTTGTGAATTGGATTATATCATTATAATACAGACCATGTTTAAGTAGGGGCCATAAGGGACTTGCCTTTGTCAAAGATTGGAGGAGCACAATCAGTCTCTTTGGCTGCCTACTTATCTCTTCCCAAAACAATTATATGAAGGATCGTTTACTAACTTACTGGATGGCCATTCTAGATTTTATATATTCACAGTGTGATACAATCCAATTTATTATATGGTAGATGCTTGTCGGTGGATCTTTATAAGAAAAAAGTTGCATACTGAACATGGAGAAGGAAACCAAAATCCTAGTGAAGCACAGTTATACTTCTCAACTATTACCCAGTGCGCTCTGCCACTGCCCTGATACTGTGTACTAAGTAGAGTAGTAGTAATGAGGAAGAAAGATCGCCTGATTATCTAAGAAGTTCAGCAGCCAACCAGGGCTTGAAACCCAAGTTTACCTCAGCCGAGAACGCGCCAAAACCGGCAGTACTCGAAGAAGATTGGGTCAGGAAAGAAGGGGCAAAAAAAAAAAAAAAAAAAAAAAAACGGGAAGGAAAAATTGCAAAGTGGGTTTCTTTTTTTTTCATCCCAAATTTTAACCGCTCCCACTCCAGCGCCTGGGGCAAAATTTATTTAGTCTTCTTCTCCTCCAACAATCGTCCTGCCTTTTGGCATCATCTCATTTTTCCTATCCCATCTCTCTTGAGACATTCACATTTGTCAAAATGGCCGACGAAGTTTACGAAGGTGCCATCGGCATTGATCTTGGTGAGCCTTGCCTCTACCTTTGTTGTTTCCTCTCATGACTGACGAGATACTTCAGGAACCACCTACTCCTGTGTGGCCAACTATGAGGGTACCAATGTTGAGATCAGTATGTCGATACCTGTGTACTCTGGATCCGGCGCTGGTTAGCTGATAAACATACAGTTGCCAACGAGCAGGGTAGCTACACTACCCCATCCTTCGTTTCTTTCACCGACAAGGAACGCTTGATCGGTGAGGCCGCGAAGAACCAGGCCGCTATGAACCCTAAGAACACCATCTTTGACATCAAGTAAGCAGCTTTTCGCTACACATATGTTCGTTATTAATTGGATCTAGGCGTCTTATCGGTCGGCGGTTCGAAGATCCCATCGTTAAGAAGGATGTTGAGTCATGGCCCTTCAAGGTTGTTGATCAGGGTGGAAACCCTGTGGTTGAGGTCGAGTACCTTGGCGAAACCAAGACTTTCAGTCCTCAAGAAATCTCTTCTATGGTTCTCATGAAGGTAACATTTCTTTGGCCCCAACTACGCGGCATTGCTTGTTATATCTCTTGCGTTACTGACAGATCACGCTAGATGAAAGAGGTCGCGGAAACCAAACTCGGAAAGAAGGTCGAGAAGGCAGTCATCACCGTGCCCGCTTATTTCAACGACAACCAGCGCCAGGCTACTAAGGATGCTGGTGCCATTGCTGGTCTCAACGTGCTCCGTATCATCAACGAGCCCACTGCAGCAGCAATTGCTTATGGCCTTGGCTCCGGCAAGTCTGATAAGGAGCGTAACGTTCTTATCTACGATCTTGGTGGTGGTACTTTCGATGTGTCTCTCCTTAACATCCAAGGTGGTGTCTTCACTGTTAAGGCTACTGCCGGAGATACCCACCTTGGTGGACAAGACTTTGATACCAACCTCCTGGACCACTTCAAGAAGGAGTTCCAGCGCAAGACTGGCAAGGACCTCTCTGGAGACGCGAGAGCCCTCCGTCGCCTCAGAACCGCTTGCGAGCGTGCTAAGCGTACTTTGTCCAACGCTACCCAGACTACTGTGGAAATCGACTCTTTGTTCGATGGCGAGGACTTCAATTCCTCCATCACCCGTGCTCGCTTTGAAGATCTGAATGCCAAGTCTTTCTCCGGTACTCTCGAGCCAGTGCAGCAGGTTCTCAAGGATTCTGGCCTTGAGAAGAGCCAGGTCGATGAGATCGTGCTCGTTGGTGGTTCCACCCGTATCCCTCGTATCCAGAAGCTGCTCAGCGATTTCTTCGATGGCAAGAAGCTTGAAAAGGTAAGTGATACTCCGGCCATCTATTAAACGAGTCCTGTCCTAATAAGATTGAATCAAAGAGCATCAACCCCGATGAAGCCGTTGCCTATGGTGCCGCCGTTCAGGCTGGTATCTTGTCTGGAAAGGCTTCTTCGGCTGAAACCCAGGATCTTCTTCTGCTTGATGTCGTTCCCCTGTCTCTCGGTGTTGCTATGGAGGGTAACATCTTCGCTCCTGTTGTGGCCCGTGGTCAGACTGTGCCTACGATCAAGAAGCGCACTTTCACCACCGTCGTCGATAACCAGACCACGGTGCAGTTCCCCGTCTACCAGGGTGAGCGTACCAACTGTGCTGATAACACCTCTCTGGGCGAGTTCACCCTCGCTCCCATCCCCCCTATGAGGGCTGGAGAGGCCGCACTTGAGGTCGTTTTCGAAGTTGATGTCAACGGTATCCTCAAGGTTACTGCTACCGAGAAGTCTTCTGGACGCAGTGCCAACATCACCATCTCCAATGCCGTCGGCAAGCTTTCCACCACTGAGATTGAGCAGATGATCGATGGTACGTCTCACGCAGCGAAAGATATATCTATATATACTGACAGTTCCTAGACGCTGCGAAGTTCAAGTCCAGCGATGAGGCTTTCACCAAGAAGTTCGAGTCTCGCCAACAGCTCGAGTCCTACATCTCGCGTGTTGAGGAAATCGTCTCCGACCCTACCATGTCGCTGAAGCTGAAGCGTGGCAACAAGGAGAAGATCGAATCGGCACTCAGCGATGCTATGGCCCAGCTTGAGATTGAAGATTCGACTCCCGAAGATCTTAAGAAGAAGGAGCTTGCTCTTAAGAGACTCATTACTAAGGCCATGGCCACTCGGTAAACGAATCTCTGCGATCCTATCATGGTCCTAAGTGCGGCACTATACAATTGCCCTTGCCTCTACCATTCACCCTTCAGTCCCACCATCGAATTTGCGCAAAGTGGCCGATTTCCTTGCTTCGCCTTTGATTGGAGACCTTAACGTCGTCTACGGAATTTCCTTTTAGATGAGGCGTGTTCATTCATGACCGGGTACAAAATTGCAAAAGTAATTTACGAAAATTTTATATATGAACTCCGTTATTATCATAACGCCCTTGTATCTGATTGCATGAGCCGTATGCTAAACCAGAGTATATCGCCCCTAAAAAGGCTCTCTGTATTTCCATCACTACTGTTAGACTTTCGAGAATGGAAACTTGTTTGACTTGCCCTTTGGACTGCCTTCCATAACCATTTGTAAGTCGTAGCTGCCGTGGCGAGCTGCTTGTGTTCTGAAAAAAGAAAAACAAGTAAATAAATAAGAATAAAAATAAAAATAGAATTAACAAAAGAAAAAGCCCATGAAATGTGCTAACTAGAGGGTGGCCCGCTTGGAGGCGGCGTAATCAGTTTGCCTCGGCATTGAGTCTCCCAAATCCTACCACCCTTGTCTAATCATTCGCGCAATTTGCTACAAGCAACTGTACCCGCATGATTCGTCGTTACTGATAAGCATATAAGACCCATACCCAAAAAAGACGGGCACTTGGAGCAGAAGAAGAGTGAAAATGCAACGCCGTGCAGCACTTACCGGCCTCAGCTATATGCGTCGCTGCTCAACGTTTACTGGGTTGCGTTATAACTTGCTTCCTGAGCATCAACTTCCGCCTTGGACTCAGCATAAGGTAGCACTTCCGTCTAATAAAAGGAGCTTTTCCAGTTCGCCCTTTTGGTGTAAAAAGAAGGACAAGACGAAAACTACATCTGCTGCAGATTCTGCGAAGCCGTTGCCAAAAGCAGGCGCAGGCTCCGAAGACCCGCATGATTTTTCACAGCTGCATGACGGCATAGCGGCTGCCCTGTCTCGACTCAGAGACGAACTCTCTAAGATGCGTGTCGGGGGGAGGTTCAATACCGTATCAATTGAGAGTCTTCGTGTGCAGCTGAGCAAGAGCAGCAAGCAATCGATCAAGCTGGGCGACCTTGCTCAAGTTGTTCCTAAGGGTGGACGAATGGTGACTATCTTGGCCTCTGACGAAGATGTGAGTTACTGGCGCCTTAAAAGAATGTCTTTGCTATCACGAAGCCTACAGATCCTCTCAATCTTCCATTTTTGCTCTAACGCAGACTGTTATCGATATAGCATGTGAAGCCCATTCGCTCGTCAATAGTCTCCTCCAACTTGTCGTTAACCCCGCAAGCCGACCCTCACAACTCCCTTCAGCTCAATGTCACGATCCCCCCACCGACTAAAGAGTCCCGGGATCAAACGATCGCTATGGCAAAGGCGGCAATGGAGAAAGCTGCCGGTGCCGTCCGTGATTCACGCAGCGCTGTGCATAAACGTCTTCAGGATCTGCAGAAAAAGAAGATTGCCAGGCCAGATGACGTTCGGAAGGCCCAGGAACAGATGGAAAAGCTTGCAGAGAAAGGGCAGAAGGAGGTGAAGGAACTGTTTGAGACTACAAGGAAGGCTATGGAGCGGGCGTAATGAGGAATCACGCTGCTGAAAGTCCAGCTTTGAATGAACTCAAAGCGTGATATGAGTACGAGTTCTGTATCTGATATTTAGAGATTCATTGTATTCTACAGTCACTTATAATGCATAAATGTGAACGAGACAGATAACAGGGGATGATGGAAAGCTGCAAAAATACAGGTACATAGTAAAGATACTGATGGTATCAGGGAGCAAGATTCTCAAGAGCGTTTCGTAATGCGACTGGCGGCTAAAAGCGAGTCCAACTTCGCAATGAACGCAGAGGACTTGCCGACCGTGTGATACGTTGCATTGTTTCTGAGGTTTTCAGAGACACTGTCAACGACTGAGACGTTGTCCGCCTGTTTGGCTTTCGACTTAGGATAGTTGCCCTGAACAAGCAGTCCAATAAGTGAGCCTTGGTCCTTGGTACTGAGTGGACTGAAGTTGACATGACGTGGTTCCACAAGATCGCCTTTTCGCTGCGACAACTTATCTGCGCGTTCTTGCGATAGCTTGTTCGCTTCCATAATGGCCTCAGCCTTTTCCTCTTCACTCGAAAAGCGGACAAATTTGCCCTGATAGAGTCTCTTGCCCAGCTCATTTGGAGGTACATAATCATTGGCATAGCGATCACCGAATAGAGACAACTTTTCAACGACTCCGGCAGTATGAGCGTGTATGTCGGTGGGTAGAGATGGCCATGTTTCTTTCAGTGAAGCTAAAGAAATCGACTCGGGATTGTACTGGACAGGCTTGGGCTGCGCTTGTTCTGCGAGCTCTCGGTACACAGCGTTGATTGAGGCTTCATGGAATGCAGCTTCAAATGCCGAATCTTCCTGATCGGACCCCTCGTTGCGTCGAGGACGGCCTTCCCGCCCATCTTTAGATTGGACCTTCTTCCTTGGACCAGCTCTAGGGCCTCGGAAAGCGGTGGATCGGTTGCCTCGAGGGTTGCGAGCCCTGGAATTCTTAAGGATATTTGCTGGTTGACCAGTGGCTTGAGAGGCGGCGAGAGATCTCGCATCAATTATCCGTCGGGGACGAGGTCGTTCATGGTTGACGTTCCGAATGTTCAGGTTCGCCGGCGGAATGTTGTTTCTTCTGGTTTGCGCACTAGGACGTCCGGCGGCGGAAGAGGCTGCGGAATCCTCGGTTGCATTCGCATCTTCATCAGTTAGAAACAAGTGAGTAGGGGCTTAGAATTCGTAGTATGGCTGGATGAGAACAACAACTCCTTGAGAGAAAAACCAGTTGAGGGAGGGAAAGTAAGATGAGACATGCACTGTGAACTGGGCGGACGGAGACTGGAACGTAGCACACTTACTGGAGTGGTTGTTGTAATCTTTTGCTTGTAAGTAAGTAGCCGAAAACTGACGAATGGATAAAAGAGTCCCCTCTATTGCCCTGGCACGCCGAGGGCGTAGAAGCACGACCCGTTGTTGGAGCATCCTTGTTGATGAACATCTAAGGATTGGATAAGAGGGAGACTAAAAATGTTCGTTACCTCCGAATGCTACAAAGTCACGTGCTGCGCGAACAGAAGCATAATCCAGACAATTTCCGTGGGAGCGGCAAGCCTCCTATTTACTACTCATTACTTATCCTCATAGCTTCGGTCTCACGATCAAATATGTTACGCCGCAAACCCACCGCTATAGCTATAACCTCGGAAGACCTTGCGACTTTTGAACAATCACGGCTCCGACAGCTCTCCAAAGAGACTCGTACCGAAGGCCATGCCAGCACTAGCTCCAATGTCAATATTGACCCCAGCGATGAGCTCAAGCCATTGCCGGGGGACAAGGCGAGAATCGTCCGCTCGCGGGAAGAGCGCATCGGTATTAATCGACGCAATTAACTTTTGAAGGGTTTGCCCAACACGTTGGCTTTTCCTGGCTACCGATTTATGCCGAGTATTGCCTCGGGCATCATCACCACTTCCCAAGAGCAAGAGAGCCCCGATTGGCAGTGAATAATCTGAAAGTCCCACACACATCAAGGTGTGGTTTTTCGCAGGTCAATTTTTGCTACAAGTGCATGTTCTACAGCGATAATATTACAACGACAGCCTGTGCATAACATTTCCAACTCTATTCCCGACGGCGTGCTTGGTTTGTAACCTATACTGCGAATCTTAGCATTTTCAATGTACCGGGTCTTTGTTCCTGCCCGTCTCATTAATTATTGTAATTATAATATTATGTTATTGAGGTCGCCACATAGTGCAATTGCATAGCAGTCATTGCAAGCGATGGAGATCATCTCAGTCGACTGAAGTAGCCCAACAATAATTTCAGGGTTATTGAAAACAAGTTCAGTGGGCGGACGTTCTGTTTCAATGCGAAGTGATAGAGACCGTATGCGATTGCAGCGTTGGGTTTAATGAGATTCTTACGTTACAAGAACAGAGAGAGAGAGAAGCAGTAGGTGAAACTTTGGGCGTTGCGTGGTACTCATTTGGATAAGCCATCATTTTGTACATGAAAAGCATGTCTGCTTTGGGAGCATAGTAACATGACCAGCATACTTATAAGAACCAGCTACCAAAAAGGACACGCCGAGGTGAAAAGAGCGAATCTCTCTGGCAGGCGCTATAATTCGTAGCCACCAATAACTCTAGGAGTGCCCCTGCGTTTTGAATGAGCCCCCAGTCTTCCAGCTGTGCTGAATAGAACGCGTTACCGCTGGCGCTTTGAAGTGCTTTCGGTTCCTAGGTCGACTGAATAATTCCACCGCCGTTTGAGACCGTTTGGATCGTACACACTAGCAACACTTTGTTGCCAGTCTCGTGCCGTGAACAAAACTTGTTGCCCGGTGAATTGAGTGTGTGGCATGGGAGCTGGTGCGACCGGGGTGACCTTTGATTGCTGCTCATATTGTACGGGGAAGTGGTCAGGTAAAGAAGGTTGAACGGTCTGGGCTGGATTGCTCAAGGCCATTGGTGGGGAATTTGTTGTCACAGTGGGTGTACCGATAGAAAATGCCATATCCCATTGACTAGACAGTTTCGAACAAGTCAATAACCATTTCTCGGTGTACATTACTCTTTTCTTGGAAAAAAAAAAAAAAAAAAAAAAAAAAAAAAAAAAAAAGGGCTCTTACTTGATTATGCGAGTAGGATCCCAGCTATTTTCATCAACTAAAGGCGCGTTCAGTCCGTGGGTAGAGATCGATTGAGAGGGAATTAATCCCAACGGTTGGAGCTGAGAGGAATCGGACTTTGAATCTTCAGTACCAGCTGATATTGGAGGGGTTACAGGATAAGCTGCATAACCCACTCTACTTTGAACGCCAGGTACTTGATTGATTTGAGAAGCGTAATGTGAATCTAGTGGCGGGCTTGGGTGATATGGCTCGGAGGGACTCCCGTACGGGAAAGTTGGCTTCAATTCGAAAGGTCGGTTCACATCAGCTGAAAAGGCGAAGCGCAAAGAATCAATTTGCGCTTGTAATTCTGGCATAGGCCAAGCGGAAGAACATCGCTCAAGTATTCGCATGTGCCGTGTGAAGTATTCCCGCGCGTCCGTGTGAAAGTTCGGGTCTGGAGACGTTATGGCCACCTGTTGTAGCATTAGCTGACCGTCAATAGTATAAAAGGCTCAGAATTCTCACAAGGTGCAGCATTGTGCATGTCAAAATGGTGTAGATTGTGAAATTTATGCCTCTTTGCATGAAAAGCAGGCCAGAGAGCCCAAAGCGGTTCAAAATGGCTTCTTGAAGCCTACAAAGGTATTTCGCCGAAGAGTAGCATAACGCCATATGCATCTTCCAACCGCCCCCTGCCGCAAAAGACTTGGAAGCTATCAATTGTGGACGGTGTAACAGGATAATACCAAGATGACAGTGGGAATGCATATTCCCGACGAAATGTGATGGAATCCATGGTGGTGAGCCATCAGGAGGATAGTTGACTTGAAGATCCGGTGGTAAACTCTGAAGCCAGTCGGTAAAGAGAGGATTCTTTTCAACGAATTTAGGGTTAGCCCCCCAATCCTTCTGTTTCTTTATCTTATGGTATATATCGGCAATGATGCGAATATGGCGTGCATTCCGGACGAAGTATGCATACTGCCTTGACCGATCCAATTCGAACTGATCAAGGCCTCTGATATCCAAGGTCGGACTCATATTTACTGTCTCATGGTCCACACCGTAATCGGAGCGCCCTGAGAATCGTCAGCCAGTATATACCTATGAGGATCAGAAGACGTACCCTGCGGCGCCCCTATCATGACTTCGACTACCAAGAGGGCCTGCCAGACCCTTGTCTGCACCAAGCATTCTACAGGATTCAAGTCGCAAGACCTGCCTTCCGTGTGGAGATTGTTGTGTTCATGGATATCCAGATCCTTCGCCATGGAGATGATTGTTTTAACAGTTTGCCAAGAACGGTAATAATAACCCTTCTTTGGCCGTGACTCTCGAGCCTTCAATAACAGAAGCAGAGCTTGTATCGTACTGAGGCGAGGTTCGTCCATAAAACTAGATTCGTGCCCTAACAAGACGGTTTGCAGTCAGCATACGACGTGGTACACAGGTGCGTGGGTATCTTCGTCGCCTCACTGTTTGCTAATGCGAGCCACTGTGCTCCTTGAGCCGGGTCGTCCGATAGCCTCCCTGCGCACGCAAATAGTGCCTCTAGCAGAAGCGGAGATATTGAACTTCGTTCGTGTTGCCATTGATAGTACAGATGAGATCGATGGATGACAGGGACGTATGGATGTATATCATCAAAATATATCTTGAAGTAGTTCATGACCTCGTCATCAGATGGCATCAATTCGGGCGGGATGCGTATAGTGGCGCCAGCTCCGGTACTAAGGGGTGGTAACTTCTCGTCTACTTCATCCTGGGTCGGGATTTCTGGCTCAGCCCTCTCCCTTCGTTGCTGCCTGATGTACGGCGCTGAGACTAGGTTAATACATTCCGTCTGTAAGACACGTTACGAAGGCTAGTATATCTCACCAATACCAGTCTCGTCTATCTTGAGCTCCCCTAAGACCTCGCTGAGGTTCTCTGCAGTAGATTGATCATGCTCAGTGTATATGTCACTTTCTGCGGTTCCCAAAGGTTGGGTTTGATCGTTGGAGAACATCTGTGACTGAGTATATTGGTGATGTGGCATGGCCACTTGGGACGATCTCATGTCGTAGACATTTGGCTGACCTGGAGTAGAATGCGCAAATTGCGGATAGATCCCAATGTTGTCATTATATGGGTGCATGCCACCCATTGAAGGTGGTCCGGGATCTCGATAAGCTTGGGAGCTGGGATATGACGATAGTGAGGGTTCTGCAGCGTTAGACGCGCCTAACGAGTCGACAGGATTGGTTTCAACGTTTTCCGCTGCAGGATATTCGCCATCATGCCCGATTGTTGGAGGAACGCATACTAACTTCAAGCGTGTGCATGCCGAACAAGGCCATGTGTTTGTCGTAGCAGCATCACACTTGATCTTCCGTTTCCTGCAACCATTGCAAGCTCGCATTACTGAAGATAGGCTTTTAATCAGACGCAACGAAGTCAAGTCCACATTCGGTCAAACATACCTTTGAGCCTCTTATGCCTGTTATGTTCATCGACGAATACATAGTCTGTATCAAGAGCCGTCAACATACAATGAAAGCCATAAACGGGCAATTTATCCAAATGGTAACTACCGGGGGAAGGGGGTCTTACTTTTCTGGCCTTCCCTTGGTGGGCCCGTCGGGGGTGTGAATGTGAAGCCTTGCATCTTAGCACGGACAGCGACTCAAGCTATGAGGCAGCCCAGGAAATGTGGACCGGACCAGCATGCAACAACTTTCGGGTATTCGGAAGAAAAATATAAAAAAACTAAGGCAAAGGAGAGTATCCGCAGGACCTGCCTTATGCGGACGGAACCAATGTGGAATGTATTCTGAACCTTTCACTGTCGACTTGATGGGCGCTGGGATGGTGTTCGCACTATTGTAGCTTCAATCCCACACTTGTGCAATAACGGTCACTCTTGTCCTAAGCAGGGAAAGGATAGGGGGAGGAGGTATAATGGATTGCGACCGAGAAAAACGATGTAGTAAGGTAGGAATATCTATCGTCAACCGCGGGAACAAGACAGCGTCAGCCGGCGATAATAAGGTGTGACTTGTAGTCTCTGTACTATGGTCTCCTAGGATCAATCTGATCAGTCTCCGAGTCATAGATGGGTGTAATAAAGACAGCGCAGCTATGGGAGTAGCGGAAATTTGTCCTGGGGTATTGGCGCGACTGACAGTTTCACAAAACGTAAGCTTTAATTAGGTCGAGTTTGCTGCGGATCCATTAAGCGGCGACAAATGAGACTTAGAAGGTCAGAAAAGGGAAAGATATGAAGAAGCTGCGATTATATATTACAAAATGTCAGTTGTGGACGACGACAAGAAGTGAGGACAAATGAAGGTAGGGTAACAGTGACAATCCGGGCTAGCGACGGAGAAAAGGCTATCATTAAGGGCAAACTCAAAGAGGGTAAGGAATAAGAAAGTGCTTCCTGCACATGCCGGAAATCCAAGAGCGGCCAACATTGAGATACGAGAAGAGATCCACGAAATATGATAAAGAGGAACGTTGAGCAAGCGGAGGAGTTGTTGATACCTGATATGTTGGGTTGAATGACTTTCATCCAGTCTGCATCGTAGACCAGTAACGTCAGTATGGGTACCTCGCCATTGACTTTGCAGTTTGAAGGAAGATGAAGTCGATTGGCGCATCACACTCCGAGGCGAAAGTCACCATTTGCATGAACCGGGATTCGAATGGAGACGGCTAGAGGATCAGAACGCCGGGCCTGGGATGATGGGCAATTGCAAGAGCAGTACGGAGTAGAGGCTTGGAATAGCAGACGCAAAGAAGATAAGAGCATCAGGGGAATCGAGAGCCCACCGATACAATCAATGATTTCCCGGATGGAATTAATATCTCCGTATAGGATTGGGGAGGATGCCGGGAACTGATGCGGTCTCCTTAGCTAAGTCATCACTCTTTGCCGCCTCATTCTCCTGGTAGTTGAGCCGTAGATAATAGCAGACAGTGTGGTTCGTAGTAGTGCACGGGGATCCGAGCGATCAGTCAATAATAAAGAGACGATTGTGCGGAGACCCAACAACAGGGGTGGGTAAACACGCTCAATACCCTGAGGAGGAGTAGAAGCGGGCGCGTGGTGGAAGGATCTTTGGTCTAGGTATGCACCACTTTCTGAGGATCGTCTCGGAAGTTTGAGGGGCCTCTGCGAACTAACCCCCCCTCGGTCTCCAATGGCACCCAGAGGAAGTAGTGTGTTTTAATGTAGGCCTCATGGCCGTCGGTTTAATGGGACCGCGGCCCCCCTCATCCCCTCCACGGGAAGGACGATCCCAAGTTAAAATCGGGGTTTAAAATGATCTTGATCTTCTTGGCTTTGAAAATAGTGCGCCGAACTACGGATTGCGCCATACAACTATTGATTCTTATTAGGGGTCTTTTTTCCTCTTTTTCTGCGCGCAATTGTGTGACTTAGGTATCTAGTTAGTGCTTCAGTATATTGTAGTAATTAGACTTCCCCCGCCCATGCGTACTTAGGTAATACACGATCCACGCCCTCGTGCGCGCTATCTAGTCCACCGTATCCAGTACCCATGTAGCTACTCTGTAGTAGTAGATAGATAGTAGTAGATAAATAGACTAGACTAGTACTAGCAGCATCCTCCATCAATGGAACATTGTTTTTAATTACCTGTATGTACTGTGTAGAAGATGCCTTGATCGTAATGTGACACTGACCGCCCCCTTCTCCTCCCCTTTTCCTTCAGCTGACGCCAATGTCAAGATGTCTAGGCTTTTTTTACCCCGAGGAGTGTCATTATTTCATCAATCAAGACCAATGACCCCGGGGCTGAAGCGATAGATAGGGTATCCCCCAAAAGCTGTCCGATCATGCTTGTCAGAGTGGTAAGCTTAGTGTTTCCCTTGGGCACGGCTCATGGTTACGGTACTGTTCAAATTAGTACCTGCTATGACACAAGCTACGTATGAAACTATGGAGGACCTTTGCAGGAGTAATTTGCCCGGGGCACACTAGTTATTATTATCAAGCAATATAAGAAAAATATTCACCAGCTATTTAAGTGATTATTTAGCAGTGATGCGTCATTCTCTAAACATTCCCTTTCCCCCACCTCCTCTCCTCGCCCGCCCAGGGAACACAACAGCTTGCTAGGGCGGGACTCCTTGGTCCTACGTATAACGACTAGTAATCGCTGCTGCTCACTTACTAAGATTTCTTACACTCACAGGATCTAGAACCCGAGTATCCTTTGGTGTCTGGCTATACATAAATAGGTTATGATGTTGTTGGTGTTGGAAGTATTGACAGCATGGATAAACTTATACTTACTGCGTAGCGCTGCTGTGTTTGAAAGAGCCATTTGGATTATTGGAGTGCCTATGTATACTTGGGTACTCGATGGGCTGGTCCGCCCGCCCGAAGTTGTACGTTGCCCACCAGGTTGATGTCCATACGCACTTCTTGTGTATCTGCACGCATTTGTTTCTACCGATATATTCTCCTCTTCCTCCTCACTCTGATTTTCCGTTCTCTCTATTTTATTAGACCCATAAAACAACTAGTATAGATCAAAGACATAGAACACTGTTTGAGTATTGTCTGCCATTGGCAATAAGTGCTGAGAAGCTTTCCTTCTCCCTTTTTCTAAGGCCGATATCACTCAAAGCAATCATCTGGAAAAAGGTTGTTCCATTTCTTCAATCCGCCGCATTGTGCTAGGGCTTACCATCCCTTTCTTGCCTCCATTTCCCCTCTCGGTGCTTCTTGCGCGCTTTGTCGATAACCACTTGTATGTAGCATAAGGATAATGGAGTCCGCGATGCAAAACTCGAATCCGACTATTTTGAATGCTGCAGATCTTCCCACCCGTCTGCGTCCTTCATCTCGCAAAGCGGGCACTTACAGAGGCGGAATCCTTGCGTCAGCGCTCCCCTCTCCAGCGGATCCCACCGACTTCAGTATTAGTGAATCGGAAGAATCTGATGAAGATGTTGATTTGATGGAAGAGCCGATTGATGAACAGGAGATCTACGGTAAGCTCACTGTTGGTTCTAAGAAAGGGGAACGAATCGCCTGGGAGCCTATAATCTGACAATCTCTTCAGATCTTGTGTCGACCATATCCGACCCTGAACACCCCATTTCACTCGGAGCTTTGGCAGTCGTTTCGCTGCCTGATATTTCTATAAAACCAACACTGCCGGATGTACCGAGCTCGCTTCTTCGGACAGTATCCGTTCTCATAACCCCGACGATAACACATTGCAGTCTGGCTACGGTTATAGGTCTTGGTGTGCGAGTTCGATTGGAGCAATCATTACCTCCGCGTTTTCGCGTGGATGTCCGGATAAAGGAAGGGACGCATAGTACAGCCGATGAAGTCAATAAGCAATTGGCCGACAAAGAAAGGGTGGCTGCTGCACTCGAAAATGGTACGCTAATGGGCGTCATTGCAAAGATGCTCGAAACATGCCAATAAACCAATCGTACTGCTATTCGGACGCCGTTTATGACCCTCATCGGCGTTTCTACTATGTCACAAGAATACACGTTTCGATGGTGACTTGATTCAACGTCCGATAGTCATACAACAATATGGGAAAAAAAAACAAGAACCACTTACGGGCGCTTGTTGCTGCTTCGTTCCATCTATCGACAAAATAGCTCAGGAGTCCAAAACGCCACTTTCCTTCAGACCTTTCCAGAGCTCTGGTTCCAGGAACTTGCTCACAGTGACGTCCTCAGCCAAACCTTTACGTCTCCGCGTTTTCAAAACGAAGTCGCGGGCTGTGGCCATGGCGGGTGCCATCTCCAAGGGCTTTAACTTGACATCGCGATCCAATGGATCCCCTGGGACGACGCTCCACTTATCGAAGACAAGACTAACGGCAGCTTGGCCCTGTGTATGGATTCGAAGATCTGTTTCAAATCCGAACGAATCTATCACGGGGATCAAACCACGAACGGAATAGAGTGGAGTTCCTGCTATGGGGCCATCGGAGAGTACATGGCCCCTTCTCCTTGAAAGGACTGTGTACACTGATGCGACAGCGTCCGCCGGTCCAGTCATCGTGCAAGAGTAGATAGGTTCCATTAGGCGTGGTGATGCCATGAGGAAAGATGAGTAAATCGCTCGTCGAGCTGTGGGAATGATTTGACCACCACCCCTGTAAATGGCTTGGTCGGCGAGAGAAACGTCGGTGAGCCTAAACTTCGCATTTCGAATGGCTATTTTTGCAGTTAGTCGCAATGAACCGCTTTTTTTTTCAGCGTTTATAGCAATGTAATTCCTATGCGTAGGATCTGGGTGCTATAATCCTCAAACACTCAAAGAAAGCATGGTGTACTTACGTTCTTCGCAAAGCGGACCTTCTCGTGTGCCCCAAGTGAAACCTTGCGTGATAGAATCTCTTACACTCCCGAGTAACTTCTTGTCGATCTGCGATGGTAGCGTATCATCCTGTAAGATGTTGGGGCCCATCTCATCTGGACCGAAAGCCCAAATACTTCTGGCTGCAAGTTTGTCCCAGTCATACCGCTCTTCGAAAAAGCGCGACACTTTGCGAATTGGGTCTTTGATATTAACAGCACCGCTTTCGATATCCTCGGCGATCCCTTCATCCAGAGGCTCCGCAATCATCGTTATTTTGTTCTTCTTGTTTGGCGTGATCGAATAGCACATGATAGCCGAGGTCTCCACAACAGTCTCGCAGAAGCGCGTAACAGGATCTGAAACCTTGATCTCCATTTCAGAATACAATCTTCGTAGATCATGAAGCACGCAGTCCATATATAGCTCGCCCGTTCCAAGAACTACATGCTCGCCAGACTCCTCCACCTTTGTAGATATCAACGGGTAGCTTTTGTTGACTTTTCGGAGGCCCTCAAGCATCTTGGGCAACTCAGACGGATTAACTGGCTCGACAGCAACTTTGAAGACGGACTCTGTGATATGTCGAATCGATCGGAAGATGTATGCATCCTCGTCGTCTTCCAAGGTGAGAGGCACGATAGTCGCCGTCTTCACAATAGAATTATCCACGCCTCCTAGAAGAACAAAGTTGCCGGAAGGTACGCCGCTTGTTGGGATGTTATAGCAGGACTCAGCAATCCATGTGTCGGAAATGGTTGCAATCACCATGTCCTCTTCATCTTCGGGAGTATAGCCTTCGCCAAGGACACGGACCTGTTGGCCAGGACGAGCTGTGCCGCTCATTACCCTGCCAAAAGAATGAAATCTTGAACCGTCCGAGCTGTTAAAAAGTTTAGTAACATGTACGACCAGTGGACCATCAGAATCACAGGCAGCCATAGCTGTTGCCACCTTAGAATCGAGAGGCCCAGTGTAGTACCGATCAAGTTTCTTTTGAGCACCTTCTGCAGGCGAAGGCACATGCTGGAGAACCATATCCACAAAGCCTGTTGCAGACCCGAAGAACTGTTCACAGACAAGGTTGAGTAAAGTCTTTGCATCTGTCTTGAGCTGCGACGGCTTAAGACTAATACCAACGCTAGAAAGCGTTTCCTTCAAGTCCTCCGGGCTCTCGCTTAATGTGTGCGAGTAAAGTTTGTAGATAGGCTCCAGGACAAATTGGACAAATGTTCTTTTAGAGCTTTCTTCCACTCCTTTCCGTGTGAATTTTCGGCTTCTTGGATTGAAAAATATATCGCCCCATAGGCGCAAACAGAATTCGGCTGCTTCAATTTGTGGATGCGTCTCAGCATACATCTTAGCAAATGAATGCAACGTGAAGCACCAGCCCATGGAGGCGCAAGCAAAGGCAACATTTCCCTTCTCAGGGCTCAGCCGCCTTGCAGCGCCCTGCCCAGGCAGTACGTTCTCGATGATAGTGTTGACCTCTTCGATCACATGTTTCAATTTGAAATAAGCGTCGTTGGGAGGTATCTTCAATTCGAGAATCAATCTGTCCATCTTGTTCACAACCAATGTGAGCGGCAAGTCTTCGAGGATAGCATGCTTGATTATTTGCTCGGTGTTGGCCTGGACGCCTTCAACCACATCTACTACAAGGACAACGCCATCGACCAACCGGCATGCAGTAGCCACCTCGTCCACAAAATTCACATGCCCTGGGGTGTCAATGACGTTAAACAAGTGGGATTTGCCCTTTGTACCCTGGAGCACCAAGCTCATGGGTGACGCTTTGATGGAAAGACCTCTTTCTCTTTCCAAAAAGTGAATATCGGTATAGCGTAGTTGTTCCTCTTTCCGCTTGCCTGTTCGATTCTCGAGGCGACCGGTGAGATCATGGGTCTGAGTGACCAGCATGTCCATGAAAGCCGTTTTCCCATGGTGCAAATGACCGACGAGAGCAATATTCCTTATTTGATCCGGGTAGCTAAGCAAATCCGTCATGAATTCCCGTGAATAATAGACGGGAGGCAATTCGGCTTCTTCGATCGCAAACTTCTTCTGTTGGACCGGGGCGATGATGGGCTCGGACAGAGGCTGTGCATCCTCCTCCTGCACCAGGGTCTCGACATCCTGGCCATACACCTGTTGCGCACTGGGATAGTATTGTTTATCTTCGTGAAGGATGACTGCGTTCGACGGACCCTCTGTGACTGGAATCAGTAAGGCGAACCTTGCAAACAAGGTGAGTATGGGTAAGGTAACTCTACCGTCGACATCCATTAACTGTTGCTCATCAACGTCATGCGCTTCATCAACATCGCCATCCCCGAACGCCTCTTCAAAAGCGAAAGCCTGAGGATGGGCATCCTCATTATGCGGAGACTCGTCGTCCGACCCATCTACCTCTCCAATATAGTTGCCAAACCTGCCGGAAAGCAAAGAGAACAATCAGCTGTGTCAGGGCGGTAAGAGGGACATGGTGACCAATTGAGACATACTCATCGTAAAGATCGTCCATTTTCCAACGTGGTTGGACTAGAGGCGTATCTTCCGGGTTTACTTTTCCTTTCTCTCGGCCTCGTCCACCAGCTGGAGAGAGGCTCGCGTCGGTTTGGCGATAAGTTTCTAGTAGCTCCGGGTCCGAGCTTGGCGTGTTTGCACGGCTCCGGCAAGTTACCCCGAAAGCAGTACATTTGTCCGTGGCCGCCGCCCCGCCTCCCGAGGCGAAAAAAATAGGGTAATTATTATTGTTGTCAGGAGGGGCTGGCGGCGGGCAGGCCTACTAGTGACCGACTCGGAAGCAAACAGTTCATCCCGTTCGTTCCCTCGTGGCCTGAGCTACCAATTCACCCTCATTTGTTATTTATTCGAATAGCCTGCCGGTCTTCCTTTGATATTTCTACTTTCCTCATCCCTTCCCGAAATTGCTTGCCCCCAGAAGCACGCATTTGCGCCATGTCTTCCCTACCTCCGGTCTACATTGTCTCCGCCGCCCGCACTCCAGTGGGCTCTTTCCTGGGGTGAGACTTCAAGCCAGGCCGCCACAGGCTCTCAGATAGATGGTCCATAACGAAGCTGATCCTAACATTTCTTTTTGCAGATCTCTCTCGAGCCAGACTGCTCCGCAGCTGGGTTCCCATGCGATCAAAGGTATGCCTGCAGCGCTGAAGCGATGGATGATGTGCCCCTGATCGCTGACTGCTCCGATGTGTAGCTGCTCTTAACAAAGTCGACGGCATCAAGCCTTCCGATGTACAAGAGGTTTTCTTCGGCAACGTTCTTTCTGCAAAGTGAGTTCTTTCGCTTCCTGTGTCCATTACACCCTTTGCCATGATGCATGCTAATTACCCCAATCAATAAGTGTCGGACAGAACCCCGCCAGACAATGCGCTCTTGGCGCCGGACTTGACGAGTCAACCGTTTGCACCACTGTTAACAAGGTCTGTGCCTCGGGTTTGAAGGCGGTCATTTTGGGCGCTCAGACCATCATGACTGGTAATGCAGACATCGTTGTGGCCGGCGGTACTGAGTCCATGTCCAATGCCCCACATTACCTTCCAAACCTCCGCAATGGCGCAAAGTATGGCCACCAGAGCCTGGTGGATGGGATCATGAAAGATGGCCTGACAGATGCGGGAAAGCAGGAGCTTATGGGTTTGCAGGCTGAGGAGTGTGCCCAGGATCATGAATTCACTCGGGAACAGCAGGACGATTATGCTATTCGGACCTACGAAAAGGCCCAAGCTGCCCAGAAGGCCGGCCTTTTCGACGAAGAGATTGCACCTGTTGAACTACCCGGCTTCAGGGGTAAACCAGGTGTCACCGTGTCTCAAGATGATGAGCCCAAGAATGTGAGAACCCATTCCACCACGTGAGGGTATTCGGTCCAGGTCGTTCATGTCAAACTGACTCTTCTGGCTCTTATCTTCTAGCTCAACCCTGATAAGCTTCGAAGCATCAAGCCCGCTTTCATTCCTGGCTCTGGAACTGTGACGGCCCCCAACTCCTCTCCTCTCAACGACGGGGCTGCCGCTGTTATCTTGGTTTCCGAGGCCAAGGTTAAAGAGCTGAACCTCAAGCCTGTTGCAAAGATTCTCGGTTGGGGAGATGCTGCACACCAACCCAGCAAGTTCACGACTGCTCCTGCGCTGGCGATTCCCAAGGCGCTTAAGCATGCGGGTGTCACTCAGGACTCCATCGATGCATTTGAGATCAACGAGGCCTTTAGCGTTGTTGCTCTCGCGAACATGAAGCTCCTCAACCTACCTGAAGAAAAGGTCAACCTTCATGGTGGTGCTGTGGCTATTGGTCACCCTATTGGTGCCAGTGGTGCTAGAATCTTGACTACTTTGCTCGGAGTCCTCAAGGCAAAGAAGGGCAAGCTCGGCTGTGTCGGAATTTGCAACGGTGGTGGTGGTGCTAGTGCCATGGTAGTGGAATCCCTCGTCTAAATTAGGAATTATTCCACCTGGAGGATTAAATCCTGTGTCGCGAAATATGAGGACAGCAAATTGATCTAATACCCTTGCCGATGCTCTGAGGCCGGGCACCATGTCTTGGGTCGGGGTGAGTGGAGTGGGTCTTCGACTCTGATGAAATGCAATATAATAAATACATGAGTGAATTTACTCCTTTCTCGGATATACAGTCTTATCCTGTTTATCTTGGCGCAAGCACGTCAATCAACATACTAGTACGGAAGTTCCGTCACTAGCAGTGTAAGATATAATCATAACCTTGTAACATTCTGTCTCAATACTACTAGTAAGATATTGAGGTCTGATGGCCAATTTGTCATGTACTATACATGGTCATTCTACTACTAGGATGCTCAATCACGGTTGCTCACCCACGCTTAGCATACGGCGGTCTGCTACTGCTAAATACTACGTAAAGATCCATTAGCCAAAAGCGCCTAGATGCACCCAAATATCTTAGCTATTAGCTCTTGATTAAGTCGTAATCTTGATGGCATTTTTAGGATATACTGGCTACATCGCCTCATCAACAGGAAAAAGGTGGGAGATGTTCAGGCAAATGCCCCAACAAATGCCATGAGTAGAGCGCCTCCTGCAACGGCTACACAAGCCTCGACACGCCGTTGACCCCTGAGCGTCGCATAGCTTGATTCACTAAGGAAATCCTCTGCTAGAAGTTCAACAAGCCCCGCAAATAATAATAGCCCGCTACTGATGGCGTTAGTAATCCCCACTGTAAGTAAGCCCGTGGTACTTGCTGGATCATAAAGATTATGCAGAACAAGTCCCATAGCTTGCCCTATGGGGGTAGTAGTTCCATAGGCAAGCGCCATGAGCCACGGTCTGTACGATGACGGGGGAAAGAGATCAGGGATCAGAGACGCTATCCGTGATCCGAGAGCAAATCCTTCAAAGGTCTGGTGAAAGCAGATAGCCACAAGAAGGACGATGAATGATGTACCCGTGGCAACACTGAGAGCCATTCCGATGAAAATACTGTGGAAGAGAATTCCGGCCTCGAGCAACAAGCATTGAAGCAATTGGCGTTGCGGATTCTGCCTGGATGACTCGATATCGGTCCCTTGATGTACGCTACCATGAGACCGACGGTGATCAGAATGCCACGGCTGCTCATCCCGATTCTTCTGGGCATTAATGCGAGTATCTTCAAAGGTATGTGACTCTCCAAACTCCCTGTCGTTGAGTTCGGTTGGCACAGCCGAGTCCTTATTAGTTGGCCTTGAAGGCCCATTAGCTGGGGATCTTCCAAGTGACGCGGGAGAGCGTAGAGTCATGTCTTCCCCAAGGCTGTCAAGGTGGACATTGTCGGCCAATCCGGTTCCGTAATCAGTGTCTTCGTCTTGATCGTCACTTGCGAAATCTGCACCGACGTCGCTGATTAACTGGTCGTATTCGCTCCCATGGACATGACCTGCACCTTTCAATGCAAAGAACATCTCAACGAGGACTACAACAAATACAGCGATCATAGCCACGAAGCCGGCCATGGCACGGTAGGTCTCGCTCCAGAAACGAGGAAGACAAGGGTCGGTCAATGAGACAAATGCTGTAGGTAGGAGGTGTACGAAAGCTGTTGCAATAAGTACGCCTGTTCCGAAGTGTCTAGAAAGGAAAAGGAACCGGCGTGGAATTGGGAGGCGCGGGAACCGACGAGCAAGAACGGGGAATGAGCACGCTAATACAACCATGAGTTAGCAGCCAATCACCCAAGACGCCAAACAGAAAGTGAATTGTACCTAGCGTGCTAAGGACAAGAATAAGAAACAGTGCAAAGACATGTATCGGCGTGTTATAGGCGCCTCGCTCCCTTGATCCGCAAGTCGAGGTGTCATCGTTAGAAGCTCGAGTATAACTCCGTCGGGAAAGCTCTGCCCGCAAAACAGATTCAGGAATATCGAATATTAGAGGATATATATATTCAGCCCCTACGGATATATCTTTACGTTAGTAGAGAACGAAATTGTGCTGTGCGGAGCGAAGCAGGCTGGGAGTAGGACCGGCCAAGACAGATAGAGAGATATATGTATCTCCCACAGTATGTGCCTTAGGAGACTTACCAGAACTACTAAAGTCGGTCTGATCTGGCCTTTGGTTTCCGTCCATTCTGGGCTAATTCTCATATAACGATGTACTCTCGCCGCATCCATGACCTGAAAACAAGCACTGAGCGACGGCACCGGCTCACAAACGATTCAGAAGCAGCCTAAGTCGCATCAGCAGTTGATAATTAGCATTGCAGCGGAGCACATACAGTTGCTTCTACGACCGGGATAACGCCGGAAGTTCTGGCAGCGAGCAGTTTCAATGACGTGACGCACCTTCCATGTCTAAAGGGGAGGACGCACATTGGACTCGTAGGGAGACTTTGCCGGTAATCCGGACACGCGGCTCGTTTGTCCAGATAATCTTATCAATCAATCCCGTGGTTCTCGCTTATCTAATCACACCGCTAGAAACACCGCTGAACACTTAAGCGATCGATTGATTAACCTAGATGATCTCGCAGGAGCGAAGTAGGAGAGGCTAAGCACACCACAGATGTTTTAGACGGCGATTACGAGGGTCAAGTCTATACTAGGAAAATTCTCTATAAATACCGGTTGCTAGTGATGTCTATATGGTAATAATATTATGCTGTGAAGAGCAAGACGCTCCTTGAAGTACTCCGTACGGAGTATTCGAATCCAATTCGGAGAGGTATAAATGCGCGCGAAGGGGTTCCTCTGTACGGCCACGTGGTTGTTGGTATCTAATGATTCTTACCCAAATTTGTTGATAAAATACGAAAGGAGTCTAAGGGTAATGCACTTCTTGGCAGGCGCTGTTGGCTAATGAAGTCTATCTATCCCGTAGAATTTGTATAATCCGATACTACCTGTTTCTCAGCTTCGTCCAGCCACTGGTACCCTTCATACGAGTGGGTCCACGAGGCCCACTCAAATTGCCCGCGCCGGCAACTGCACCATTTACACTATCCCCGCTATTATTACCCTGTCGCTCCGGTGAGGCAGAAGTGGTGGATGGATGTTGAAGGAGCATTGAATCACTCGGTTCCTGACTTGCGTCGTCCCAGTCGCCTTCCAGCAGCTCCCATTCTGCACTGGCCATCTCACCCAACAGAGTTGATTTCAGCTTATCCACGATCTTTGTTGGAGTTGGAAGCCTCCAAGTGCGCATAAATTCAGCCCCCTCGACAGCACCCAGAAAGGAATGTGCAGTACCATGCGAGTAATGCCCTAGCATAGGGAATGACATTGTGCGTTGAATGGTAGTTCTAGGGGAATCCTTCGATGCTCTCATCTTCGCCTGTATGTCGCGTCCAGCAAAGGCTCTTGATAATGTCGATGGCTGCGCAGGTGGTGCCACAAGGAGCTGCCACATATTCTTCCCAATGTTACATACTTCTTCCCAGGACTCTGATGTTATGTTTATGCCTTGAGTCCGACATAACCACGACACATTCCAGGCCAGTAACGTTACCCCTTCAAGAAAAAGTGCATATGTTCCGGGGTCTTCCCTAGCCAGTTTAGGAAGTGCTCTGTCGATGGAGAGGGGCCGAGGTCTGGAAGGACGAGGTGATGCGGTTCTAGGTCCAGACGGTACAGATGGTGGATTTCGTAGCGAGTATGCTACGGAATTTGGATCTCGTGAAAGATAGGACGCAGAGGGCGCGCATATAGTCGGTATAGGATGGTCTTTATGAGGCAAGGTGATTTCCGCTGGCAGTCTGAGAGACAGATAATGTGAAATAAGGACGAGAAGGTGAGCAACATTGAAGAGGGAGGTAGAAATATAAGCTGGCGTGGTACCTGTCCTGAGCATTACTAACTGACATTAATTAATAGTCGCAGAGCTGTAACTTTCCGTTCATGTCCCTCAGATCGATGATATCTATACCGCCCATCGTGTAGACCTCTTGGGATAACCCTTCCTTATTCCTTGTTTTCCGTTGTAAACCATAAAGATTGGCAGCTTCTCGGCAGAGGAATATCCGGGCCTCTGCAGTCTTGCTATGAAGTGAATGCCACAGATGATCCGTCCTCTTGGTATTGTTCTGGATGTTGGCCAAAATTGCAGCCTCCCGCTCGCCGAGCTGATACTGTGCAGATTCAGAGTCCGAGTGCCGCCGCGCGAGTGCGAGTTTGCGCTGGGAAATTTCAAGTCTTTTGTCCTTGATTTCAGCAGTCAGATTGTCGAGTTGATCACCGAGTAGCCTCATCCTTTCAGACGACTCAGCTTCTCCCTTAGCAATAATTTGTAAGCTTCGCTTGGTAGAGAGCCCATTCTGGTAAGCAATGGAAGTTTCTTTGATTTCACCTGACCATTCCGCTTGGGTTGTCTCAAGGATCACTCCAGCTTGGATACGTTCCGCGATAGATTGTTTCTCAAGCAAGACTCTCGCGGTTTCAACCCGGAGCTGATACAGCTGATTACGGGCACAGGTAGGGCAGAAAAACCGTGTTCGCGAAGCTGGAGCGCGAAAGCATGTGTGACAGCTCATCTCAACAAGCTTTGTCTCACTCTTGGTTGATCGATACCGCCGTAGCTCACAGTCGCATGGCCTTGGGCTTCCGGTGATGGATTACCAACTCGACTGTCTGGCTCCGAGCATGTATGTTGCATGAACAAGTCATTAAAAGGGGGGCACTCATGCCTTAGCCGGCTAAAGTGATGACATAGGACGAAATATGATCGATAAGTATCAATGGAGCTGAGTTATCTGAAGCCAACGAAGGGGACGCCGTTTGCGTCACGTCACCTGACCATACGTATATGTATACTGGACTGTTAGCCTGAGGCATATTAATTTACATAAGCGACCTCGGTTGTCGTATAACATCACACACCGCTTCTTCGTGCTTAAGTTCCCGTATCTGTATCACTGAATTACAGCCGAGTACTAGCAGCTGAGACTTCACCAGCTCGGGTTCAGTAGTTGTTAGTATAAACAAATCATACCCACTGTATTGCTATAGCCAATTGAGACATTCCGATTCAGCATGCCAGCTGGCTTGCTTTTACACAATGAATACCCGCCCGAGACCCATAATGCGTTTGGTTTCTAATAGTGCTTAGCCGCAACTACCAGCCGTTTCCAACAGCTGAATGATGAGATTATTGGAGATCGACGCAGTGAGATGGACCTGTAGGTGATCAAAACTTTCAGCCTATTTAAAAATATCAATCGAAAGCAGTATGTGCGATGTAATATGGTGGATAGCTGCGATCACCTGACCCATCTCGCTTTCCCCTCCTTAAGGGATTTCGATGCTAATCTGAGCCATTAAGCAAGTTCATAAGTTGCGTACTTCTGCCACATCACTCAAAACGAGCGACTTCTAGCGCTAGGTGGTGTAAGTTGAGCCACATATATTCTTAAATTGTGTATGCTAACATTTAACGGGGCTCTGGTACGTTCCCTGTTACTTGAGCATCAAATGTGAGCATGGTCTGCAAAATTACGTGACCCATGCTTGCACCACATACTTAGATATTTCTCTTTTGTATCTACTGCTACTGCTCCTATTCGATGCTCGATCCTTAGTCTAAGAAGCTATAGTCTAATCATCGCCATGGCTTCTCTAAGCAGGGACCTTGCAGGCCCCAGTTTCCCTGATAGTGATCTGCATCAGAGCGAACTTCGCACCGAGTCTCTGAAGACCCTTCAGCAGTATACTATGTCTCCACCTTCAGGGAACCTTATAGACTATGATTGGGACCAGCTCCAAGAAGAATATATCGCTTCTATGGAAAAGCATGAAAATGCTGAAAAAGAATTACGCAACCGTGTCACCAAGTTGCTTGAGGTGCTTACAGACGTGATTGATCTCGTGGCCTTTATCTAATATTCTCTTTTAGATCTTCATGGCGTGGTCGGAGACAACCATCATGCGCGATGAAATCAGAGCTTTAAAAAGGTTGGCCCTCCAAAGTCCCCAGAGTTCTCAACATAATCATTGATGCTATTGTAGATTCAAGACACAAATGAAACATGTTCAAACATCTGAAGACGATCTAGAACTGAAACGTAAGCACTGTACGTAGTATCAGTCTCATCCAGAAACCCCTTTTTATGTACATTGTTGCTGATGATGACTCAGATGTCGATGTTGTGAAGGCTTTCGAGAGTGCCCTCGCGTTATTGAATGACCGCCTCAAGCCCTAAGATTTATCAAAAAGGGGTTCTTCGAGCTCTGCCCTTTATTTCTTACCACATACCAAACTTCAGATGATTACACATTACTGCAGGTTGTCATACAATGTAATTTATGAAGCTTCACTCTTTCGTTCGCATAACAGTGGATAATTTTGACTGAAATGTTACAAGCCAAGCTATCACTGTCCCTGAAGGTCGACATTGTAAGGCAATATAAGTCCGAGTAACCTATTACCCTGCTCTAGTCGAGAAGTTGTTTCGTCCACCAACACTTTGATAGGTGTCACCAACACCTCTTGCAGAGCTTGTCAGTAGCCGTTCCTCCTCGGCCTCCTCAGCTTCTTGATCCAGTAAACGTTCATCAAGTTTCGGATGGCGGATAAAAGAGGTGACCAAGACGAGCAAGTAGATAACTGAAATTTGTGTTCCATTAGCCTGTAACTAGCTTTTATGAAGACAGACGGTGCCCACTTACCGAGGAAGATGAATTGGGACCAGAAGAATACTGTACCGAAAAAGGGATAGCTTATCGTCACGCGGTTGAGAAACATACTAGTGACGCTGGGTGTGCAGACTCGCTTGGCAGCCGTGTTGTCTGTTAGTTCCGAGCATGGCTTGATCAGGTGTTTGTTAGTCAAACAATCTGATTGCTGGCCCTGGGGGCGATCACAAAATGTTTGCGGTCCAAAAGTCGCGTACTGAGGCGCAACAAGCATGGGGATCGAATAGTCCAATGCTAGTATTGTCAACATCAGCATGGCAGTGGTCAGCAGCAGGGCTTGTGGAGACGTGTGCCCCTTTCTGACATGAAATATTCTAATCCAGAGAAAGCGAATGCCAATGGTAGATATCCCGACCACTGAACTGCCAAATAGCAACAGGACAACTACTGTAAGGACGGCGTAGTCAATCGGAAATACCTTGGCCGATTGGACGAATATCCAGTTGATGGGATTGAAAACCCCAATGCCACTGAGTATGTATCCGCAACGCTGTTTGCATATAGAATTCTTGGCTTTGTCAATTGCCGTCAAGAGCATCGATATCCAAATCATAAGTGTGATTAAGAGAATGGCAATGCCGCCTAGCAGCTTTAATGGGCGGAAGAAAGCCGTGGTCTTTAGCCATGCCCTCATAAATCGGCTTTGACCTTCACCGTCAGCCTCTTCTGCCAAGCGTTGCCGCCTGATAAGTGTCCTCTCGTCTCGAACGAGGGTATCGAGCTCTCTACGTTCCTTAGAAGAGAGAAGACCCGGATCTCCTCTACAGCGACCTTCCAGCTGGCGCTGACGCTCTCGATTAGATTCAAGCTGTGCACTCGTCGACGCCTTCCAGGTCATATCTGACACAGATGGAGCTGCCCGTATCATCCTCATGGGAAGAACAGCAAGGCCCGTTGAGGTATATAGGATATAAAGGAACAGACCCATTGTTATCAATAACCCAAGGGTGAACGTAAGGACCCTCTCGCCACCTAGATGGAAACCAATTAGCATTGGATTATGAACGGGTATCTTGAAAGAATGCGAGTAGGGACATGCTGCAGGGAGGCGAAGGGCGATCTTACGATTCTCAGCCAGAAGCTTCCTGAGATAGTCTGAAACTTTGCTGTCCTTAATATTCGCAACAGGGACAAGAAAGCCAACAATGAAAAGTACAACCACTATCGCAATAAACGAGATAGTGTACTTAAACGCCGTCCAAAGTCGTTTGGCGGCAGATTGCTCACCGGATTCGACAGCCACTTCATCATATTCTTCGTACCAGAAATAGACAAATGGGATTGCGAGTAGGCACAGGAATGCATCAAGCGAGTAAAGGAGGTAGTACACAGCCGTTAATAGAGAAACAATCTTATCTACTTCATCCTGAGTGGCCCAGGGTTTCCTTTGGCCAAGCTTCGAGGATGTGGTAGAAGAGGTTAAAGCAACATCCACCGGCAACAAAAGAACAGTGGCAAGTAAGCTTGTAATCGCAACGATACACGTGAACGTCACAACTGAAGAGCGATCCCGAGGCGTTTGATAAGTATAGATGAATACCGACGCTACCATTACCAGAACAGCTACCACAATAGCGTATACTGCCCATATAAGGGATGTTTGTAAAAGGGCCATCTTGGTTATGGAGATAGATTAGGCCCTACAGAAGGCGAAAGACAACAGGTCCGCAATGGGTTGGGTGCATGTATTGTCAAGACTCCAGATCCGATGAACTTTTCACACCAGAGTGGATGGATAGACGAGCTAGATGCTATTCTGTTTCAGATTGCATTTATACCCAGATCACTCAAGACGGGCATGACGATAGGTATAATCAAGGCAGGCAAGTAGGGAAATAGATTCGTTGAGGTCCATCAATTAACGTTTCTTTTGGTGTCAAAAAGTCCGCATGTATTACGTCATCGTCTGGCAGGCCAGATGTATTATCACGTGCTGCATCGCACTTGAAGCGCAGAACCTCCAATCATGCCCGTCTTAGCTAGGAATGTTATGATAAAGCGTGGGTTACTATTTATTTTCGCCGCCGTCTTCTCAGGCCTAACACGACCATTCCCCTTGTTCACAACAACCAACTGCTTAGCCCGTCTTTACTTTCCTGGCAATGCTTCTTTTGCGCAGGTCAGTAGAGTAAACTGGATTTGACGAGGAGAGTAAAATACTCCTAGGCAAAGCAATTCTCGGGTTTGGCAAACGCATGATGCAGTGCTATACTGAAATATTGCCCCCGACTGGGGTCACCCATGCTTTGGCGGTCCCTTTCCTTGCGGCAACATCAGACGATCTGATTGTGGTTAGAACATCACTGCTTCAGATCTATTCGCTGCATAAAGTTGCCTCCCATGCGGAAGGAGCCGACGCCCAGCAGGAATCGACGAAGCTCCTTTTGGAAAAGGAGTATTCACTTTCGGGGACTGTAACTGGTCTTTGTCGGGTCAAGGTGCTCAACAGCAAGAGCGGCGGGGAAGCTGTTTTGGTCGCCTTCCGGAATGCCAAACTTAGCTTGATTGAATGGGACCCGGAGCGTCGTGGCATCTCCACCATTTCCATTCATTATTACGAGCGAGATGATCTGACCCGTAGTCCGTGGGTTCCTGACCTGAATAATTGTGGCAGCATCCTCAGTGTGGACCCAAGCAGTAGATGTGCGATATTCAACTTTGGAATTCGAAATCTCGCCATTATTCCTTTCCACCAGCCAGGAGATGACCTGGTGATGGATGATTATGGGTCAGACCTCGGGGAAGGAATATCAACCGATCACGATCTCGGGGGTGGTACTGTTGCTGATAAGGCCAAAGAGGGTATTGTCTATCAAACTCCATATGCTCCATCTTTTGTTCTGCCCTTGACGACATTGGATCCTTCCATACTTCACCCGATAAGCCTTGCTTTCCTATATGAATATAGGGAGCCGACCTTTGGCATATTATATTCCCAAGTTGCAACATCAAGTGCCCTTCTTCCTGAAAGAAAAGACGTGGTTTTCTATACTGTGTTTACGCTAGATTTGGAGCAGCAAGCATCCACGGTTTTACTTTCCGTGTCAAGGCTGCCTAGTGATTTATTCAGAGTGGTGGCTCTCCCGCCTCCTGTCGGCGGTGCTTTATTAATCGGGTCCAACGAACTAGTGCATATCGATCAGGCAGGCAAGACCAATGCCGTTGGAGTTAACGAATTCTCAAGACAAGTCTCATCATTTTCTATGACTGACCAGTCCGATTTGGCATTGCGTCTTGAGAATTGTATCGTCGAGTGTCTCGGGGATAGCAGTGGGGACATGCTTTTGGTGCTTACTACGGGGGAGATGGCCATCGTGAAATTCAAGTTAGATGGGAGGTCAGTTTCTGGGATCTCGGTTCACCTACTGCCGGCTCACGCAGGTCTTACCTCCATATATTCCGCAGCAGCAGCTTCAACCTTCATAGGTGATGGAAAAATTTTCCTGGGCAGCGAAGATGGTGATTCAGTGCTTTTAGGCTATTCTTACTCATCTTCCAGCACAAAAAAGCACCGGCTGCAAGCGAAGCAAGTGATAGACGACTCTGCGGATATGTCAGAAGAGGATCAGAGTGACGACGATGTGTACGAAGACGATCTCTATTCTACATCTCCGGACACAACACTTACCGGCCGCCGTCCGTCAGGAGAATCATCCGCTTTCGGGCTGTATGACTTCCGGATACACGATAAGCTTATCAACATCGGCCCTCTTAGGGACATTACTATGGGAAAGAGGCTATCCACGAACCTAGAAAAGACAGGCGATCGTACTAATAGTACTTCTCCAGAGCTGCAGATAGTAGCTTCCCAAGGCTCACACAAGAGTGGTGGTTTGGTAGTAATGGCCCGCGAGATCGATCCTCATGTCGTCGCCTCAATTTCGCTCGAGTCAGTAGACTGCATCTGGACAGCTTCATTGACTCGGGAGGAAGAGGCTGTTTCAGGAACGTCAGAGAAGATGGGACAACAATCGCAGCGATGCTATGTTATTGCAACGGAAGTCAAAGGTTCCGATAGGGAAGAATCGCTCATCTTCGTAGTGGATGGCCATGATCTGAAACCTTTCAGAGCACCTGATTTCAACCCTAACGAAGATGTGACAATTAGCGTTGGGACACAGGAAAGCAGGAAGCGCGTGGTCCAAGTCCTAAAGAACGAGGTTCGGAGTTATGACTTTGGTAAGTTCACACCAAGCCGGTGTCGACGTAACTTTGCTGACGGAACAGACCTGAGTTTAACTCAAATATACCCGATATGGGACGATGACACCAATGATGAACGAATGGCTGTTAGTGCCAGTCTGGCCGATTCTTGCCTTGCAATTCTACGGGACGACTCTACGTTATTATTCCTTCAAGCAGACGACAGTGGAGACCTTGATGAAGTAGTCTTTGGTGAGGATGTAGCATCTGGAAAGTGGATATCCTGTTGCTTGTACAGCGACAAAACCGGGATGTTTTCTTCCATCGATCGAACACTGAGTGAGCCAGTCAAGAACGACATGTTTTTATTTCTACTCAGCCACGATTGCAAGCTCTTTGTAAGTGTCATGAACCCACTATGCGAGAGAATGCTTGCTCTGGTCGTCTTTTGCCCTGCGTGGATGGCATCTAATGCTTTCGAAATCTTCAGGTTTATCGCGTCCGCGATCAAAAGCTGCTATCGATAATCGAGGGGACAGACGGTTTGTCGCCTCTGTTGTCCAGCGAGCCACCTAAGCGGTCTGGCACACGTGAGAATCTGATAGAGGCAATCGTTGCCGATCTCGGGGAAACATGGAGTGCTTCGCCGTATTTGATTGTATGCCACCATAGTGGTCACTCTGTACCGCCTCTCAATCACTAGCTCTAGCGTGCTAACCGAAGCCTTGATAGTTACGATCTGAGACTGATGATTTGATAATCTACAAGCCTTTTGTGGTTTCAACGGGACCAGTTGAAGGGATTCACAGCCTGAAGTTTTCCAAAGAGACCAACAGCGTCCTGCCAAGGATCCCACCTGGTGTCAGTTCAACACAGCCCAGTGGTTCGGATTATAGAGCTAGGCCACTGCGCATCCTGCCCGATATCTCGGGACTCAGTGCTGTATTCATGCCTGGTGCTTCAGCAGGCTTCATTATCAGGACATCCGCAAGTGCGCCACACTTTCTGCGCTTAAGAGGGGAAAACTCTCGGAGCGTAAGCAGCTTAGATACCCCTGAATGCAGTAAGGGGTTTATCTACTTGGACTCGCAGGTTCGCAATCACATGATAGTTCGTTTTTAGCATATACTAACCTAATGGGCAGAGTACGGTTCGGTTTTGTAAATTGCCCCCTATGACACGATTTGATTACCAGTGGACTTTGAAAAGGGTGCACCTAGGAGAACAAGTTGACCACTTAGCTTATTCCACCTCTTCCGGGATGTACGTACTAGGGACGTGTCATGCAACCGATTTCAAGTTGCCTGAGGATGACGAGTTGCACCCAGAATGGCGCAATGAAGGTTTGTTCTCTATCTACCCATGAGGGAACCAGGCTGAGACTGTCTAGCTATTTCGTTTTTCCCGTCGGCGCGTGGAAGCTTTATAAAGCTTGTTAGCCCTAATACATGGTCTATCATCGATAGGTATGGGATCATCATCTACAGCGTCAAGACTCGGTCATCCTAATTTTTCATTTGCACAGTTTTTCCCTCGGCGCAGACGAGTACGTCATGGCGATCAAAAACATAAGTCTTGAAGTATCGGAAAACACCCACGAACGCAAGGACATGATCGTTGTGGGTACTGCGTTCGCCCGGGGCGAAGACATACCTTCACGCGGCTGCATCTATGTTTTCGAGGTTGTGCAGGTTGTTCCAGACCCAGATCACCCTGAGACAGATCGCAAGTTGAAGCTCATTGGCAAAGAACCAGTGAAAGGTGCCGTGACTGCGCTATCTGAGATTGGTGGCCAGGGCTTCGTCCTGGTTGCACAAGGACAAAAGTGTATGGTCAGAGGCCTCAAGGAGGATGGTAGCCTCCTCCCTGTTGCTTTCATGGACATGCAGTGCTATGTCAGCGTCGTAAAAGAGCTCAAAGGCACTGGGATGTGCATCCTTGGCGATGCTGTGAAAGGTGTTTGGTTCGCAGGCTATTCGGTATTGTCCCCGTGCTCGGTCACTATGGAATCAACATGAGCATGCCAAGCTAACATGTCCGCTTTTCAGGAGGAGCCCTACAAAATGAGCCTTTTTGCCAAGGATCTAGACTACCTTGAAGTGTGCGCGGCTGAGTTCCTTCCAGACGGCAAAAGACTATTCATTGTTGTGGCCGACAGCGATTGCAACATTCATGTATTGCAGTATGATCCGGAGGGTAAGACAGGAGAGCCAGAAAGCACTATTCAAGGACTCAGCTAATTGGCACAGATCCTAAATCCTCGAACGGTGACAGGCTGCTTAGCCGTAGTAAATTTCATATGGGCAACTTCGCCTCCACGTTGACTCTTCTGCCACGTACAATGGTCTCTTCAGAGAAGATGGTGTCCAGTTCGGACGGAATGGATATCGACAACCAGAGCCCCCTCCACCAAGTCCTGATGACCACACAGAACGGCTCTCTTGGCTTGATCACCTGCATTCCGGAAGAATCATACCGCAGATTGTCTGCTTTACAGTCGCAGCTGACGAATACACTGGAACATCCCTGCGGTCTTAATCCCCGAGCCTTCCGGGCTGTGGAGAGCGATGGCACTGCTGGTAGGGGTATGCTCGACGGTAATCTCTTGTTCAAATGGATAGATATGAGCAAGCAACGCAAGACAGAGATCGCAGGACGCGTGGGTGCACGTGAATGGGAGATAAAGGCCGACCTTGAGGCCATCAGTGGTGATGGCCTTGGCTATCTCTAACAACACCAACCCGTAAGGGACCTGTTGCTCTTATGTTGCACTAGCCCGGAGTACCGGCTAGCTAATTCAGAAACCAACTCTACGAAATCTTGGCTAGAGTGTTGTCATAGATACAACGGGGCAGGTTGAGTGCATGGTCACGCTACTCCATGCTCACAGGAAGTAAATCTCATGTCAACATGTATATTGTCAGGATTGGTTCCGCGTATACCTGCAATTCGTTCAGCGCCGATAATTATTACATATTGTAGTTTCCCCATATAGATCCAAAACAGTGCGTACAAACGCAAGTGCAGTGCACCACAGATACCGACTGATGAAGTCAAATGTAAAAAAAACAATTTTTGGTACAGGAACGTTCCAGACGACCAGCCGAGCAATACTCTTTCTTCGGTCCCGTAGCCGGCGAAGATATAATTACCAGACAAAACCTCCTTTCAGATATATGCAATCAAAAGAAGACAAAAGTAGAGAAGAATGGGACAAGGATGGTGACCCTTGAAACGGTAATGAAGAGGGTGTCGAGGCTGGGAAATTGAATAAAAGTAAGAAAAGAAAGAAAACGAAGAGAAACACGCCGAAAAGGCGCAGAAGCCAAAAGCCGCTTCCTAACATGACTCCATCACGCCGCGACTAATATCCTTACTAGGGAAGGGTCGTATAAATAGCCGTACATCCCAAGGCCCAGAAGAGGGAAGGTGGGGGGACAAGGAAGAAGAACGCAGATAAAGACGAGAAAATAAAACAGCGAGACAAAAGACAAGGGAACCGGTTCGTGGAGGGAGAAGGACGTGTGAAAGAACAAAGAGAAAGTGCAAAGAAGAGACAATTGGAGCAGTTGTTTAGGGTCTAGGAAACCGGCTCTAACGCCAATTGCAGAGGCATGAAATCAACCCCGATGGCTCATCACGCGTCTCATCGTCAAAAGACATCTTCTGCGGCGAAATACCGTTTGCTTCGTCCGCGCGCAGCAACAAATTTCACTTCAGGTAAGTTTGTGTGATGCACTACATGTGGTCGATATACTGCATCGACGGGTGCTTGCCAATCATCCAAGCCCAAGGGAAAATACTCATATAATAAGTCGGCACTCTCATTTGGAAATGGGAGCGTGGAAGCGAAGGGCTGCTGCATATTGGCAGTATTCAGTAAAGGCAAAGAGGACGAGCTTCGGGATTGTGTTTCGGGCAAGCCATGAGACAACTTGCGCATTTTGGCCGGGGGCGCTGCAGAATTATCCATGTTCATAAGCTTGTGAGACATATCGTTTGTATATGAGGCCGCCGGCCTGGCCGGATCAGCCGGGTTAGCCGAATCATTACCATCATCATCTTCGAGGAGAGATAGATTGATGGGGGCGGCAGCTGGATGTCGTTGGGCTTCTGTTGGCCGCGAGAACTCCGGGCTAGACTGAGTATATACTGTCGAGTGAGGCAAAGTCGTCGAGGGATGCGCACCGCCAACGGGAGGCGGCACTTGCGCCCAATCCGGTGAAGCTTGTTGTCCAACTACACCACCTTGTGAGGTAGACGTCTCTGGGGAACTGCTCTTCAATGTGGCTTTGGCCTTAGCCGCAGGATCGCCGGTTGTGGTTCGGTTAACAGCAGCCGACTGAGCGGCTTGTGCGCTTTTCCGCGACGCCGCAGCACTGTTGCTCAATGGCAGGTCCTTGCGAGACTGAAAGTTGCGTGGACTCCGCCCCCGGACTATGACGGGGCCCGACTGCACCTCGCAGACTGGTATCTTGGCACCGGTGGACAGCGTAGCTACAACCTTCAAGCGAATAACAAAGTGCTGCTGAAGCTCCTTTCTGCGTCCATTATTCGCAGTAGCAACGCGGAATTGGAGTCGTTTCCAGGCAATGGGGAAGGTGGCGTAGTCAGTATCAAGGTCTTGTCCAGCCATGATATCTAGTGGAATCGGAGGTGGCTCCTTTTCAACCTTAATAGTAGGATTGTTGCTATTAGGGTTACCACCGTTCCCGCTAGAATTATTGTTCCCATCTTCAGCCGAGGGATTCACATTAGTGGCGGGAGTCTTCCAAGGGACCGAGATAATCTTGACGGAATTGCCTTCAACAGACTCAGTAGCAGACACAGCGAGTTCTTGAGCCAGGATAGGGATCCGATCGCCTTGCTCCGTCATTATGTAGCGTAAGCTCCGTGGGAGGGTAACAGACCCTGTTATCTGAAATAGGTTGCGGCGGTAGCACGTCAGCTCCGCTCCTTGCTGAGGCGGGGCATTCTCGGTAGGAGATGTAGTCCAAGGCGATTCTGCAAGAAAAAACATGCCGTGCAGCTGAGCAGAGAGCGATATTGAGGTGCGGCGTAGAGAGTAATCTAATAGAGTGAAGCCGTACGCAGGCATGGAGAAGCTCAGCAGTTTATTGTTATGATCTATAGAATCAGGAGGTTGCTCGGGCGGCGCAGGTTCGAACGGTGCGACCATGTCTGTGAATGGATCCTCATAACCAGAGGGAAATCTCTTCAACGATGCGGGAGGTAACGCATGTTGAGAAAATGCGATGTCGTCCCCACTAGCGGGATTGTATGTCAGACGAGATCTATAGAGGGAGAGATGTCAGCGACAACTCACCTCACGAATGTTTCAGAGTCGAAATTAGAACGTTGTTCAGGTAGGTCCATGCCGGACATTGAATTGAGGTAATCGGTGCTCTGTATATTGCCCAGCGATAACGGGCTGGCCAGGTAAGGCATAGCCATGGTATCAAAGCCCTCCATGGCGGGGCGGCAGGACACGGGGTGTTTGGGACAAGCGAGATGATTGAGGTAATATCGGTAGCTTTAAAAGGCCAGGAAGCGTTCAGAGTAAATAGGTGGAAGAGGTCGGATGGAAGAGCATGAAGAGGTCGACGAAGGAAAGCGTTCAAAGACGAGTCGATTCCGGCAAGGATGAAGCAGGGTGGTCGCGACGAGCGCGGAGAACGCGGGAGCAGCTAGAGGGGGAAAAGTACATGGGAGGGTTGAACCCAGAGAAAAGCCAGCCGTGGACGTGACTGGTACTGTTTAGGAACAAAAAAAAGAAGACGAAGGAGGAAAGGAGAAGATAATCTAGACTGGAATGAGAAACAGTAATGGCAAGTACCGGGCAGGTTAGAAGGGAAGAAAGGGAGAAGGAGGAGGAAGAGGAGAGAGAGAAGAGGAAGAGGAGCAGTAGTGGCAGTAGTTGTAGTTTGCAGCAAGTAGTAGTAAGTAGGAGGAGATCATGAAGAGCTGCGGAGTGTAAGTAAGTAAGTAAGTAGTAGTAGTAGAAGTAGTAGTGGTAATAGTGATAGCAGGAGCAGCAAGCAGACACCGCCTGGAGTGGATCGGATTCGCCCGAAGTCAGTGCATTTGGAGAAAACAGCTTGTGGTTGGTGGGGACGGGAGCGATTCCTCAGGGAAAGAGCGTCCAAAGAAGTTAACGATTCACTAGACAAGATCCGGAGCGAGCCTAGGCTGGCATGGATGGGGATTTCGGGAGGAGATAAGAGAGGAAGGGCCAGGCAGACGGACCCGGCGATGGGGCCGCAGCAAGAGCCAGCAAGAGAGGGGCGGATGGTGGAGAAGAAGAAAAAAGAAAAACAAAAGAAAAAGAAAAAGAAAAAGAAAGAAACACACGAAAACTGAAAAAGGGAAAAAGCAAGAAAAATAATAGAATAGAATAGAATTTAAAAAAAAAAAATAGAATAAGAAGAAAAGGGAAAAGTGAAAAAGACAGAGAGAGAGAGAGAAAGAAAAAGAGAGGAAAAGGAAAAGTGAAATGGTATGTGGAGGGGAGGGGAGGGGAGGAGAGGAGATTGGGGATTGGGAGGAGGAGGGGGGGGGATGGATGAGTGGAGGGACTGGAGGAAGGAAACAGACAGACAGACACAGAGAACAGAGAGAGAGAGAGAAAGAGAGAAACGGACTGGCCAGACGTTTCGGGGATTTGGTTCACAGTACGGATAAAGTACAGAAGTCAAAACGTCCACTTTTCTTTTTACCTTTCCCTGGATCGAGTTTAGCTTGAAGGAAATTACCTAAGGTACCCACGAATGAAGACAGCACATTCTTAACTTGATTACTTTACTTTACTTTACAATAATTTACAATTACTGAAGGGGTTTTTAAAGTTGAACCAGAGAAGGCTGACACACTGGTCTGGTGTGGATCATCACGCTCGCAGGCCGGTCCTATGTAAACAGTAAAGCATCTGAACAAGCTGAAATGCCGTTTGTTGCCTCCTCCTTCGGATTACTATGCGGAGCACATCCAAGGTCAAGACAAATTAGGAGCCCACCTCCCTCAAGCCGGAGACGGGTAATTGGGATCGGGATCGTAGCCCGCAACACTCCTAATCCGTCAGAAAAGAGAAGAAATTTGATCAATTAAATCAACCCACTGCCAGAGAGGGCCGTCAATTAGGTACCCTTCATTACTACTCTTTTTTTTTTTTTTTCACACACCCTTCCTCTTTCGGGTTCCCTTTTTTTCTATTTGATTTCTTTGGTTTCTATTTTCACAGTTATTTTGCCTTACTAAGTCGTAAACTAGTATGCTCTAGCGTTTCAGGAGTTAAATTAGGCTACAGGCGCACAAGATGACAACCACTTTATTGATAGATACATAGGTTAGAGATGGTGCAAAAGTTTGTATGACCTTGTAGGCTGCTGTGAACCAACAACAGTACATCTTCATCCCTCTGTGATCAAAAACAATACAATGTGTATCACGTGCTTAGGAGCTGTTGACCTACACTATTGCTAAATAGCCCGCCGTTGGTAACTCGAAATTGGAAGTATTTTAGGCATTCCTGATGCGGAACAATTTTGTGAAGAACCCGACTACAGAGTATGGATTCAGTCTACGAGTATCTCGGTCCCTGGGGGCCATATAGGACCTGCCGGATCAGGTGATACCTGTCCAGGAATATCCGATTTGCATGCAGCCGTTGGGTGGAAGAGACACTCGAAGTACTAGTCAAAGTGCTACCAGGAAGTGAGTACTTAGTTGGTTCAAGGGAGACCCACTATAACCCGGGGAATTCGGGGGTCAGGACCTTACTCTATAGGTCAGCCTTGTTAACGGTTCTGTCAATCTTAAAATATAAACACCTAAGTTTGCTGTTTTCGGAATGATGAGAATCCTTACCGAGGTACTGGGTGAGCTATTCTAGAGTTCAATGAGAGCAGATCGAAAGTGACTAAGGAACACAAGCCGATGCCGTGTATACTGCGAGAGAGAAGAAAAAAAAAAAAATGAAAAATGATTAGAGTAAACGTGGTCTCAATTTAAATTAGATAGACTCAAACTCTCTCGGCTAACATCGGCCGAGGGGAACCCCATTAACAGACCCCTCTTGTAAGGCCTCCTGGAGTTAAGGCAATGTTGATGATGGGTTATGGCTATGATGATTCTGCAATACAAAATGCCATCTGGATGTGCCTCCCAAAGCAGATACATAGAGCAAAAGAACTCTTCCAAGTTCAAAGATTTCGGGTATTGGCCAATCTCAATCCAACCCCTTCCGGACCCGTAACTACTAAGTACTCTATAGTATCACTACTAGTAATACGGGGCTTACCTAGGTGCAGTGTCAGTTTTACTAAACCAGGTAGGCTGAGAAATTATATATATATACATATAAAAGAAGGGTAAAAATAATAATGGAAAAAGAAAAGAAAAGAAAAGAAAAGAAAAGAAAAGAAAAGAAAAGAAAAGAAAAGAAAAGAAAAAAAAAGGAAACGGCCATTCCAGCGATGTAGCTATAACCTCTCATCTTAACAGTAATAATAGCATGATTGGAAATTGTTGGTTTGATGGATTATTTCTCCGACCCCAGCCATCATGACGGCCAACCATCGTCGGACAGAGCCAAGTATACTAGTTAGTACCCTGACACATGCAGCGGAAAGGACAAATCTACACGGACACGATATATTTGTGTAGTAGTGTCCCTGACGGGTAAGTACGCCCAGCCTAGCCGACATATGTGATTTAATTAATCAACCTAAAGGTTGATCGGATGTAAATCGATTTGATTGAACTCCTTATCGCCATATACTTAAGACTAATCGGTTAATTTCCCACACGTAAAATTATCAACAGCAGGATGTACTAAAATTCCTAGCAGAAAGCTTACTACAGCACAATTATTACTACTTGGGAGTCAAATAAATGAACTGCATCAAAGGAGTCTTCTCGGTTTTCATTTTCCTTCCTTCTTTTCTCTATTTTTACTTCCCGTTGTTTTATATTATATGCTTGTTTCTCGTTTGCATACATCTACAATGCTCTTACCGGGGGGCATCAGCCCAAACGCTTGTGCGAGAATCCCGAGATCATTAACTCACCACCTGCATCACTCGGAAATGTGGCCCTGGGCTGATGGGGCGCCCAAGTCCACAAATCTAAGTTACATTGTCAGAAAACAAGGGATTTGGAGTGGTCACTAACATAATACTAAGTATGTACTAGGGTTGTGTAACTACTTGGAAAGCTTTAACGCCTGAATTAGTGCCGCTCACCACTCATTTCTCCGCATGCAGAGTAAGTAAGTACAACTATTCTCCTACACAAGTGGTCTACCCACCAAAACGACACGAAACGCATTCAGATTTAGTGACTACTCTACTGCAAACCTGGGATAGGGTCTTACAGGTTGCCTATCTACAATTTGACCCTCAGCTGGGAGGTGGGTCCCACGCCTTCATCATCATCATCATCATCCTTTGCCCAGCTTTCCCAGCAGTCTGCAATGAGAGGTGGTGCCCGCCATTGAGGGGGGCTCAGCAGGCAGTTTGGAAACATGATTGGCTACGACCTAATGAGATGTCTCAGTCTCTGGGACAAAGCCGGATTAGCCGCGTCCGAAGGTTGGTCCGCAAATTGCTCGTTCTCGAACCGGGGGGCACGAGCTGCAGAGTAATTCGAGTCTAACTGATTCTAATAAGCTGCGTCTAAATTTGCCCTAACCGGATAAAGTTAGTCGTGGGAAATTGGGTGTGTAGCTATTCCACTTAAGTAACTATCTGTTTAGTTACGGAGGTGTACTCTGTAGACCTGGGGGTGTGGGCCCACCGAAAAGTGATTGCCATCATTGAGAGTTAGTAGGATTGTACGAGGCGATCGTTTTTCCCCCCCTCTTATGGCTCGGGGCAAAAAAATAAAAATGCCTCAATGTGTGTGTGGGTGGGTGAATTCTTTCACCGAAACGGAAGAGACTTCTGGTGAGAACAGAAGAATATTAAGCCTCTCAGGATACCTGCAAGTTGCAGGACTTTTGGTGCTTGGATGCGGGGTCTCAAACTGCAGAAAGGCTTGCATGGCTTCTTCATTGAATGTAGAAAGAAAGATGAAGAGAATTAGAAGCTACCATAATCATATTTTTTTTTTTTTTTGAAAATATATATTATGTATGGAGGAAATCAATTAAATCTCAAAAAGAAACAATTCTGGTATGCAAGGGGATCGATCAATTCGTTCATAATGCTTACTGCTTCGTGAACCTTCCTAGACGTTCTACTAACTAGGTACTTGCTGGCTTACGGTACAACCTTCTGCCTCCCCTCCACACAGAAAGCGGCAAACACCAGTGAGAAACAGAATTCGGAGCAAGTGTGTGACAGGCTGACAGGATCACAAGCCAGTTCTTGTGGGACCGACTCCAAAGTCAAAAAACACCTGCATCCATCCTTTTTCGCTATTTTCTTTGGTCGGGGGGCCCCTCTCAGGGCGTGCTTGGCACCAGCCTTACACCTGCCAGTGGAAAATCTGTATCTAGATACACACTAGAATCCCATCTCCCGGTCCAGTCTGGAGTCTAGGCTGTGTGCCTCTTGATTTGGGCAGAATCTCACACTTCCCGTGCTGATCATCAATCCGATTTTAGCACGACACAAAGACGGGATCGCAGCTGCGATGTGAATATTCGGGGGGAGGGGGGGGCGACCGCCCAGTCACATGTTCGTTTTGTTCCAAGTCTCAGGTCGGGCTAGTTAAGTTATGGAATTGGTTCGTTGGCTGTTGTGCCCACACTACGTTATGGAGGCCTGTCTCTCTCTGTGTGTGTATGTGTGCAAAAGAGGCAAAAGCAGGTTCCTTGACGTATCCTGCTTAGAGCATCCGTCCCTGACCACTTCTGCTTTTATTCTCAGGGGTGAGATCCGATGCTGATTTACCCAATCCGACCCCGAAGATGGGCACCATGTCGTCATTTCGAGTTCCCTGGTTAAGTTGAGTGGATTATATTCTGCACCTTCTAAATCTGGTCTGCTTCAGGTCCATGCAGGGACCGGAAATATCATCATCATTGCTAATTTATTTAGTTATTTAGACATTTCCCTTTCATTAACAACAAAAAGAAAAATAAATGGCGGAAACAGAAAACCCACTCGAAGACCCGGGATCAAATTAACGAATCAAGGACAGATAAATCTACATGAATATAGTAAAAGAATACGGAGTAGAATAGGAATTAATTTGAATGATCCAAATCAACCGGGGAAAGAAAAAGGACATTACAACAACTGATTTGGAAGTGGCCACCGCAACCGGACGGACCGCAAATCCGCGGGGTGGGACTGCAGTTTAATCCAAGCCGATTCGACCCTCTCCCCTTCCCTTCTCCACGCGTGGGGCTTAAAGCTACCACTTACTGAGTAGTCAATAGAGACCACAGAAGACGATTTACCGGGACAGATCTAACTAGGAAATATGTACAAACGTAGATGCTTCTACAGTAGTGGACCAGCAGATATCTCCAGGTGGAGAGTGCAAGACTGCATTGGGGGGACTGAGTCCTAGTAAGATTGAGCTAGTACCTTGAGAACCACCCAATCCACAAGGACGGTTTTCTCCTGCTGTTGGCCGGACCCAGTTTGGCCCCGACGTCCGAATGCAGCAGCAGGGATGATTGCTGCTGCCGTGGAACAGCCACTTCGGTACCTTCGCCTCTGTTGCCCCTCTTCCCCTTTCCCTATCACCTCCTACTGGTCTTGACAATTTCTCCAAACCCATCGGGAGGATCTCGGAGGTGGAGCTCATACCGCAAATCCTCGATGTTCCGCGGCGTTTTCCTCATGGGTGACCGCTTTGACTTGCTCAGTGGATCTTACAGACCAGAAGAGAGAGAGAGAGAGAGAGAGAGAGAGTGTGTGTGTGTGTGTGTATGTGTGTATCCCGTGTCGTTACAGGGGATCCCAACACAATGATTGATGCTAATAATGCTCGTTGCGCGGATTCTCAACTCTCGCCTGATAAGTCTAGAACTCTAGCGAGGGGCTGTAGCAACCGCATTCGGGACATGGTGCGTTTGGATGTTTTCAATATCCATCACTCAACGCTTCGCAAACATCCTCCGACCCAGTAGCGCTCCACTCCAAATTTAATTTCCGCACCGGCACTATCGCGTGGATCATCTAAGCGGCGATCGGCATTTTCGTAAAGCATGTCTCTTCTGTACCTGCTTGTGACTGCGTCCGATGCGTTGACCTCCAAGTACTTTAGCCCTCCAAATCAATTTATCGCTTACACCTACGTGGCCAATTTTGAAATCACATTCAGCTGATCGGCTCGATGGAACCAGCTAAGAAGGTATTTGAAAAGATAGAAAGGGGGCAGACGTCCCCCAACAGAAGAGCTCGCGAATGAAGGCAAGAGGACACATGTCCCAAAGAAAAGATGCAACTATGTGTGGATATCGTATGTACGATGCCGAGCAGCCCCCCCAATAATCATACATTATGGCAGCAGGCAACCAAGCAAATGAATATCGAGACCAAAAGAGAACTTTGTGGGTACACAAGTGGAAAAGCGGTCAAGGTCCAGGCACCATAGTCCATGTTGCTGCATCGCAATTGACCTCTTCGAAGCTGTGCAGAGTGCTAAAGCCCAGTCCTGACAAGCACTCGAAATTACCATCAACATCAACCTAGAATCGCCATGTTAATAGGACAGAATTCTATTGCACACCAACCAAATGGATTTGTCACTCACACTGTCCATGATCACAGCCTCGGCGCCTTGTTTGCGAATCTGTTTGATGCCCAGCAAGACCAACCCCTGCATGACTGTGGCGTACTCGCCCACCGAAGGCGAAATGACGGGGGATGAGATGCCCCCCGCCGGGACTTGGGTAGACTTCAGCGCGGGCATGTGTTCTGCCAAGGTCGCCCGTCCGTTGTATATGACTACGCTTCCCAGAATAGCCCCATCGCCAGGCCGTGTGGCCCGAATGATGCCACAATGTGGAGCCCCTCCTAGAGCTACCCGGTAGATGTCTATCACACCTTGCCTGGAGTTCGTCTTGATATGATCAAGGATTGAATCCGCGTGATCCCAGCCATGGACGAGGTCATAGGTCACGTCTGCATTTTGAAGGCCAAAGATCAGCCCGTCGGGTGGCGTCCAAGTGGTTAGGTTGCGGAGCACCACACTGCAAACGGGCCGCGAAAGTGCCGTATTCCAGCCCAGGTTCGCAAACCATTGCCGCAGCCTTTTACGCTCTACTGGGTTCGCCGATGGGATGCCAAGATAAATCCCCGGAAGTCGTGAGCCGAGCTGGAATCTTTTCACTCCTTTTCGCTGAAGAAGGGTTCGGATGGCGCGGCTGTGGAGTGAATTTCCAATCGACAACTTTCGTCGTGCAGGATGGACGATTAAGGAACCAATAACGCCAGTCCCCGTAGAGCGAAAGAAGTACGTGGAACAAAAACCGTACAAAGCTTGAGTGCTGCTGTTTCGAACGACGAAATGCGCTTCGTCAATCTCTTCCCGCCGAAGCAGGAAGCTGCTCGACGTTACTCCCAACAATTCGGAACGTTGTCCCTGGGCACAATCTCCTCTAACCGCATCCAAGAGAGAATCTAAAGAGCGAGCATCCCTTTCCTCATTCCAAGTTTCTACCAACCAGTGCTGTCTTGCTTGGTGTAGCTTCTGACTGCGGCTTATAGAACCAGGTAATGAGCCAACGGGGTTCAACTCCCCATAGAGCACTTTAACCAGGGCCTCCAGTGCGGTTTCGGTGAAATCGTAAGTGCAAATATAGGTTCCAATAGACGGATCCATGGCGAAGTCGTATGGAGAACTGGCAGCGACAACAATAAGAGGTTTCTCGCGCGCTTCACCAGATGGGGTAAACTGTGATCTACAGATCATGGAAACATGTTTAGTAAATCCATGCTGGTATAGATTCCTGTTAGCATCTGCAGTGACCACGATCACTGCGTTGGCCCGGTCAATGAGATTTTCATGGATTGGACGCACGCCGTTAGCCGTGTAGGATGTATGCAAGACACGGCCACTCCTCTGCCGCGAAAGGGACCGCCCGAGCTCCTTGAAAACGCTTTCGCCACTTAACACGGAAGCCGTCCGGTCCCACGATATAGGATCGAGCGACATGTTTGAGTGCTCACTTACAGAGCGGGATACGGCTGAAGCAGGCAGCGGCTTCACTAACGGCGTGAGCAGAAGTAGCTCTTCATTTGATTCCAGAATGTTGGATAGGGGAAGGAGGTTCTTTTTGTCCCGCACAACCGAGATAGAGCTATTGTATGCCCGGGTGGAGAGACTGGTATGGGACGGTTGCATCTGTGTCAGCGAAGGGATGCCGGGAGGGTTGAGGGCCCGCTCCCAGGAGGTGCATTTGGCTTTCAGTTTGAGAACCCTGCGTAAAGATTGCTCTATGCGGGCCCGCCCGATAATACCGTTCTCCACGCCGAGTTTTAGGCCATTGATGGCCTCTTGCTGCACCTGGAACGACCTGCAGAGAAGTATAATATCACATCCCGCATTTTTGGCCATCACTGTTCCTCCGCCAACGCCAATGTTGTGTGTGAGGGCCTCCATTTCCAGACACTCCGAAACGACAACGCCTTCGAACTTGAGGTCCTTCCGTAGCAGATCATCGACGACTTGCTCACTCAGGCAGGCATGCATAACGTTGACTCCGGCGGAGGACATTGAAACGCCCCCGACCATCATGGAGTCCAATCCCTGGACAATAGCGTTGCGGAAAGGCACCAACGCGGTGAGACTGAGCTGTTCCAGTGACTCCGTGATGATTGGGACATCGGTCTGAGACCCGAGAAATTCCAAGTTACCATATGAAGGAAAATGCTTGCCACAGGTGACCAAACCTGCTTTCTGGTAGCCCTTCATGAATTCCACACCGTATTGCGACACCTCTTGCGGGTCGTCACCGGTGGTGCGGACGCCTAGAGGCTGGGACCGTACGTTTGTGAGTACGTCTAGAACTGGGCCGAGGATCCAGTTGACCCCGACAGCCTTAAGCTCTTGTGCAGTGGCCGTTGCGACTTCGTGGGCCAGAGTTTTCGAACCCGTAGCGGCGATCCCCATGGCGCTAGGATACTGTCGGATGTATATCTCGTCATAAAGACTATTCACGCCCCCATTCTCTTGATCGAGAGCGATGAGGAGTGGTACCGGATGGCCAGCATCCCGGGCAATTGTCTGGAGTTCCAGGACCAGTCGCGTTGCATCCTCGGCAGCTAGACGTGGATCAGCATCGTAGATTTACAAAAAGGCAAGCGCACATGGCTGCAACGCAGCTACTGTCCATATGGGAAATGATAAGGGACAAGAAGGGTAAGGTGCGGAGATACATTTTAGATTTTTGGCAGTGAGTAGGACCGAGCCCAAATGGTAATCTTTAATCAATGAGCGGATCTGAGGGCTAACAGATGTTCCGTCGAAGCCCATCATAAAAAGCTGGCCCATCTGCCTGCCGAGGGACGATGTGGCAGCCTAACCGTCAGCCATGATCGATGGATAGAAAGGCAATGATGAGGGGAGGGGGTGCTTTTTCAAAGTTATGAAGGTTGAGAGAGGGAAGCGGAATAAAGAGGGAGAAGGGTGGATGGATGGGATGGATGACAGGATTAAACCGACGAGGGCGAGTAAGGTAACGTCCTGTTTGTTCCAGAACAGGCAAGTACAGGAAGTGATGTTCAACAGATGCTAAGTAAGACTTTGTAACTTGGGGAGTGTATCAATCAATGGCAAAGGAGACAGAAAGGGATCAAATAATCGGATTTGATCGAAAAAGGGAACGCCAAGGCTACACGCCTACCTGTCTAGATCCTCCCAGCCAGGCGGCAACATGTCCTCTTTGGGGGCCATGAGAGCCCGGCGTGGGAAGGAATGTTGCGGGTGCAATGGCAAAGTAAAGAAATCTCGTTTCGGGATGATGGATGGGGTAGGTAGCAGTAGCAGCAGTAATAGTAGCAGCAGTAATAGTAGCAGCAGTAGTAGGACTGATAGGGGAGAGGCGCTGTAGGTATGGAACGGAAACGCAACCACTGATCGGGCGGAATCGAGGGAGTCCCAGTGAATAAGGTAGTCGGTTGCAAACGTCAAAGAAAAGTGGGCGGACAGGCGCGCCGGCGCCGGCAGTTGATACCAAGCTACCTTCTGCTTTAGCTCGCAAGCTTCATGGATCAGATAAAGCCCGGGCGGATCGGAGAAGGGATCAGATGATGAGTGGCCGGTTGAGCGAGCCTCCAATTTCCCAAGATGGGAAGTCCTGACTACTAGTAGTACCTACTAAGTAGGTAACTAAGTAGCTGCTGGCAATATTCTGTCTGTCTGAGATCCGGTTGACTGCCGCGCTGACAACGGGTTGTGAAGGAGCCAACAACTCCAAGGGCATGAAGTCGAAGTTATCAAAAGCCAGGGTATATAGCCTGATAGACTGGGCTCTATGGCTTAGGAAGTCCCTTGGGAGCAGATAGATCATAGACTGATGCCGCCAATCCTATTGTCCATCTAGTAGATAGATTAGTATGATAGTCGAATCAACTTGGATGGCATCCTTCCTCCCTGCACCGGGTCTCGGTATTGGCATGTCTGCCAGCCCCCATGTGCTGGAAGAATAATGTTCCACCGGACAATCTGTGTGAAGTAATCACGTGGAGTATCAATAATACATTCACATTACGATACTGAAACAGTTACGGATGAAATTGATTTCCAGTCTGATACATACAATACGGTATGTTTGTACCATACCTTACCAGTTGGTCACAGCGGAGGGAGCCTGGAGGGTTGCATGGGTCTGTGACACACAGGGCTTGTTTCCCCGGTTTGCCGCGATGGCCGAATGCAACGGCAGCGCCCGCCAACAGACTTTGAACCAATTAAATGGAACGGAAGCACTGGGACGCTGCCCCGTCGGGTTAGGCGGAACTCCCCCTTCAACTCTTTATCAGTGTTATCTTCCAACATGATAGCTTACTAGTATCTACTAGTTACTTCGTAGATATGCCACACCACGGTCACCTGCCTCGGGGATGTCCTTCTTGGCAAGCTTCTTTGAGCATCTTCTCCAGCCGATTCGCCCCATGCCACCCCCTTCTGCAACATCACGTTGCTGCTGCTGATGATACCATTCGGTGACAATCGCTTTTTCATTTTTCTTTTTTTTTTCCCATCAGTTCTTTTCACCTCCCCGTGTCTCGGCTAACCTCTTCAGGTTCTTCTGCAGCTTTCTTGATGCTAATGCAGTACTCTGATTGGCAGCCTCATAGGAGTCATAGTAAGTACTACTAACTAGTTCTTGAAAAAGGACAATATTACCAGCAATGGAAGTGCTGCGTCATCGGACAGCTACCTGCCTTCAACCTGATACCTGGGAAGATACACTGGTGAACAATTTCGGCTCACGCATTCCTATCAGTGAAGGCACGGTCTTTCTATCCGCTCGGAATATACTCTTTGGGTGTATCATAGCGGCGAGGTCGTCGTCATCACCTACCGTGTGGTGATCTCGGCGTTGACTCGATGTAGATCTCACTGTAAGTCTACTAGTAGTAGTACCCGACTATGACACGGTCTGAGGGACAGTCCAGCAAGTCCATGTATCATTCTGTCACACTCCACATGGCCGATCGATCCAGACCTACCGGGTAGAATGGGAACTTGTACTGTAACAGAGCCATGGTTGGGATGGAGTTGCCTACTCTAACAATCATTATTAACCTCCCAACGGTACCCTGCCTCATTCTTCTTCCTCTCCTCTTCGCATCTCCAAAAAATATTATCCACTCCTCCAACCACTTCTCTACCGTCCCTCCCTCTCACTCCTCCTCTTCTTACCTTGCATCTCCTTCATCATCATTTCATTTCTTTCATCATATATCTACGACTCATCTTACTTTTCCATTTCTTTGTCCTCGCTTTTGTGAGACCCCTCATTGTTATCGCCCCTCCCATTCTTATCAGTGACGTAGTAGTCTCCTCATCCGCCTTCGGATTTCTTCCATCATGTGTGTTTCCCATCCCTGGGAAGCGGCTTTCCTCATTGATTCATTCTAATGTCCCTTTTTTAGGAGAGTAATCATTAGGGAGACTAGCCTTGAAGCTTCAGAATACATTGCAGATTACATCATTAGTATGTCTTCCCGGAAACTCGTCGTGCTTTCATCGTATTCTTCATTCTGCCACACCTCTATGAATTTGTCTGCTGTATGCGTTCACTTACTGATTATGCGGTCTAGGTCGCATAAAGTCGTTCAAGCCCAGTGAAGACCGGCCCTTTGTGCTGGGACTCCCGACTGGTAGCAGTCCTGAGATAATTTATAAGACTCTGGTGCGCCGGCACAGGGACGGTGATATCTCGTTCAGAAATGTCGTAACGTTCAATATGGTATGCATTAGTAGCCCCCCCCCCCCCCCCCCCCTCCCTTCTTTCATGCAAGCACTGTTTTCTTTGCTAAACAAACTAGGACGAATACGTTGGACTGCCTCGTGACCATCCGGAGTCCTACCACAGCTTCATGTACAAGCACTTCTTCTCCCACGTGGATATTCCGCCCCAGAACATCAATATCCTTGATGGTAACGCACCCGATCTCGCAGCTGAGTGTTCGTCCTTTGAGGCGCGAATTGCTCGCTATGGCGGTATTGAGCTCTTCCTGGGTGGCGTGGGTCCAGATGGGCATATCGCTTTCAATGAACCAGGCTCCTCCTTGAGTAGTCGTACTCGTGTCAAGACCCTGGCATATGACACAATCCTGGCTAACTCGCGGTTTTTTGGCAATGACTTGGACTTGGTGCCGCGGAGGTCACTGACCGTGGGTATTCAGACTATCATGGATGCTCGCGAAGTAGTCATCGTGGCCACCGGTGCTCACAAGGCTCTTGCTGTGGAGAAAGGCCTGGAAGGCGGCATCAACCACATGTGGACACTCTCAGCGCTGCAGCTACACCCATATGCGCTGATTGTCTGCGACCGAGATGCAACTCTGGAGCTGAAGGTCAAGACTGTTCGCTATTTCGAATCAATTGAACAATCCGGCACGGATGCACGTACTCAGGGTCCGCCTCTTGTCTACAGACCCAGGACATATGTTCCTGCCCCAGTGGGTGTCGTGAAACTCCAGCCGCCGCACATTCCTCAGAAAGCACCCAAGGATCTCCGAATCAACACGGAACTTAACACATCGGTAGAAGACGAGGAACTCACACCAGACAGCATGTCTTCACGTATGGTTGACTCGGCGATTGGAGGGCTGGATTCGACTCTGAAGGGGGACTTGTTCTTTGATCACATGGGCTCACGGGTTGCATCGCATTGAAGGGAGGGGGAGAGGTTGTGAGAATATCTACTCCGTGGGCAGTATTTGACCGGCTTCGGATTGTTGGTGGTAGAAGGTGGCCGGTGGGGGGGGGGGGGGGGGGCGGCGGATAACGTTGAATCGTAGATTGCGCGAGGGTCATGTGCTTGGGACTCAAATTTGTTTGTTCTTTTGGTTGGCATTTGTTTCGCGAAATTGATAGCTAGACGTGCTGTCTCTTTGCGATTATGCATTGGGAAATTCTGTTTTGTGCCAGGAAAGATATTAGATGGATTTACATGGCGTTTTAATTGCTGAATGAACATAGATTGACCGAGACTGTACAAAAAGACGAAAGAATGACAACGTTATATACATTGGTATGTTGTTTGCTCATCATGGGTATTTGTCTCGTTGCAACGTGCGGGTAACAAAGAGATACTAGTTGGTAATTGATACTGGTACTATGCGGATATTATCAGCACACTAACGACTCGTATGGTAATGTCCCGAACTCTTTTCGATAGGTATATGTACTTTTCATTCATCGGTTCCTATAGACATCCAGACATGTATATACGCGGGTCATTAAGCATACTTCATTTACAGCTTGGCAAAGACAGTGGCGACGGAGCCGTTCATATCCACCAGGGTGCTCTTGTTTCTCACCCAGGCCTCAATGCCGCGACGACCGTTCTCCACGCCCACACCGCTGTTCTTCCAGCCACCGACAGCCATCTCGGCCGGACTCTCGCCCCAGCTGTTGATCCAGGTGATACCGGCCTGCAATTGATCGATGACACGGTGGGCCAGGTTGAGGTCCTTGGTGAAGACACCCGCAGCCAGGCCCAGCTCAGTGGTGTTTGCCCGCTTCACCGCCTCCTCGACCGTCTCGTAAGAGAGGATAGACATCACAGGACCGAAAATCTCCTCCTTGACGATGCGCATGTCATCCGTGCAGTCAGTGAAGACAGTAGGACGGACCCAGTATCCGCTTTCCAAGTCCTTGGGGACTTGCGGCTTGCCCAGCCCACCATATAGAAGGGTGGCCTTGTCCGTCTCGATTCCGTGGCGGATGTAGGAGGCCACCTTCTCCATGTGGACGGCTGAGCTCAGGGGCCCCATGTTTGTGGCTTCGTCGAACAAAGGTCCGGGGCGGATGTACTGCATCTTCTCCAAGAGGCGCTTTTCGAAAGCAGCCTTCATGCTCGAGGGAACAAAAACACGGGTACCGTTGGTACAGACCTGGCCAGTGCTGTAGAAGTTGGCCATCATCGCACCATCCACGGCATTATCCAAATCGGCGTCAGGAAGAACGATGAGGGGACTCTTGCCTCCAAGCTCCATGGTCACGTATTTCATGTTGCCGGCGGCAGAACCAGCAACCTTCATTCCGGTGGACACCTGGCCTGTGAAGGAAACCTTGGCAATCGTGGGGTGAGCAGTCAGGTAGGCACCCACGTCGCCTGCACCATACACCACGTTGAAAACACCTGCGGGAAGACCAGCTTCCGTGTAGATCTGAGCCAACGTCTGAGCGTGGAGCGGAGTGAATTCACTCGGTTTGTAGACCATGGTGTTTCCGGCAGCCAGGCAGGGAGCAGATTTCCACAGCGCACTGGTTGTGTTTAGTCAGATTCCCGTTGACCTTCAAAAAAAAAAAAAAAGAAAAACCGATTGAAAGAGGGTTCGATCTAGATTCGGGAGAGAAGCGAGTTGTCCTTACATTTGGATAGGGTAGTTCCATGCGCCGATACCCGCGCAGACACCTAGCGGGGCCTTCTTCGTGTATACCCAAGCATCTTCCCTCAATTGAGTAGTCTCGCCATTCAGACCACCACCACCCACCAGGTTCGCATAGTACTCCAGGACATCGGCACCAGTGACCACATCCACGGTGCTCGTCTCCGTGTAGGCCTTTCCGGAATCGAGAGTTTCAACACGGGCAATTTCATCATTGCGCTCACGCAGAAGGGAGGCAGCTTTCTGGAGGATGCGGGCACGAGCGATAGCAGGAGTCTGAGACCAGGAAGGGAAGGCCCGGTCGGCAGCGGCGATGGCCGAGTCTACATCGGCGTGAGCGGCGACTTGGATATCAGCCAACGGGGTATCGTTGGAAGGGTTGATGGTTTGAAAAGTCTTGCCGGAAGTGGCAGGCTGGACCTTGCCATCATAGTAGAGTTGGCGCGTAGGAAATGGGAGGGACATGGTTGGAAGGGTGAATGAGGGATAATAGAGGGGGGGGGAAAGGGAGTTGATGCAGTGGACTGTAAAACCACTGAAAGAAGTTAACGGGGTTCAAGAAGGTTCAAAGGGGGATAGATAGACACGATAAAAAGTGAGGGGAGGGGAAAAAAGAGATGTTTCAAAAAGTAGTAGAAAGTAAGAGAAGCATGAATGTACAGATCAGGTACCTCGGCGAAGCGCCTAAGCCGAAAACAGTACTCCATGGCTACACCGCCAACCCGATGATTTGCTGGAATTCCCAATGATGTAATCCGGCAGGCGGCGATCCCTTTATTTTATTTTCTTTTTAATTTTTCTCTTTTTATTATTATTATTATCATCTTTATTTTTTGGATCATAATTTTTCTCACTCTCGGCTTTATCTTTTTCATTTTTAGATTTGGGGAGATAGTTCCTGTAAATGACTTAGTCTGGCTAACCTCTTGACTGATAAGAGGGCCTCTTCCATAGGTCGCCGGGATAGATATCTGTTGTATACTACTAGTAGTAGGAGATACGTACATAGAAGACAGATAGAATCTCGAGGGAGGATAAATTGAGTACTCAGTAAGCTATGGCTCAATGTGGTATCTCTATACATCTCCCGTCTCCCTCTCCCTCTCTCCCCTATCCCATCTTTTCCTCCCCTCAACTTTTCCAACTTTCGCACCAAAGCAGGCAATCCGATCCCGGGATTCGCCTCGGCCCTGCATCTCCGATAGAAATAACCGTTGGTTAGCGCCCAACTAGTAGGCGGGATCGTGGCGTGCCCTAGTGTTTGGATCTCGTGTGGAGTGCCCGCCCGGTTACCATCCACGACGGGCAGACTTCGGAATTTGACCGTGGCAAATTCACACTCCGCCTTGCTGTTCCGCCGATTCTGCGGTGCTACCTCTTTCCCCGTATATATACTTACTACTAAGACGTAGTACGAGACCGGGACATCTGATGAATATCTGGCTAAATCTTGGGGAAGGCTGAGTAACAATCCGGGGGATTAGAAGATCACGTAACAGTTTTGGCATGCCAAAGCGCTTACGCATCCCGAAACTGACCAACGAAAAAAAAAAACTTTGGTTAAGAACTTTGTTCCGCCTTTGCCGTTGGTCTTGGCTTTGACTAATAAGCCCACCATATCTCTGGCCCCACCAGTCAGCAGCCATTGTTGATCGAGAATTTGATGCGGTGGGGTAATCGGTGTGGGTCCTGGCTCCCTCCGGAATGGGTTTAGAGAGAGATCCACCGGCAGAAAAGGGAAAGAATGGTGAGAAAAAAGAGTGAGAAAGGAACAGAACGAGGCCAAACAGCATAAGGAATCCAGAAAGATAGGGAAGTGGATGGATGAATGGATGGATTGGATGGATTGGATGGCCTGACAATTCAGCCTCAGAAAGCACCGCAACTCTTGCTGTCTTGCAAAATTTAAAAAACCCCAGTTTCATCTTTCCGACTTCTCTTTCTTTTTCCTCTTTTCTCTAATTCCTCTTCTCCTCTCTGTCGCGCACCCATCCCCCTTCTTCTCCTCATCCTTATCTCTTATCCTGTTTCCCCTCTTCTCCAAATCTTCCTCGTTCTTTTCCTGATCTCTCTTGCGTAAAAGTAATATATCCTCTTGTCTTCATCTTTCAAAATGGCCACCACAAACGAATTCCCCGCTAGCGATGTCAACAGCTACGACTATGTCATCGTCGGAGGTGGCACAGCTGGCTGTGTCATCGCCAGTCGTCTGGCTGAATACCTGCCCAACAAGCGCATCCTCATCATCGAGGGTGGTCCCAGCGACTTCATGGATGATCGCGTGCTCAAGCTGAAGGACTGGCTCAACCTGCTTGGCGGCGAGTTGGACTACGACTACCCCACCGTTGAACAGCCCATGGGTATGTTGTGAAACCTTTCTCCCTGCATTTAAACCACCACTTTTCTCTCGACGCTATATCAATCCCAGATCAAACTTCTCATGCCTTTTTTTCTACTGCACAGGTAACAGCTACATCCGTCACTCTCGCGCAAAGGTTCTGGGCGGTTGCTCCAGCCACAACACCCTGATCTCTTTCCGTCCCTTCGAATACGACTGCAAGAGATGGGAGCAGGCCGGCTGCACTGGCTGGTCCTTCGATACCTTCACCCGCGTCCTGGACAACCTGCGCAACACCGTTCAGCCCGTCCACAACCGTCACCGCAACCAGCTGTGCAAGGACTGGGTTCAGGCTTGCTCCTCCGCCATGAATATCCCCGTCATCGAAGACTTCAACAAGGAGATCCGCTCCAAGGGTGAATTGACTGAGGGTGTCGGTTTCTTCTCCGTCTCTTACAACCCCGATGACGGTCGTCGCAGCAGCGCCAGTGTCGCTTACATCCACCCCATCCTTCGTGGCGAGGAGAAGCGACCTAACCTGACCATCCTCACCAACGCCTGGGTGTCCCGCGTCAACGTTGACGGAGACTCCGTGACTGGTGTTGATGTGACTCTGCAGTCAGGAGTCAAGCACACCCTGCGCGCCAAGAAGGAGACCATCCTGTGTGCTGGTGCCGTCGACACCCCCCGTCTGATGATGCTGTCTGGCCTGGGACCTCGCGAGCAGCTGTCTGGCTTGGGAATCCCTGTCGTGAAGGACATCCCCGGTGTGGGTGAGAACCTCCTCGACCACCCCGAGAGTATCATCATCTGGGAGCTCAACCGCCCCGTTCCCCCCAACCAGACCACCATGGACTCGGACGCTGGTATCTTCCTGCGTCGTGAGCTTCCCAACGCTAATGGCTTCGATGGCCGTGCTGCCGACATTATGATGCACTGCTACCAGATCCCCTTCTGCTTGAACACCGAGCGTCTGGGTTACGACACCCCGGTCGATGCCTTCTGCATGACCCCTAACATCCCTCGCCCTCGCTCCCGCGGTCGTATCTACCTGACCTCGGCCGACCCCAGCGTCAAGCCGGCCCTGGACTTCCGTTACTTCACTGACCCCGAGGGCTATGATGCTGCTACTATCGTGGCTGGTCTCAAGGCTGCTCGTGAGATTGCCAAGCAGTCGCCCTTCAAGGACTGGATCAAGCGCGAGGTCGCCCCCGGCCCCAACGTGCAGACCGACGAGGAGCTTTCCGAGTACGGTCGCCGCGTTGCCCACACTGTCTACCACCCCGCTGGTACTACCAAGATGGGTAACCTGACTCGCGACCCTATGGCCGTCGTCGACCCCAAGCTGAAGGTCCGTGGCCTGAAGAACGTTCGTATCGCCGATGCTGGTGTCTTCCCTGAGATGCCCACTATCAACCCCATGTTGACTGTGTTGGCTATTGGCGAGCGTGCCGCGGAGCTCATCGCCGAAGAGGCCGGATGGAAGCGCGAGCAGCCCCGTCTGTAAGCGTGTGGCCATTCCCATCCGAACAGCAAAACAGCAAAATCGAAACAAAAATAAAAAAAAAAGTAAATAAAGAGCAGGGAGTTGCTTATGGAATGGCGCATGCATGACCCAAGCGAGTGAGATTTTTTCTTTGCATGTGCAGTCTCCAAGTGAGGGCGAGAGCTTTCGATCGACAGATGCATGCATATGCGATGGAGTTGGCTTGCCTTACATGATTTACGATTGATGATTTTGAGCGAAGAAAAGTAGCCAGATCAGGTGAAGGTTCATGGATATACAGTTATCTGTCATTAGCTTGGAATCCTGGCTTGTCTTTTTTAGATGGTTTGGTTGCTGTTGCTGTACCATTATCTTGTGTACAGTGTGATCTGGGTTGTCATTCAACTCAAGACACGATCTGCTTGTATTATATAGCGCCAGCATGTTCATGCGCAGGAAGCACCAGACATACTAAAATAAATAGACATAAGAGTTCATTTCCAAACTGCTTAGCATACGACTGTAGAAACGAAACATATCTTCTTAAAATTAGCTGGAATGACGTGTATCTATCATTGACTTTCTATTTACTATTCACGTGGGAGGTCTACTTTATCCCGGTGGTTTAAATGACCCAAATACAGAAAGAGGTAACGAACAGAACCCAAGAGAGCCCACCCCCATTCAAGTCTCTAAACCGACGCGAGCCAAGAAGAAACGAAAAGCAGAAACCAAACCAAAACTCCCAAGCCTGCTATAGAGAGAGAGAGAGAGAGAGAAAGAAATTTCGAGCGTAACGCATGAATGATTGAAAACCAGACAGTTTCTGCAGCGCATGACTTGTCCAGACAGCGTGCGTGAGCAGGCCAAAAAGCCGCCGCATCTTATTTGTCGGTATCGTAGATCTTGACTCCGCGCTTCCAGACTTGTCTCACAGTCAAGGTGGGGCCCGAGAAGGGGTCCTCTTCATCATCCAGCACAAGCAAGTCCGCATCCGCGCCACTCTCCAGGGATCCCTTGACGCCCTGTAACCCCAGGAGGCGCGCGGGGGTGGCGGAGGCAGCGTTGAGCGCTTCGGCCGTTGAAGCGCCTGACCAGCGACGGAAATTGTTGACGCACTCGATGAGGGTGGCTGAGCTGCCGGCGATTTTGTCCGAGCCTTCGAGGGTCAGCCGGGCACCGGACTTGATGATGCGCTCGCCATTGGTCCAGTCATAGATGCCGTCAGGGAGACCGCATAGCTTCATGGCGTCAGTGACGAGAATGAGGCCGTCGGGGTGGGCGTTGTAGGCAATCCGGATTGAAGTGGGATGCAAGTGGATGCCGTCGGCGATGACGCCGTAAAATGGTCGCGGGCATTCATTCTGCCCTAGGAGACCGAAGATACCGGGGTTCCGGTGGTAGAAGGGGCGCATTGCGTTGAAAAGATGGGTGATCATGGTGGCGCCTTGCTGGGTGGCGGTGAGGGCTTGCTCGTACGTTGCGTCCGAGTGGCCAATGGAGTAGATGATGTCCTCTGATGTGAGGGAGGGAATGTTCGGCAGCATGTCTCCGACTTCGGGAGCTGCTGTGATCATGCGCACTGATTTGCATGGGCCAGTGAGGTTCTCTTTGCCATAGCAGGCGATGATATCTTCGAAGCACGTTGCTGCACGAAGAACTTCTGTCTTATGCACGCCATTACGACCGGTGCTGATGAATGGACCTTCGACATGAGCGCCTAGCGACTCGGCACCATCTTCGGCGCGATGGCTCTCTCCAGATGAACCTAGAGATGGGAGTACCTGCGTTCAAGTATGAGCCTCTTCGTCATCTATTTCCGGAGAAGGTTGGTGGCCGGGGTTGGGGGGGAGGGGGGGGAAATTGAGACATACCTGCCAGTAGACTTCGGGAGTAGAGCTGACTACCGTCGGCAAGTATGAAGTCACACCCGTCCTGGCAAGACCTTTGTTAACGGCCCGCAGACCTTCATCATATAGTTCCTTTGAAGCCTGGGGAACCGAGAAGTCGAAGCCCTGAGCACCATTTAACTGTACATCGATGAGACCGGGAGCCAAGATGCGGCCGCCTAGGTCGATGACCTTGTCGGGGGAGAGATGTAATCCATAGAAGGCCTCCTGATCCTTGAGAATTTTCCCGGAGATTGAATCAATCCATACATCCTGCTCGACGAGGTCAAGTCCCTTGACGATGCGGCAGTTGGTGAACTTGGTGATGCGGGGTAGGGAGGTGGATGTTTTGCCAGGCATGATGGTATACTCCGAGCCGCGCCGCGCTCACAACCGGACTTGGGAGTCAGTCGATGATGTGAGAGAAGGGAAGTGTCTGAACTACTAAGGGGATAAGCGGAAGAGACGGACGAGAGGAAGGAAGAAGTTTGTTGCGGGGTAGGAGGGAAATTGGTAGGACATTATGAATGAATGGAAAACTTGGAGGGAATACTACATGGTGACATTGAACCAGGAACTCGGATGGGGCAAAGGCAGGGGCAGGCAACGTGGACAAGCTCGATCGCCCATGATGATTGTGCGGTTGGCCTCGGGAAAAGCGGCTTGGGGTAGTTGACGTTGCCATTCCCATGGATTGGGAGCGTGATGGTTGGAATGTGACGTCGATGTGTAGAGAGATGAGTATGGATCGGAAAGTGAAGACGAGAGATCGCGAGGGACGAGGTGACATTTCTTCCCCGGGATCCGTCCATGGTTGGGAGTAAGGAGTTACTCCGGAGTGGCTAAGGGAGATAGCCGATGGAGCAAGTGACTACAATACGACTGAAAGGTCGACTTGATCAATTAGTCTTTTTAGACGAGCAAGCAGTCAATGGGAAATGATGTGGAAAGCTGCGCAATTGATGGGTAGAATTACTTGGAGTATGTGGTGAGGTCATGTTGCATATTGAGCTCCTAATCTCGTCTGTCTCGTCATAACCAATACCAACACGAACAACCCTCCGTATCTTACAGGAAGGACAGTTGAATCAGTGAAACCATACGAACAATACAATCATACCGCTGGGATACCAAACACCGTCTGGCGTGATACATGTCCACGTGACTCAAAGTACTTGCCTTTTTCAGACACTCTGAATTGCAGACCCCAAACGGGAAGGAACAGTGTGCTGTTGTTTGTCTGCATGCATTCATTCCTTCCTTCCTTTCCCATTCCCGCTTTCCTATCCTTTCAGCTTCTCTTACTGCTAGTGAACACTTCTAATAACTCTCTCCATTCCCTTGACTTCTTTTTCACTTCACTTCTCTCTTTCTTTGTCTATCTCCCTGGCTAATCGTTATTGTTTTCCATTTCACTTTCTCCCGCCCCTTGGTGGTGGATTGCCTTTTTTTTTTTTTTTTTTTTTTTTTTTTTTTACCTTTTGTGTTACCTCTTTCCTTCTTTCTGCTGTGCTTCTTTATCCAATGGGTCATTGGGTTCGGTTACTGGGTCCGGTCCGACTCCACTGGGCGGGGAAGACCCAAGAAGAACCTCGTCGGTAGCGAAGCCCACCAGCGCAGGTTAGCGGAGCGGGAGAGAAGAGGGTTTTGGGTTTTGGATGCTACCTCACGACGACCGTACCAGCAATTGAGCCGAATCGTCTCCCCGCATTCGGCTAAGCTTCGAACGAGCGATGTCACCGTTGCCTTTGCAGCTCAGCCAGGTGAATCAGGATGGCTCCATAGCCAGATTAACCACCTGGAGGCTGACTCTGGGTTTGTTTGGTTGCAGCAACTCATGTGGTCCATCGGGCTTGTTCGCTCTCTCTCCGTCTCTCTCTGTCTCTCTCTTATCGTCTTCACCACCAACCCATTAACTATGGATCCGATGACGGATGAGTTCAGCCGGATTATCGATCCTGTCCAACTGACATTCAGTCGAAGGAAATATCAGTAAAAAGTCCGTCCTTTCAATTCTCCTCTCTCTCTTCTTCTTTTTTCCCTGCACAACTTTTTACCTTCTCCCTGGCTGTTCTGCTATCACTGTGATTTGTGCTTTTGCTCCATTCACATCTTCCTCCTATATCTCCAACCCCTGGAGATAAGCCTCCCCTCCCGTGATAACACGCGACTGGTCTTGGGGTCTCGACCATTGCCCTCGTGGTTGTCATTTGGCAGACTTGCATCAGAGGTGCATTGCTAGTCTGATTAACTTCCTGGTCGGATCTTCGATCGGCTACTTGACAACTCGAATCATTCTCGTGTCTCCCTTTTCATTGTTATTCCCTTGGCCATTGATTGGGTTAACATTTTCTGTTACCTCCGCCCTTATTTTGAGTTGCATCTCCGCATTTTCATTTCTCTTACTCATCTTTTCCCCCCTACTTTCTATCTCGTTTTGACCTTTGGGTCGCTTGGGGTCGAGTGGATCGTGTCGATTGTTCTTTACTGCATCCTGCGACTGATCCGGTTCCCGCTAGAGTCAGTCGAAGGCCGATGATTCGTTGTGGTGCTTGACTATCTCGCCGTCTGACCACGCCGGCTCTCACTAAACGAGTAAGCTAGTCCTTCTAGTGCGTCTTCTTTGCCCACCCGCTCGAGGGACCCAGAGATAAGGTACGACGGCTTTTTCTTGTCATCCCATTGAGTTTCCCATTTGCTATTGGGTTTTGTGCGTTGCAACACTGGCGTTGAATCGGCTGTTTGTCTATCTGGTTGTTCTTCGTATCGTGGAGCTACCACCACTGCTACTTCCTTCTCTGCCTATCTCTTGTGTCTCGTTTGTCTTCCTCCCCGATGATGGCGGCTGTTATCACCGTTGTCTCATCCTTTCTACTCCCACCGTGGTATCCTTACCCCATGTTGATCCCTCACAATTAGGCGCCCTCTCCTCGTGGCTTAAGCAGGTGAGATTTCCATCAGCTGGATGTTACGATTCATATCCGAGCCCCCGGAGATAAAAATAAGCCAGAGCCCCCATCGACCTTAATTTCTCTTTTCTCACCCAATTCATCATCACTACTGCTGCAGCTTGGGCCAAGGGTTTCACACTTATTTATTTTTCCTACTTGCGCCCGTGACCAGTCACTGTTTTGCCTTTTCTGGTTCTGTGCCCACCCCTTCATTCTTACCCCGGATCATCTAAGACATCCTTGCCTGATCCTGCCTCTTTTCTTTTCTTTTTTTTTTCTTTTCTCCCCTTCTACCTCCTTCACTGCCAAAGTCCGACCCTTTTAAATTTAGTTCTCTGGGTCCGCCCCAGTGTGTGTGTTACCAGATTTCTACATATTTTGGATCTCTGACTCCTCCGTCATCCTTCTCATTTCCCCCGGGGTAGTTCCGTCCTTTCCTCCCACAGTGATAGCCTTCATCCCATTTGCTTCCCTCCGTTGTATCTTCGTCTTATATTTCTTTTATTTTTCTTCCTCTTCCCCCTTTTACTTGTTTTCGTTCTTAGCTGTCTCTCTTATCTTTCCATACTCAACTATCTATTCGTCGCGTCCGTTTCCCTGCACGTATTTCTCTACACTGCCGCTGTTTACACCTGCACATACATGCCATTGATCCCGTTTACATATGCACACCTCTGCACATTTTGAGTACATCTGCTGACCTGCCGAAAAGTCGCAAATCAATATACTCCAGCTGCCATTGTTCCTTGGGCATCTTCATCTACAATTGAAGTTGTCTATCAACAACAATGGCTACCACTACAACGGGACAGGAAGACCTCCATCATGAGAAGGAAGTCCCCGCGGTCACTTCAGATCCAGAAGCCGGTCATGAACCCCAGCTCACCGGTAAACCGTGGATGTACAAACCGATCAAGATCGGTCCCTGGTCGTTGCCGTACTTTGCCTCCCCAGAATCCCAGCTTCTGCTGGTCTCCTTCGTGTGCTTCCTCTGTCCGGGCATGTTCAATGCGGTCAGCGGTTTGGGCGGGGGTGGTCAGCTGGACCCTACCGATGTCAGCGACTCCAACACCGCTCTGTACAGCACCTTTGCAGTAGTTGGTTTCTTCGCCGGGTCCATCGCAAACCGCATTGGTCTCCGTCTGACTCTCTCTATTGGTGGCTTTGGCTACTTCCTCTATGTGGCTTCCCTTTTGTCGTACAACCATAACAAGAACTCCGGCTTCCTGATCTTTGCGGGCGCGCTATTAGGTGTCTGCGGTGGTCTGCTGTGGTGTGCGCAGGGTGCAGTCATGATGAGCTACCCGAATGAAAAGGAGAAGGGTAAATTCATCGCTATTTTCTGGGTGATCTTCAACCTGGGTGGCGTGATTGGAAGCTTGGTGAGTCCTTTGGTGGTTCGATCAATCTGGTAGTACTTCTCTGACCCTGATATACAGGTACCTTTGGGTCAAAACCTGCACTCTGAAGCTGGTCAGGTGAATGATGGCACCTACATCGCTTTCATGGTGCTCATGGCGCTTGGCTTTGTCCTTGCCTGGGCCCTCTCAGACTCGAAGTATGTCAAGCGCAAGGATGGCTCGCATGTCATTGTGATGAAGAACCCCACGTGGAAATCCGAATTCAAAGGTCTCTACGACACCATTCGCACCGACTATTACATCATCCTCTTCTTTCCCATGTTCTTGGTGAGCAACTGGTTTACTGCATATCAATTCAACAGTGTCAATGGTGCTTATTTCACCATCCGGACGCGGGCCCTCAACAATCTCCTCTACTGGCTTATGCAGATGGTTGGCGCTTTCGTGTTCGGCCAGATCCTCGATTTGAAGTACCTTACCCGCCCAGTCCGAGCCAAGCTTGGTCTTGGACTCCTCTTTGCCCTCACCATGGGCGTTTGGGGCGGTGGTTATGCCTTCCAGAAGACATACACCCGGAAGACCGTCGAGGCAGATACCGACTGGACGACCAGCGGCTATGTTGGGCCCATGTTCTTGTACATGTTTTATGGGTTCTATGACGCTGCCTTCCAGACTTGTGCATATTGGTTCGTAATGCCATTACCTCCCTTTTCTAACGGCTGCTCTTATTGTATGCATTTTACTGACGGATACGGGTTGTGTAGGTTCATGGGTTCACTGACTAATAACGCTCGAAAATTGGCCAACTTCGCCGGTTTCTACAAAGGCATCCAGTCTGCTGGTGCAGCTGGCATGTGGCGGTGAGTCTTAGAGAAAACCCCTCGCTCGCGAAGTGAGGTGTAGAAGCTAATGAATATGCTTTGCTGCAGCATGGACGCCGTGGGAACCCCTTACATGACGGAATTTGCCTCCTGCTGGGGCCTGCTTGCCGGCAGTCTCGTCATCGCGGCGCCCGTAGTGTTCTTGAAGATCAAGGAGCATACGGACGTCGAAGCAGACCTCAACTTCTCGGACGAGACCGCTCAAGAAGTCGGTGTCCCGCTGGAAGACCATCCTTCTGAGAAGAAGCAGGAGCCGGAGATGGCTATCGTGAAATAATGTCTAGGCTTTTTTTTTAAACACGCATTCCATTTCAGCGGAAAGAGGTTGCTGGAGTTCCATGTTGTCCAGGCATTAGCCTCTGTCATTTTGGTGGTTGGTTATGTTTATTTTTTCTTTTGTGTTATTCCGCTGGATATCCATGATCAGATTGGGTTTTGGAGCGTATCACGACATCCTGCTGAGGCACAATTACGTAAGCCATCAGCAAGTTACGAACTACCGTAATGGACTTAATATGACATGACTTTTATGGTCACTGCAAAATGATGTAAGACACCTGATAAGTTTAGGATGACATTATGGTAGGACCACACAGTGGTAGGATAAAAGTTGACTAGAGCAAGCATGTCTAGGAAAGCTTCCGTGCCACTCTTTTAGGTTATGGACAAGTATCGGAATGGATAACACAGCATTAGCCATACCAAAGAGGGAAAAATTTCCCCCAATCCTAATTGACGGTGGTACTCGACGCCGTGGACAGTGGCACGAACGACTCCGTGTGTGTAGCCTGCGATGTCCCGTTGGTGCTATATTCGGGCCAAATCTGAGTTGTACCCGCTGCAATATCCCATCCAAATAAAGTACGGTTGAACAGCTGCAACGCTGCGATCGGTTGATAGTATGGAACCTCGTGCCCAGCCTGATATACGCGGGTGAACGAAAAGTTGCCATACTCGCGAGTCTCACCGTATTCGACCCCATCTACTGTCATGGGTGTGTATCCCGCTGCACGGAACTGAGCTGCATGGGGGTAGTTAACTGCGAGTGAGATGGCCTGACCGCCGAACCAGTTACAGATATAGTCGGCATCGCCGTAGATCAACGACACGCGTACGGGGAGTTGGAGGATCTCTTCGAGGTCCTCAATGAAATTCGGCCATACAAAGTCGCCGGTCTGCTGGAATGCATAATATACTTCGCCGCTGGACTCGGTGTAGTTAATGTCCACGCCGATAGCATCCATGACTGAGTCTTTCTTGAGGTAGTCAACAAAGTAGGACGGCGGGGTCGGGTCCTACGTTGACATATGAGCAGTGTCCCTGTTCGGAAAGTACAATCCTTATCCTTGCCACTTACATTGTAGGGGTGCCGAATATCATACACGCCACGGCCGCCAAACTGGTAGTAAGGCCCTTCTGTACATGACAGCTTAGCAAAGTCCTTCATCATTGCACCCCTGCAGAGAAACAGTAGAACCACTCACCGACATTGTCCCTGCACATATTGGCTGCTTCTGTACATATAGCATAATCAGAAAGCGAGGTCCTATTGGTCAATTTACACGAAGCAACCTGATCCTGGCATCCATTTGGCATCGTGTTGGCGAACTTCATATAGTTGTACACTGTGTCATTGACCTAGCAAGCATGAGCACGGTTGATCTTAAATCCACGATGTACGTGTATTTAAACTTACAGCTTTGATTCCATATGTATTATTAACGGCAAAGTCTGCGTAGTAGTCTGCCTATTAATTACTTTAGCGATGTCCTTCTAGGCCGCAGCCTCTGCGCGAGCTGCATTTCTAAGTACCTGAATCGCGGCATCAATGATGCCGTTGATAATCCCGAGGGAGTTAAAATTCAGTTGGACGCCATTGACTTCCCCGCTAGCGATCTTCGAATTTTGCTCGTAGAAATGATTGAAGAACTTCGGTCATTAGATCAATATGTGTGCAACCAGAAAAGACAACCTACCGCTGGTCCATAGTGTCTTGATCAAGTCAGCTTACGTCGGTCTGGTATGAAAGTTGCACTCACCCTCCGTAACTCTCTGTCCACAGGTTGAACTCCTTGGACTTGACTTCGGAATCTAGCTGCGACAGGCCACTGAGGAAGCCCTGAAGCACCTCCCAGGTTGCGCGTGCAGCGATATCGGTCGTGTCTGTAAAGTAGGACATTGAGGAGAATGCTAGGTGAGAGTCAAACCGGACAACTTACCGATGATAGTGGCATCAATAACTGGGTATCGACCCTGAACTCCAGCAAAGGAGGCGTTCTCGACGGCTCCAGTAAATGGATTCAAGGACCCGGCCTCGGTTTCACTGTAAGAGAACCCTTCGCAGATAAGACCGTAAGCAATGTACTCAGGATGTATGAAGGCAGCAATATTCCATACCCACACCGAGGGGCTGAGACAAGAAAAGAAGATTGGTGACCTCGTTCCAGGAGTACTGATTGATGATTGATTCGTACTCTGGTGTGATGTGACACGGACCCAACTCTGTTGTGAAGGCGTCAGAACATGCAAGCTGAATTTTATCTTTTCCGTCAGGATATTTGGCCAACCTTCAAAAAGCCCAATCAAGGAATCGCTTCCAGGGCCACCATTCAGCCACAGAGTCACTGGATCATTTTCGGGGTCACGGCGTGACTCGAAAAACCAAAAGAAAGTATGCGACTCTGGCGAAAGATCGACATATCCGGAGTATGATTTGACCCCAGGTGTTGTCTCACAAATTCCTTCGGTTCCTGGTTCTTTATACCTGATAGTGACATTGTTTGGGGTTTTTATCGATTTGACGCCAGTGGACGCTTTTGGTAACTGCCTTCTTATCGTAGATGACCATTCATTCTCGGGCATAGCACAACTAAGTGCAGCCAGGGGCAACAAGAGCACCAACCGAGAGCCACGCATGGTGTGTTGTTCAATGCAAGGACAGACTTAGTCACAGCTATACCTAGTTAATAACCCTCGAAGATTAAATCTATACATGCACCACAAGCCACTCGAGAATTTCTTCAAGGAGAACGGTCAGCAAAAGACCGATGGGTGGGGGATGCCATCCTCAGGGCTTTATATACATCGTTACATGAGCGACAAAGTTTGAGGGAAAACCCCCAGGCCCACATGGTGTGAGGGGAGGAAAATTCATATCCAGTGGATAGAAGATACATGCTGGCGGAGATTAGCATGCCATGCAGATCGCAGGAGACAAGCACTATTGTGTGGAAACGATGTTGTATCCCGCCACCATTTCCGGCCTGATCGGTGAGGCGTCAGTTAAACAGCTCAGGATCTCCTTCAATAACCGAGGCGGATTGACTGGATAGGAAGAGGGGGGAGGATGGAGCCGAACCCTGCATAAGAGATCCCGCGGCCATTTTGCCAATAATAGCGATAACACATTGTCTCGCTAGTGCTGTACCTTAGTGTCTTGGTCCGACTCCGTGCCTCCAGGACCTGAACCCAATCATCCGTGGTTGATTGGCACTGCAACGGTTGACTGAGCGAATTTGGGCCCGGAATCAAAAGGCTATTAGGAAAGGATTGTGACTCAGTCAATGTGGTATTGGTGGCCCAATTTCCTTGGCGGCAGGTATTGGATAACATGGGAGAGCTATTTGTTGGTTGCACAATGGCAGACGCTGTGGCTGTGAGTAAGATGATGCAGGGCCCGGGATTAAACAGGATGGTTCGACTGCCCGGTGCGGGGGAATAAGGCCAAGAAAAGACACAAAACAGGAGAAGATGTGCAGACCATCGTTGACACCAATGAAAGAAAGATAAATGGGAGGCGAAGAAGATGGAGGGAGAAAGTGGATGGAGGGAGAGACAAACAAACAGACAGGAAGTGCCTGACCCAAACCACCTGCCTAATCGGGACTGGTATGCACGGGACCTCCCCTCAATCACTTCTTGAGCACATCTTTGATTCCCCACTGGGACAGCAAACTAGCAAAGACTGATTGCCCAGACGGTTTTCAGGCGTACGTTCGTACCCACTCAAGATGTTGCATGGGGACCGATTATGAAGGTATGAGGACGGTTTGTTTCACAATTTCCTTCCAACAAAAACCCGAGAAGTGCCACCCTTGTTTGATCCCATCTGTAGATGTCCGTTGCTTCAACCCAGCAGAGGACCCTCTGAGAGCACTACCCAATTTTAATATGTAAAGAGAGCACAATGAACCGATCAGTATTGACTGAAGAGATGCCGACAGAAGTAACAGCGACGAGAAGATCCCTCCCAAGCGGTCAATGGGTGGAGTTCACTGCAAGGGTGATCAAGCAGCAGCAGCACAGACACACTTGAAGAATGCCAGGCAAGGGTGGTTGGTCTACAAGAAGTCGAGATCCTCTTCGATTCATCGATCTACATGCCCCCTTATGACAATTGGCTGTTCGCTCGTCATATAGAGTTAGTTCAATAAACAAACACCATCACAGCTCTCTGACGGGGCCAATTATACCACAACCCGAGTAGTATGCGTTAGGTCATTCATTTTCTCGTGTCGTACTTTTCGACTTTGTATGTACATATATAATGGGAACAATCGCCCCGTGCAGAAGGGGAAAACAGGCACATGAAGTACATAAGAAACAAGCATCAAACGATCCAAGGTTTAAAGGTTTCCAAACCTGGTATATAAAAGCCCGTGAACGCCAAGCGCCCATTTCCCTTTGATGCACCCAAATGTTGTTAAAAGGGGCCTATTTCAACAAATGGCCAAACATGATCGCCAAGGGCAATGCAGAAAGCAAACGAATTTCAAGTCACTGGCACAAATATTGGACGATGTCGCAAAGGTGTTTCCAAGTCGCTTAAAGACTCAGGCCGACTTCCGCATCGAGGTCGGCTGCGAAAGTGTTCATGTCGTTCCGTAATGCCGCCGCGCGATCGTCGGCAAGCTGTCCGTCTCCCAAGCCGGTCAAATCAACGCCTTGTTTCTCAGCATCGAAACCCATGATGTCGGAAAGGTTGTTCATGGTACCCAAGCCGAAGCCATAGTTCTTCCCATTACCATTCCCAGTGTTTAAACCATCATCGGGAGCAAGGAAATCCGCACCGGCATCGTCAAAGTTTATCAAGGCATCAAAGTCGTTCTGGGTCACTTCCGCATCATTCGCCAGATCCATGAGTTCACTGATGCTCAGCTCCGAATCGAAGTTGGGGATGGTAAAGGCATCCTGGTGATAGCTGGGGTTGATGTTGCTGGTGCTCCCATTCTCGCTACCGTCGGAGGGTGGAGGCGTTGATGCGAACTCAGGACCGCTTTCCTTGGGAAGTTGACTGGCACGTCTTGCGCCATCAGATTTCGGGTACGTCAGGTCAGGGATCTTCTGCGCAAGAGAGTCGGGGGGTGGCGTCAAAGTGTTGACGCGTGCTGAGGTGTCAACAATGTTGTTCGTCCGTGCCTGCACATCTTGCGGCGCTACTGTAAGCTGAATTCCGGCCTTGCGAATGGCAGCCTCCAAAAACGATGTCGCGAAGTCTGCTGATGCATATATTTCTCTCAGACGTTGTAATATGCGCATGCACTGGTAGAACCGGTGAAGGCTGGTCATCCGGACGTTGTGGTCACTTGACTTGATATCGAGGAGATGAATAATCACGGCGGGAAGGAGGACCGTAACACCGGTCGTAGGGAAATAACGGGTCAGGTCTAGGCTGTGTAGATCCTGAGCAATATTTGTGATTTCGATCGCAGCAAACCGCACCTTATTCCTGGAAATTTCTTGTAGTTCAGCGTCCATCGAAGGGAATGGGATCGCAGGTAGAACTTGAGGGCGATGGAGAGCGCTGGACGTGGTCAAGTAGACCATCTTCAGGAGTGCACGATGAGAGTGAAGGACTTCCTGCGCCTCATTCAACTTGGAGGGCGCTGCGGGGGCGTAGCGTATCTCTGTCGGAAGGTGGGCCAGCCAGTCTTCCAGCTCCTGATCACAACGACGAACCTCGAAGGTCTCCGCTGCTGATTTCTTGGGTACCAACATCATGGTCGTCTCCATCGTTCCACCAAATTTGTGGCTCAGAACCGAATATTGGGCTGACAGGACATGGCTGACACAGAGACAAAGTTTGGCCTTTTCGATGAACATCAGGGCAAGCTCTCTCTGATGGCTCACACTCTGAAGTATCTCCGAGTTGCCTACCATGCTCACAATTTCCGGCGAGAAAGGATGGAACTCGAAATCATCCAGAGTCAACATCGGAACATCACAGTCATCGTCTTTCACGCGCATGGGACGTCTCATTCCCAAGGCGATCAGACGATCCCGCGTATATGTGCTCCACCAGATCCGTTTCCACATCCGTTGGCGCCGGACATCCATCCGGGAGTTGCCGGGGTCCCGATGCAGACCAATGGTATGTGCGAGGGACAAGCTCACACCCATCCAATGCCAGGTATCCTTCTGGTCATCAGGTGTCTCATACCAGTAGGTCATTAGAAGTAAGGATTGGACGAGAGAGATTCGGTCAACCTCGTAGTCGAAATCGTAGAGAAGTCGTGCACGCTGAAAGAAAGCTTTCCGAGCTGCCTTTCTGGTGGGGTAACCGGCAGCGTGGAGATGCTTCAAGTCGATAAAAGCTGTGCCGGCAAACATGACGGCTTGAAATAACAATAGGCTCATACGGCGGATGCCATCATTTTGAACGATCGTCTGCAGGAAGTCTTCCAGGTCAAGGAGGGGCATATAAGTGTGGACGTAGTGAATGTAACTTTTCAGCAATTCGTTGCGTAGTCCCACGTCGGGGACAGTCAGGGCTCCCTTCATAGACAAGTAGTCGATATCCTCTTTCTGCAGACGTGGCGGCAATCCGCGGATGTAATCTGGCAAGACCACACCGCCTGACCTGGCATTGGCGAAGGAAGGATCCAGCAGCTGTTGAATCTGCGAAGTCACATGGTGCAAAGGAAGCGTAGCTGGAACAGCGGGATTCGGGGCCATTCTTCTTCGAAAGCGATCCCCGGAGCCAATCCTGTTCGCTTGGCTTTGATCTGCACAAGTGCGCATCAGCATCTTATCGGACATGGATACAGTGGAGATGGATCATTGTGCCACAATCTCCGAGACTAATCAAGGGTGGAATACGAACATAAAAGATGTGGCATATGCTGCCCCTGATCCAAATCTACAGAGCGCTGCGAGGGAGAAGCTGGGGCCATATCGGAAAGGCCATGGCACTCGCTAAGTCGCCTGAACAGACTTGCCCCGTCATCGGGGATTTCTGCAGGTGATTGAGACAGCTGGTGAGGATTTGCATTCTCGACCTCAACACGTGATTTCCTGAACAGTGGCAACAAGGCGCGCTCGTGGTTAGCCGGCACTTCTGCGGAGGGAAAACGGAAGATATGTATTCGACGTGGACGAACTTTCTCCTCTTGCTCTCAGTGACAATGCACTCTACTTGGTCCAAGCGGCAATTGGTGCAGGGTGAACCATTTTCGACCACATCACACCGCACTTTGCGAGCCCGGCAGCAACAGCACGCCTTGGACGCCCTCCGTTTTACAGGACGGGCATTGGCGGGCAGACCGGCAGTGGAGGCTTTCCTCTTGGATTTGGCCTCGGTTTCCACGGTGGATTGAGGGGTGGGGGAAGTTGTTGATACAGCAGTGTTAGTCATTATGCAAAGCGTAAATTCAGTTGAACCAGATCATCCGTGAGTAGGCCAGCCTTTTTTGTTTTCGTATCGATGGTGGAAGAGGAATTGGGAGAGAAACGGCGTGGAGAAGTATAGCGATGATCAGAGTAGAATAATCAATGCGACTTTCTTGGTAGACAAAGAGGATTATAGGTAATAGGACAAAGATGGCGAAGGTAGTAGTAGTAAGTAGCAAGTAGTAGGAGTTAACAAGAGAAAGGTGGAGGAAGAGGTGTGTGTGTGTAGTAGGAAAAGGAAATCCAGAACGTGACCCAACGGAGGTGAAAGTAACAAGAGTGGAGAGGTTTCCCTTTTTTTTTTATGTTCCTTTTTTCTGTTTTTCTTCTTTTTTAAATTATTTTAAAATAAATCCATACAGGAATTTAGGTTAGAGAATCACTTTCCGCCGGAAGGGAGAGAGAAGGAAGAAAAAAAGGAATCACAGGACCACGTTCCAATCTTTTCGTCCAAAGGGACGAAAATCGAGGCAAGACCTAGGGCCGGGGAGGAGAATGTTTAAGTACGATTGAACTAGTGTTAGTAGCAGCAGCAAATGTCGCAAGTGCCTTTTCCAACCGTCAGTCAAAAATCCAGTCAGTCAGGAGGCGTTGGCGTTGGGGATGATGAGCCCCAGATCCACTCGCCATGGTCGCCTCCCCCAGACCAGAACCGTGGAATTCCGCCTAGAAAGTGGAAACCCACTGGCTGACGGTGTGCTCCGTAGTAGACTTTGAGACTAGGGGAAAGGAAAGGAAAAAAAAAAAAAAAGAGGACCTGACCTGGGTTAATCATCATCACCATCATCATCATCATCATCGGCGGTCGTCGTCGTCAAACCGCGCCGGGGGATTTTAGTTGAGTAGTGAAAAAGACTCTGCTACCTATCGTGGACTAGACTATAGGCACTAGTCACGCTGGCTAGAAAAGAAGGCCGGCGCTAGTGCGGGTCTGTATTTACCTCAGACCGCATCGACTAGTCCCCTTTGGGAGCGGTTGGAGGCTTGGGAAGGAGAAAAAGCGGGTTCCAGTCAAAGTGGTGGGGGAAGGAAATAAAAAAGTAATAATGAAAAAGACACAATCAGATTACGGATATTCTTTTTGAGCCAGTCGTTGCGCATTGCTTACTGTACAAAACACCCCCACTGGAGACTTCAACGACCATTCAGAAATTCATGACTGTTTGTTCAGGTCCACTACAAAACGCAGGACCCCCTCCTCCTTCCCCCGAAACAGGTTTAGTGAAGTACTTACTAAGTCTTTAGTGGTTTCCACCCAGTTCCTCAGCTTCCGTTCCACAGCCGGTTTCTTTCTCAGTGTACTCTGTATGTATCCGTTGTCTACTGTGTAGTCTAGTCTACCCAAACCAGTCAAGTGAACCAACTCCCGTCCCCTTACTCCGTATTTTCCGTCCTCTTAGCCCGTCCCCCCTCCCTCTCTTCCTTCCCTTCCCCACTACTAAGTAGCAACGGACCCAGAAGAAACACGATGGCAGTTTTCCATACCGATTGAGAAGGGGGTGGGGTGCTCCATCGGCCCGGTCACGTTACTGGCCCTGTCCGCCACAACCAGTCATCGGCAGCTTGGCCACCACCGGAGGGGACCGGGAGCAAATTCAAGACCCTTCCATTGGTTCAACTAAACGTGCTATCCCCATGAGACAAGACACAAGACTCATGGAAACCATTCCTCTTCGAGTGTTTACAGTGGGAAGTTTTATTTGGTAGAATATTCCTCGCGACTATTTCTGACCCTTGGATGTCCTCTAAACTGTCATGGCGCTACTCTTCCGTGCAGGGAAATGCAGCCACGGGGCGGTATACGGAGTAGGTGGTGACTTTTCCGGAGTCAGTTAGTTTTTAACACACGCACACACAAAGGGAGGATGCGTCATATTCGATGTCGGAAAAGACTCCGGCCCTTGTGACTTCTTTTGCTTGCACAGCACGGCGTCTCAGAAACTCGGGTCTGCTTCCGTCGGCTTCCCTTCCATTGCCCCCTTTTACGTCAGTCAATCAGGTTGGCTCGAAAATAGCGATTATTACCAAAAATGTAAATCATTCGGCTCCCTCCCTCCGCCCCTCCCTCTCTCTCTATCAAGATTATTATATTTGCCCCCCCCGTTCCACTGGAACCGTATTGCAAAGTGCATGTTATACTGTGTGTTTATGATCGGGGATCGGCCCCTGCGGTACGGAGTACACATCACGATCTCCCTTAACGTAATCAACGGTCGGACGGGCCACACGGTCAGGCGGGCCATCTGGTAATACTATACAAAAGATATCTTTTTAAACATAATATATCTCTACCATCCAGGTCTAGAAGAATTAGATTTCTTCTATATAGATTTTAAATAATATAAATAATATCTATATACCTTCTAAAAATGAATATACTTTTACTTATGGACTTATCATATTACAATATCTGTATTTATATATATTATATAAGAATCTGGTTTCATTATCAAAGTAAAAATTCTAAAAATCTGAAAAATTCATGGAATACTTATTCTTATATATATAAACTATCTACAAAGTTAGAGCTTCATAGAAGTAGTACTGGTTGATATATAATAGAATCAAAAAGACATCTTTTATATGGGATTTCAGGATGGCCCGCCTGACCGTGTGGCCCGTTCGACCGTTGATTACGTTATGCTAAACAGCCGAGTATGGGTCAGTCAGCCAGATACCACGGAGCCGAGGCCCGTAAGCGCTCCGTTTAGATTATCCCGTATGCTCTCTAGTTATCTGCCACTGCTTTGTGCATATACTGTGCGGCGCATGATGATCTCGGACTAGGGTGGGTTTCCCTTGCGCTATCGGAGCCTACCTCGATGATCGTTATGATAAGAGTACACACATGCACACGGTTGTCCTCTTCGCTCACACATTCATTACCTTGACGGAGTGTTGTCTCCTGGGTTGGATTGGGCTGAGAAACCCTCTACGTGTGATAGGAAAGTTAGTGATAGTCACATCAACATTGTCTATTAGATAGGATAACTTGGAAATAGTGCAGCCTGCAGCTTGTTTGCACTCGGTATTCCGATGACCCATCCAGTGCGGACGGTGCATATGTCATGCGGTCTCGAAGCAGGAGGCAGAATACTAAGTCTTGAAGTTGGTGGAGAGAAAGAGTGGACTTATGACGATCATACACATATCCTTTACCCCAGACGAAAAACGTAAGTAAGTTACATTGTAGTACAGAAGGGGCCTTTTTGGGGAAAGGAAGCCAACTAACAAGGTATCGTTGCCAATGCATCAAGAATTAATAATGAGCCAGGTGGTTGTCGCTGGCCTACAGCATCCAGACCCGGCAGAGACTAAGCCCAGTTGCCAGGCGCTATGCAGGATGAGGGATAGAAGCAGGGCAGGCCCGCCCGCCAGCTGCCCAATGTAGGATCGCAGCCGATCCCGCATGCCGATGGAGGGGCGAATCGTTGGGCCGGACCAAACCTGGGACGACACTGGGAGTTGGGAACGGTATCCTACGGTTAGTTCGTTCGGGGGTTTTGATTATTTAGACAGAAATCAATAAATGCGGTCACTGGCTGGGAGACCCCACTAAAACTAGGAACTGGAGAAAAGCGGGAGTCCTTGGATTCGGCTCGCCCGCCGCATCGAGACCTACTCTCCGGAGAAGTCATTTAGATCTTTACTGTGTTCCTCCTTAATTTAGGCATGGAAAGGCATTATTCTTTGAAGAATACAATCACGAGATGCATAGTATCAAAATAGTAGGTAAACGTCATCATAAACAGGAGTAAATTGACGTTTACTTCTGGATGCAGCTGGCTTTGAATGGGTCGTAAATTGGTGCTGGTCACAGACTAGGGCAAAATATCGCGCGGGTGGATCGGCCCCAATTTCTTGATGATGGTGATGATGCTGCTACACACACTGTGCATGCGAGCTGTCAGTCAAATCCAAGGAGCAGCAACGGAGCGCAAAGCACACCTTGCTCTAGACCTGGCCACTAGGCTTTACGGATGAATAATATTAATCATCACCCATTCCATGCGTGAATTATTATCCCTGCAATGTGATTTCCCCAAAATGTATCAACAACAAGCTCAACCCACGTGATAGAGGGTCCGATGTCACGCTTGATAGTGCCGACAACCGGAGGAGACGAACCCTCTCGCAAGGTAGCAAAGAATGTTCTGTTGGAGCTGTCCAATAATTCTGTCGGAAATAGCGAGCCGTAACGGCCCAGAATCTGAGCGGGTGACCTGTGAGCTCGCTCCCCAGGCGGGTTAGTATTATCTAGCTGGCGCCCAAGTGGAGTATGGAGGGACCAGCAGACTACCTGTGTACGTATTGCCAAAGGCTATTTGTGGCTTGAGAAGAGGTCGGGGAGCTGCGAGAATCGGAGGAAAGAGCTCGGTACCCCACAAGTAGAGTGAAAGGATGGCGCACTGGGGTAGAACCAGGCACCTATGATGAGCTTAGGGCCTTTCGATTCCTCTAGGGTGGATAGAACAGATAGCTCTCCCTCTCTCTCTCTTTCTCTTTCTCTGTTTGTTTCATGTACAGTGTCGTAATGAAGGGTGACATGAAAGGGCGGTTCCTTGCTGTCAATGTGTGCCATCGAGACATGCTGCATGCCACTACTGTAGGAAAAGCCCTACCTGTAGGTGATTGGATCAACTCGTTGGCGTTAATCAATTCATGTTTCAATTCCTGATAAAGAGTGACAACAGCACTACCTACAGCTAACTAGTACTACTACTTAATTATCTAAGACCTTCCTTTTTAAGATGTGCTAGCGTTGTCTGTCCATTTTCACATGAACATCTTGTGCTTACCCCTGGGGGAGGCATGCAACCTTTCCTCGCAAGCAGTACTACTAGAAGGTAAATCAACGAGATTTCCATGCCGTAATTAGGGATTGATTGACTGGACCAAAGAATGAAAATACGGGGGTACAAAGTGAGTACTTACTTAGTACTACTAGTAGTAATTCGTGGGGGAAAAACGAACCAACGCACAAGCGGTGGTGATTGGCCCGTGTTGGCTAATCTCCGACTATCACGAGGGATTTCCCCCACGCCAATCAATGACACTCGAGCGGATTCCCATGTGGGGACGCTCACGGCTGACTAACAGTCGGCTGGAGGACGATTGGCCGCCAATCATAAATCGCGTAATGCTCCCCGAGTTGGACACAAAAACGTGGAGTTGCTCCCGATCGGGGAAAGACTGTTCCAGTTGGACTCTGGGCTCTGGATTCTCGTTTTTCCCGGGACGGAGGAATGGAGCCTGCGACGGTGCCGGTCGTTTTACTTGAAAGTCGGGTAGCCTTAGCTCTTTTGGTTGTCTGGGGCAAGTTACGTATCATCAGCTGCCATTAATAGTAAGGGGCAAGAAATTGGGATTAGATCAATTTTCGACCCCAGAGCCGAATTTCGCTTGGTCCATCTATTGCGGGCGATCGAACCTTCCAGCTCCAGTTTCTCCAGCCAACATTCCCGCCTTTGCCCCAGTTTCACACCCCCCCTTTTCTTCTCTCGGACTGCTCCGTGCTGCTACTATCTTTCAGAACTAACCCGGGGAGGCCGGGGAGCTGACTTCTCCCGCAACCTCTCATAACTAGATGCTTTCTTTGATACTAGATAGATGGATAGACAGGAACCTGATCCCTCGCATTCCCTTTTCCCCTTACCTATGATATCATACGCCCCTCCATCCTTGCCTGCTACTAGTTTGGTTGGACATCCTGTACGTAACTGGTGGATTATGAAGGTCCAACGCCTGCACGATTTGCCTTATATCCTATAGAAAGTGAATAATTCTCTTCCCACCATGGAAACGCAGATAGAGAACCTATACTCAGCCACAGTGGCATGCTTCCCACTACTTGCCATCCAGCGGATAACCCCAGATCCGGGGCCCCCTAGGAGCGTCTTGCCTAATTCGGTAATCATACCTATTCAAGGGAGGATGACTCGATAAGCGATCCCTGTTAGTTAGTAGTTTACGACTGAGGGATATAACTACATACCAATCCCATGACTCATTTTATAAAACCTGTACGGAGTATTCCAGTCCACCCTTTGAACTTGAGTAAGGGGGGGCAGATACACGACTCCCGCAGTTGGTTTTTCTAATGTACGCACTCGGACATCTTGCCGAGCAAGCTTGAGCTCGGACAATGGCAATCCGAGAGCCATAGCCCAGCCTGCACGCCCCCCCACGTTCTTTCATGTCTGCTGCAAGCCACCAGCGGTAACCCGATGGACGGGAGAGGAGAGACGAGGGGAGAGAGAAGGCTGGGTAAACTCACAGACGGAATAAAGAAATCACCACGACGGAAATGAAGTCATACCGTGCATGGCTAACAAGGTTTAGGCGAGTCCGAGAGAGGTCCGTGTCAGAAGACTCGCGCTGCACAAGGTGGGCCTGACAGATGGAGAAAAAGGAGCTGTCGCATGCCCTTCCTGCTACTAATCTAGCCCCGGCTATGAGGGTATGAATTATTTGATTCCTTGGGAGATCGTTGCAGGATTTGACTCATTGACTGCGCGGAAATTCCCGCATGACTGGAAAAAGACGTTGATGTCCTATGAAGCTCGATGGACTGCGGGCCTTCTGTGTTGGTCTGTCAAATCTGATGGATGCAGTGCAGATCGCGGGGTAACCCCGCCAGATGATAGCAGGATCCAAGTTGTAGCTGATGAGAAGAATACTACTATCTCCCCGATATATTTTCGTCCTTGGGGAATGGTGTACTATACATACTTTGAAATTTTTGGCAGCCTTCTCGTATACTGTTTTGATAACTAGCTGATAAATACTACTCACTAATTCTATAACCGAGTTGAGATATATATTTCCAACGCTTGGCGTAGTATAGAGTAACTAACGTGGCAATTCAAACTACTAGTACTTAGTAGCAGCATCGATGATCCTGGGGAATTCAACCCCTCCTCTTAACATGAGCACGTCCAAGTACTAACATTTGCCTAGTAGTCCTCATATTTCTGCTAATGACTTCTTGTAAGCGGAGACAAGGCTTTTGAAGACTAGACGCAGTAAGATAAAGGTACTTACGTGATCGTCTGGTGTTGTAACAACCACTTTAGGTAGTAACGCTTATAAAGATAGGATCTAATGATTGTCCCTTTTATCAGATGTCTATGCATAAAGTAGGGTAGACGACATGATTCTCATAGTCACCACAGACTATGTTGGAAAAAGAATCTTACCAGACGCACACTCAATTCTAGAGAAGAGGAAGGTAACAGTATATATTAAGTATGGTTATAGAGGTGATCCTTCAATATCTCCCTTTTGTGTCCTAACAATTTCCCAGAGTTTCCAATATTATTGTGCCACTTCTCTTCCCTAGCATCTCGGGCAGTGTCACCCCTAGAAGCCCTGTGCTCAAGCAAGGACCCTGATAATGATTACAGTTTGATAATAAGAGTCATCTACCCCAGAACACTACTTAGTCCAAGCTGAGGGCCTAGATGTCTCTCAGCTTCAACATGAACAGTACAGCAATCGCCCCGAGATATGGTATTTAGAGCTGTAGATCTCTATAGTACTTTGTTTTTCTGAAGCGATTGCTTTTGGGACTCTACGTGTAATCAAACAGAATCTGCTTAATCTATGCAGATTTAGCCCTATCTTGTGACTTGTACAAGAGACTTGTCTGAGTAGCAATAAGATTTTCTGTTGCTGTAGTACTTTACTATTTTACTTTAGTGTGTCACTTCCAGTAGTAGCGCCTAGAATGCCCCCAGAAATGGCCATAGGAGGTCCCTTGATAGTAGTCTCAGGAGTAGTCTTGAAAATGGTCTTTGGGGTATTCTGGAAGGGAGGCGGTCTTGAAAGTAGTTTTGAGAGGTTAAAGATAACTCTACAGTATTTTATAGAATACAAATATAATCTAGGCCTAATTAATCCCTTTTGAAACAAAGTTCTAAAGCCCGGCCAGCTGTAGAGTCCACATGAAGGCCACCGTTGGATGATGCAGGTGCCGACAATTACTTCAAGAGCGTACTGTAATAAGAATTTGAAGAGCTATCATAAAAGCATAAACACGTTACATCGATAAATCCGTCATTCATTGATCAAACCAGTCCGTGGGTTCCATGGCACTCGGCCAAAAACGCCGTCTCGGGGATATCTCAACGAGAAATAATATGTGCCCAGCAAACAGCCATACCAGTATACAATAAGCAAACAATCCAGCAAATATCGGGGAAGAAACAAAAATCCACAAAGAAGGACTCAAAAGAAAGGGATCAAAAGAAAGGAAGAGAAAAAAAAAATAAAACATTATCGTCAAATGCGAAAAGAGAGTGCAGTCTTTAAGCACCGCCACGGCCCATTCGTTCAATGGATCCCATGATACCACTTCGTCCGGGTGTGGGAACCGCAATTCCGGACTTGCTGCCGCTGTTGCCTCGAGCATGTCTGTTGCCCATTGCTCCGATTTTAGGGATTCTCTTTTCACCATTGCTCGAGGTGGTACTTGGAGGACGAATGCCACTCGAGGTGCTGCCATGGCTTACGCTTCTTTGGAAACTCCCAGTGGGTGGTTCCGGGGCAACAAGCACTGGCTCTGGCGACTCAAGCTCTCTGGTGGTCAAAGGCTGGGGGTCGCCCTGTGCTGGGGGCTGGTCCTGCTGGATTGCCAACCATTCATCCACGGCTGCCACCAACTCGCCTTTCTCTGCTCGCTCCTGCTTCAGCTCCGCGTGCAGGCGTTCGTTGTCTTCTTTCAGTGCCGTCATTTCCTGTTGTAAGCCGTTGATCTGTGCCTCCAGCACACGCTTCTCTGCTTCGTGCTCCTCCCGCTCGTGTGACAATAAACTGGGGTCGACTCGTGGGGGCTCTGACATGGCGGCATCTCGCTCTATCTTCAATCGCTCATTCTCTTCGTTGGCGGCTGTCAGCTTATTCTCGGCTTCACGCACGCGCTTTTCCCAGCGAGCTTCGTAACTCTTCTTCAATGCAGCAACCTTGGTTTCGTGCTTGCTCTTGTAAAGCGTATGAAGCTCACGTGCAACCTTTTCCACGGCGTCCTGCACTTCCTTGGCGGTCTCCTCGGATGTCTTGGTGCGAGACGTATTCTCAGGTGCTGCGTTGCCAGCGGAGGCAGACTGGAGAGCCGAAGCCAACTGGCTCTCCAGTTCGACTACTCTGCCCTCTAACTGCTCTCTAGACTTCTCTGCCTCATCCAATTTCCGTGCCAATCGTTCCTTCTCTTGTTCTCCCTCAACAATTTCCGCTCTCACTTCTCTAAGGATTGCTTCCATTTCTTGGCCCCTTCGTTCCCACTCAGCTTGCTCGAATTCCAGGGTTTCCTTGCGCGCAACTTCGTTACGGACCTCTTCCAGAGCTTCCCCCACACGACGTTCCGCATCTGCAACTGCCTGTTTGAGGCTGGCAACCTCCGCCTCCTTTCCGCTGAGAGTCGCCTTGAGGGAAGAGATCTCGGAGAGGAAGCCGGATTTCAGAGTCTCAAGCTCCCGAGGGGTGACCGTTGGAATTGACCGAGGAGTAGGCACAGAAGGAATGTCGAAATCCAAAAGGGAAGCCTTCGCAGGTGATCTCACGGAATCTCTGGCAGTCCTCAAGGGAGACCGGCGGGAAGGAGAGTAGCGCTCGTTTTGTACACTGTAACGTTGACGGGGGTAAATATTCGGCTGATCGGTCAAATCAAGCAAATTAGGGGTATCATGGATGCTTCTTGATTCTCGCTTCCGTGGTAGAGGGGATGCAAGAGAGCTTCCCATGTTATTGAGAATGCTTCGTCGAGGAGACTTCCTTGCGGGGGAAGGGCTGGCCAGTTCCGCGTCACTCAGATGAGGCCGCGATGTCTTGTAAGGCGAATCATTTCGAAGTTGCGCAAAAGTGGTCATATCTGGAATGGCGGAGAAAGTGCTGAGGCGTGTTTCATCCATAGATTCGTTAGAGTCATCAGTCATCGCGTCGTCTGCTTCCTGCAGGTCAAGGTTCCCATCCATTTCTTGGGCGCTATCTTTATCATCCTCATGGAGGACAGTGCTCATGCCTTCATTGTTCTTCTCCTCCACCATGCTATTCACAACTTCCTGGCCAGCATCTTCTACCAGGTTGTGATCAGCAATGAATCCAGCGTCCTCATCAGCGTAGACATTGATATCAGGAGTGCCCCTCGGACCAGTCCCCTTCTTGTATCTATCATTGGGGGTCACATCTCCATCCGTATCGTCAGGGACTTGTTCGTAGGAGCGCTTTCTAGGCGTCATGGAGTGGTCCCCGAACCCCCCCGGAGACACCTGCCGATTAAGGGCCCGCAGTCTCTGAAAGTCCACAGTCTCTTCTCTTGCATTAAATTGGAACGGCGAGCTAGGTGCTGGCATCACCGATTCAACGTCCTCATTATCCATTCCCTGATCGTCGTGCGATTCGTAGAATTCGTGCTCAGGGATGGGATCTTCCTGGACTTCTGTCGACACTTTGAAGGGGCTTGATAAGGGATCCTCGGGCGCATCCATATCGTCCTCCTCTACAGCGAACGCAGGTTTGCCATAGCTCGGCGAGAAGGCTCGGGAGTTCTGGCGCGAGGGTGTCAAGGAGGATAAGGGGGTAGTCATGATGACAGTGGGTGGGATCACTCTTGAGGGAGACGAAATTGAAGATCTCGATAGTGTGGACAAGCGTCCTGACACCAATCGATGGGGAAGGTTATGAAGCAGTCCCAGAGCCCGTGTGGAGGGACAATAATGCGGAGTTTGTGATGGGGTTCGAGGCGGCGTTTATTATGATGATTATTTTCGGGCCGTTGCCAGGATGTCGCGGTAAACAAAACTAACCCTAGTGGGGACTAGCGTCACGTTAGTGAGGCGGCTGTGATTGGCAAAACTCTGGATTCCTCACCGCCCTGCGACGGGGGAGCCAACCTTGTCCCACCGCCTTTGTTTGCATCATCGACAGTCGGTACACAAATGCCAAAGGCATATTCAGATATGATCAAATTGTTAAGTAGTATATGAAATTTTGGTATTATCCTATCTATATACAGTGATCGACACCTTGATACCCTGTAAGCGCTAGAATGCAGCACAGCAAATCATAAACATTTTCGATAAAAGCAATATCGTGGTATCATAGTATGCCAGACTAGAACGCAGAACTCTCAGGCAAACAAGTCTCATGAATTTGTCCCACTGTTGCGCTCAGGCAGTAGTTCTCCTAGACATGGCCAGTCCCATCACTATCGACATCTGTCACGATGATATGGACCGTCTCATCTTTGACTGGCGTGGTATGTGACGCATAGTGGCAATGTGCAGCTGGTTGAACTGTAATAGAGGCATGTTTCTTCTGTTCGATGAAAAAGAGCTGCACCGCGCCGATGACTGCGACAAAAGTGCTTCCCCACCAGGCCAGGGCCGTGAAATCGATCTTGGAGCCCGTACTGTACAAGAAGCCTGCAATTGGTGGCGCCATCGTGCGTGAGAAGGCGCCGGCCGAGGCCGCGAGTCCATTGATCTTTCCGAGAACGGAATCGGAGGGACTGGCTTGTTTGATGAGAATGAGAAGGACGGGGTAATCGATAATCGAGAGAATGTTGCGGACAACCAAGCAGGTGTAGATGCCGAAGATCACATGTTGGCTAGGAAGGAAGATGAGGAAGGGTACGATGAAATAGGCCAGCGGATGAAGAATGGTGACGACAACGAAGAGCCTCCAGACACCCAAGCGCTGAGCCAGGAAAGGGAAGATAAGGCTCTGGATGACAAGTGCAATTATGCCATCACTTGACATGATCAATCCAACGGTCCGAGTTGAGAGACCGACTCCACCTGGAAAACGAAAAGCTGAATTTGACAACGCGGAGATGCTGCTGGCATTCTTATCCTGCAAGAAGATGGGCAACAGATGGTCATATGTCATCGAATGGTAAGTGAAGATTGCCAAGGCAATAATAAGCATGGTCACTCGCCACGTGAAAATAGTCGGTTTCTGCGAAGTGGATTCGGGCTTTGAACCATCGGCGTACACCGTCCAGTCTTCATCCTCATGGAGATGGACTTGGTTGAAAGTACCGTAGGACTCTGCACGTAAATCTGCGCCTGCATTGGCGGTAGCTCCTGCAGTTGCAAGAAGAGGACGCTCCACGGACGGATGATCCAGGTCATCTGGCATTCTGCATGGTTGCATATCAGGATGCGTCTCCTCGAGCAAGATCCAGCTGGAGATAATGCTGCAGAGAAGTAATCCGGAGCAGACGAGATTAGGCAGAAGGTAAGGGAATTTGCCAAATAGGCCATTCATGGAGAACAAGGAGGGGAAACCTTCAGCAGGCTTTGCAAGCAACCCTCCAATCGCTGCAGCGGATGAAGCCATTAACACCCGTTTCCATTTGTACCTTCAGATTACCATCGCACTTACCTGGCCCGATAATCGTACCAATTGACCACACGAAAGGCATCACAGCGTAAGCTCGAGCTATAGGCGCGCACAGTCAGCAGCAGCTCCAACTAACGAGTACCACCACAAGTACCACCACAAACAGGGGATACGAGAATATTCTTACGTTCATGCTCCGGATTCTTGACCAACTCACCGACCATGGTCTGAATCACACCAATATTCCCATTCAATATTCCACCCAGGGCCCGTCCAAAGAGGGCAACCCAGAAATTAGAGGCGAATCCCACGATGAGGAGGGATAGCATCGTGCCAAAACAGCCGGAGATGAGAACGGGTTTGCGGCCGACACGGTCTGAAAGCCCGCCCCAAAACATACCGGTGAGGGCTTCACAGAGGGAGAAAGCGGAGACGAGGATTCCCGCATAGAAAGAAGCGCTGTTGGTATCAGCCACATGGAAGTCCCTGACCATTACCCATGAGTATGGGAAGATGGAAGTCAAGGCGATTGGCTCTGCGACGCGGCATATTGCTACCCAGGAACAGGCGTTAGCAAAGCAAACGCAGCAAAGGGCAACGGATCTGCATACATAGAAGGAAGAGCTGAACAGTGGGAAACTTATGGTCCGAGGCGGTTGGTCTTTGCTGCAGTGTTAATACCATCTTCTGTACAGAAAACTAAGTCTCTTACGGCAAGCCCTCCGCAAAACAACAAAACCCTTGCTAATGGCCCTCCTCTTGAAGTGTCCTTGTTTGCGTCTGGTTTGACAGTGCAGATCGAAAATGGAAAGTGCCGAGCGCAAAAGAACACCACAATTGCCGATAAACTTGTATCGAGTCAGTTCTCGATCTAACGATACCACTGAATGCTTTCGCTCTGGGTCAAGAAAGGGGGAAGGTGACACAGTAGCAGAAGGAGCAGAGACTGGAGAATTCACAAGATCGGCGGCCAAGTGTCTCGGCTTGTTGAAGGAAGAAACGCAGAGGAGAGAGCGAGAGAGCGAGCGGGAAGCCGGGAAGAAGAAAGAAAGGGACCGGCAATAAAAAAGGCGACGGTGGAGAAGTGGGGACAGTGAAAAAGCAGGTTGACTGGTTCTCGGAACCAGATGATAGTCATTTTCTTGCAGGCAGAGAGAGATTGAGTGGGTGGGAGTGGAAAGTAAGGTACAACAAGTCTTAGTAGTGCCTGCTAAGAGAGCAGCGGGCGCCACCTGACAGACGTTCGTCCAACTGATGTGGTTCCAGGGTCAGTCTTGGTCGAATTGTATGGAACCCCCCTTCTTATCCGACTTCCTTGATTTGCCAACCAAACTTTACCTCGTTGCAAAAATTTTCAGCTTCCAGTGAGCGGTGCTCTTTTCCTGCCAGGGAACCTGGCTCTTCTATAAGGCGCATACATAGGACCTGCGTATCACCGGCACAATTTAGGTTCAGTCGAGCCCCAGGGGCCGGAGCTGCAACCGGACTTTTCTTTTGATGTTCCACATACATGCCATTATCCATAGACGGCTGTCATATTCTATTACCAGTAAATGGGGGATGGTCGGTGTTACATTCCTTTGTAGGGCCTGGGTTTCCGGGCTTCCGAGGACAGACAAGCTTGCAGGTGGCGAGCATGCCTTTAGCCTTTAGCCTTTATCAGACAGATGGTATGTGGGCATCATCGATTAATCAAGTATCGAAAGCGATTACAGGAATAATGCCCTTGAATTACTACAGTTATAGCACATTTCTCTGCAACCCGTGTAGATACTATTGTAGTTACTACTAGTATCTAGAGTAATTGACTAGTTAGATAGTTAACGTAGTTAGTGAGTGTGACTAAAAAAACACTAACCGACTGCGAATCCACTGCTGGGCCACTTCATCCCGGGGCGCCCCGCAACCCCGACAAGCAGCAATACGCCAATCACACCCCATCTTCCTCCTCGAGCTCGATAAGTTGATAACCTTCTTTACACACTGCAGGTGCCAAATACAGTTGGGTCAACCATTCGGCTTCTGCCAGATTTTAGATCACCCTCCGCTATCCGGAAGCTGCTACTCACTCATTATTACATGACTGAATTCGGTTATGTTGCCTGGAACAAGACAATAAAGACCTCGGACAGACCAGCCACAGTCCGTGATCTTGTGTGGAGTGATATGCAATATATGCAATTGTGTCATCGATTGCTCGGTCTAGACCGTGGACCGTTCTGCTTTGTCTGGATCTACTGCCAGGATGTTGTCATTGTTCTTGGAAGGTTCAGTTTAAAGCCAGGATGACCATAGTATTTTTCTTTATATCTCCGCAACGTATTCTAGCCATCAATTGGTTCGATACATTAAGGATAACGGATCCTATGGTAATGAAAGACATAGACCGAAATGTGTAGGTCTTGAATCTATACTTCTTGTATTTACAATCAGACAACTAGCAACCCTTCAGATAACAGGTTGCAGAATATTGCTTGAACTGAGAAGGCACTGGCCGATCTGTACATTTTGCCAAGGTAAGGCCCACCAAGAAATGATTGCCTTTATGAGGAGGCAGATTTGGGCTGTTATGCTCACGTGCTGTTATGTCAAAGCATGCATTAGGTAGCATATGTCAAGCGTGAGTCGCGCTCCGATCCTGACGGCCATCCGTAACGTCGATTCATTTGACCCTTGGTGCCGCAGATGGCCTGCTTCGATGGCCTCGAGCGACTGGACTGGGTCTCCGGGTGAAAAGGTACCGGACTATGATAGTGTATGATCTGGCTATGACATGTGTCCCTAACGACCAGCATTTTCGGACACTGGGATATATAATCGCCGCTCTCTCGCAGCCTTTAGAACGAGTCAGCGCTTCCGTAAAAGAAAGCCGTGGACCTGATGAATAAGATACCTCGAGCCACTTCTCTACCCAAGGCTTAAAGATCGCCCAGGCAAGCAGACTGCCAGTAGCAATGATAAACATGAATACAATGGCTTGGTCTTTCCGGGAGTCTCTCTCTGAGGCACAGACGTCATGTTAGCATAGCACGAACAATGGCAAGTGACTCGAGGGTGAATTGGCTCATACGGAAACAGGTTGTGAAGACATCATCTTCTTTGGCGCCATGACAGGTGGGCAAATCATAGTCCAAGCAGAACTTCCGGTTACAATCATTGCAGTTCAAAGAGCGATAATTCTTCGCTCTCGTATCCAAGATTGCTGCATCATCGCTGCGACGGAGGAAGTGGGAGACACCGTTCAAGGCCGACGTCGATTCGGAAGAGTCGGGATCGAGAGGGATGATCGTACTGTTGGAGAAGCAGGTGCACTTGCAGAATGACGCGGGGGCTGCGTTTGACTATTAGCCTCTCTATTTTTGACAGTAAAAGCGGAGCCAGCATCGGACACCAGACGACCGGGGAAGACTTACAGGAAGCCACCACAAATGAAGTCCAGAGCAAAAAGGCAGAGAAAAGAAATAGCACCCTAGAGGCGCTATGCCGTAGTAGCATGGCTGGCGAATTCGCTGTGAAAGGGATGGTTATCTTATCCCCAGGGATCAAGAGTTGACGTGTCGGACTTCGTTGCGGCCGCGGAAACGATGGTTTATTGGCGCCTGAAGGCGGAAAGGCCAGACTTCCGATCCATCCCCGGATTCTTGGTACCACGTGATCTACAGTTCCTCCTATTGAGGACACCGAAGGATCATGAACCAACGATAAACTATATTAATCATTCATTGTGAGGATGGTCTATTATCACTCCTGTGATTTTCTCCCGTAGCATGCAGCCTACACTCGAAATCGGACCTACAAGTCGTGTGACGAAGTTGAACATGATGCTTGCCTGGGCAAGCATGCCAATTATGCAAAATCTATCAAAGCTAATTGCGAAAATCATGCAGTAAGCAGCATCTTCTAAGACTTTCCTTTCATCCCCTTGCTGCGATTTTCTCTCTGCCTTTGCTCCTTAGCAGCCTCACGTCGTCTCCTCTTCCAAGCGCGATTGTTATCACCCCGATTCTCCCAGAACCATTTGGTAAATTCCGAGTCTTCCTTCGGCCCAGGTGCGGGTTTGGGAACTGGAGTATTCAGGTGCGTCTCATCATCTATGTCCATAGGATCAGGCCGTCCCGTGGTCTTCCAGTTAATTCCCCGACCTATCAAAGCCGTGTCGGGGGTCGGGGCAGCGCTTCTTAATCCTCGGTCTTGTAGATCTCTCTTGGTGAACGGCGTATGCGGTTCGGTCGGCTTATCTTCAACCTCTTCTTCCGATTCTATATCATCTTGCGCAAAGAAGCTGAACGGCGCATGCCCCTCTGTCTCAGGCTTCGCCTCAGGGGCACCCGGCGGGGGTCTCTTGAAAAGCGCTTCCAGTGGGTGGACAGTTTGTGGGGGCGGTGGGTTATCATCCACGGCTGAAGCAGTTTGATCCACGGCGGGTTTTGATTCGGAAGCTACTTTCTCTTGCTCGCGCTTTTTTGACCGAACCGATGTATCATCGTCGCTGCTGGATGAATCATTCGACTCAGCCGATGAATCAGTCGACTCCTGATCGCTTTCAGAATCTGTAGAATCTTCATCGGAAGAAAACTCTCCACTAGACGAGGTCCAGTCTTCCGACTCCTCATCAGACTTGACTTCCTCGACAGCCTTTGTCTTTTGACTTGTGGCCTTCTTGGGAGAGGCAACTTCATCCTTCACAATCTTTGCGGCCTTTCGCTTCTCCTTGGCTCCGGGTACCTGTCCTGGCCTATACTTATCACTTCTTATCCGATCGCTGGCCGTCTCTTTCACATTCCCTGCCTCATCTACCCAGCCTTTACCCTCTTCAAATCCAACTGTGGGGGCTGATTGCTCATCCCCAGAACGTAGGAAACTCGGATGCGTAACGGTCTTGGAGAACTCGTGAACAACCGTTTCCTGCGCGGATTTCTTGCTCTTCTTCTTGGCCTTTGTCTCTGTGGCCTCGTCGGCGGAGGTCTTATTGGGTGGTAGTTTTGTGCGGAATAGACATTCGGCCTTTTCGGTGTACTTGGATTTGGCCTGCGACTTTGCGGACTTTTCGTCTTTACTTTTCTTCTTCTTTTTCTCTTCCTTGCGCCTTTCCTGCTTCGAATCTGCCGACTCGGTCCAGCCCCTCTTTACTTGGCGATCCGTCGGGAGCTCATAGCCATCCAGAACTTCCTCGCCCGCTTTCAGCTTCTTGGATTTCTTCGAGGACTTCCTCTCGGATGATGATTTTTGGGGAGCAGTGTCGACTTCGTCTTCATCCCTTGACCTTTTCTTCGGGCGAGCGGTATCGACCTTGAACTTCTTGCCCTTGAGAATGGAACCGTTGAGCTTCTTTTTTATTTTGTCGGCTTCCATGGTTGGCAGGGTCACGTAGCCGTAATTATTTTCGGGGAAGGTTGGAATGCAATGGAAGGAGATTTCCGTAGCTAGGGCTTTGATCGATGCGGGGAGCACTGCCGGTAGGAGGTCTGGGGTGAATGGGGTGATATGCAGGCGCTTCGTATCGGACGGTGTGGTCGTCATTTGCCCAATAGATAGTTAGATAGATACCTGAGTACGGTAGCAGTGCAGGTGACGGCTAAGAAGTCGGAGGGAAAAAGGTGCAGTCACAAGCGCATTCAGCCTAACAAGTGTCTTTGATACTCGGTGAGAAACAAACTTGAGTAGAATAAGACAGAAAGTTCTTGTGAATGGTCACAATGGGCTTCCAACGAAGCATCAAGCAGACCCTGTTGCAATAGATATTCCAAGACCGAAAAATTAATGATAGGATCAGTTATTGGCCGAGGGATTTTCCGGGCCGCCAAGACCGGGTTATGGAGATGTGGCGCAGGCATGCCATCCTCAGCCACAGGTTTCTGTGACATCCCAAAAGCATTGATCGAAGTTGGTATAAGTTTCATTCTATCTACCATGGTGACAAGGAAGTACGGGTGTAGAAAAGAAAAATCTGGTAGGAATAGCTCAGCAACAAATGGCGGAATGATTGATGTAAGACTCGATGTATCCACTGGAACGAGATGCAAGTTGCAACAGCAATAAATGGATTTCAGCCTCCATTACAATGTAACAGTCGGGCCGATACTCAGCCGGAGCAGGATTTGGCGGGTGAATAGTGGATCCGGAGAGAAACGACCAGGTAATCTTTCGTACGGGACCAGACCCGACCCGGCCTGCTTTTTAGTTACCAGCTGTTACTTGTGTAATCCCCGTAAAACGATCAGTAACTGCCATTGATCTTCCTGCTCTTTTCCCTTATTCCCTTTTCCCCCTTTGAAACTTATTTTCTTCTTCCTCTTCATCGCTTAACTACTTAAGTACTAGGATTCTCACTCGCCACTCTTCCCCAATATCTAAAAGTAGTCTTGCTACGAAGATCCCTTCCCCCTACATTACTCCTCCTCCTTCAACACACCCACCCCCCCCTGATCCGGCCCCATACCAGTCTTCCCGCGGCTAACTAAAGCCCGCACGTCTGATCTCATCGCCGCTTCCAGCTTCGACCTCAGTCGCTCACATGGCCACTCGGATTCCTTAGCATCATCTCTTTTTTTCCCATCCCCTCCCCGCCCTACCAACTGAGGGTCCTCTGAAGTGTGCTCCACATTTCCTTCCCTTCACTTATTTTGGATCCTCATTTTCTTTCTTCCTCTGTTTCGGGGCGTTCTTCAACATCGCTACTTAGTCACTTCTCTCCTCTCATTACCGGACGGGAACTTCGCTCCCTTCTCCGCTTTCTTATCCGGACCGCCTCTTGCCAATCTCACCATCGATCCTAACCCGTCATAATCCAGTCACTCAACCCTACTATTGTCGACATACACGTCGGTTCCCATTCTCGTTCGAGATGGGCAATTCTCAGGCGAAAGAGAGCCGGCCGCTTGCTTCATCCAGTCGCCGCAGCCATCACCATGGCCCATACGGTGACCGCCACCATGGTGATGGTTCCAGGTCGAACCGGGGTAGCCGGCCCGACCTGTCCCTGCTCGGAATAGGCGGAAGTTCAGAGCGAGATCTGGCGTCGCTCGAACATCGACGAGAAACAAGACAGGAACGAGAGGCTCGCCGGCTAGAGAAAGAGCGGGTAGCTCGGCTCAAGGAGCGGGAGCGTAGTATGAAGGAAGAACATGTGGATGGTGGTTATCTGGTGACCCAAGGTGTCTATACAGGTCCAGAGGACTTCAACAAGGCTGTGGTCCGGCAGCTAATGGTGAGTTTGCTTTGCTGCCAATTCTGGCCTTGGAGAGCCCGGAGCCGATGCTGACTATTTCCTTATAGATCGAACGACGACTTGCGCCGTTTTGGAGAGGACTGAATGACTTTTCGGACTCGTGGACAGAGCACCAGCTTATGGCTGCGGCGCGTGGCCTTCCCATTCCCCCTCCCGACGAGATTCCCCCTGAACTGGAGTATAAGAACCCTCCCAAGGCCGCGGAAGACGCAAAGGAGGTTTCGGATTCAGCCGCAGTGCAATATTTGATGGTCCCCATTACGTCAAGATCACAATCATACGGCTCCGACGCTTCCCAGTCATCCACGCCCGCACATTCCCTCCCCTCCCCAACATCTCCTATCGCGTCCGGCACATCGAGCTCACCACTGTTCAGAGCGCGAGCCAAGACACTTGCGTCGCTAACCACGCCGAAGCATGGAGTTCAGTCTGATGCGGCTTCACGTGAAATGCAGTTACCCCGTGACCCGTTTGTGAACGGACAACCCATTGAAGCTTACCTATATAAAGACGCGGCGGAATGTCCCATTTGTTTTCTGTACTATCCTCCGTATCTCAATCGGACGAGGTGTTGCGACCAGCCTATATGCTCCGAATGTTTCGTTCAGATCAAACGCCCCGACCCTCATCCGCCGGAGCATGGAGACGCTAACCCAGATTCTGCTCCAGCTGAGGGTGGTGAACAAGCCGAAAGCCAAGACTGCCAGCTAGTGTCAGAACCCTCGGCATGTCCATTTTGTGTCCAGCCGGAGTTTGGGGTGACATATGCGCCCCCGCCGTTCCGGAGAGGGCTAGCGTACGCTTCTGATCCGAGCTCACGCCCCAATATGGCCTCTCCACTGTCTTCCACATCCTCTCTATCCTCTGGGAACACCCCCACCACCGGCCGTCGACGCGCGACCTCGTTATCGGCAAACGATCCAACCGTGATTACTACCGATAGGATTCGTCCCGACTGGGCTCAAAAGCTTGCAAATGCCCGAGCTCATGCTGCGCGGCGGTCGGCAGCAGCGACTGCCCTTCATACTGCGGCTTACTTGATGCACTCTAACGGCGCTGGAAATGATTCCCGGATTGGTCTGGGAAGAAGAAGCGTCATGCGGAGAAACGGCGCGCCAGAAGCTCAGAACTCTAGCGCGCGCACCGGATCCCCGGCGCTGCAGGCGCTGGCATTCCTCACGGATAGGCGCGCAGCTGGCCACGAAGCCGACTCGGCGGAAGAAGGGTCCGGTAACATTGCCCCACCTCGTCAGAGCTCGAGGCGGAATCGCATAGATGATCTGGAAGAAATGATGATGATGGAGGCGATCCGACTCAGTCTAGCGAGCGAGGAAGAGCGGCGCAAGAGAGAGGAGAAAGAGGCCAAGAAAGAGGCAAAGAAAAAGGAGAAGGAAGCCAAGAAGGCAGAAAAGGTTGCGCGCAAAACCGAGCTCACCAGTAACAATGCGAGCAGCTCCGCCTTGGATGTGCTTCCGGATGCGCGGCTAGGTAGGGTCACGAGCAGTTCCTCTTCCATTGCGGCTGAGGAGGTTGTATCGGCCGGCAAGGGTAAGGAGGTAGACCGTTCTGTACCAGCTGGTGGCTCTGCCGCTGAACCCAGTACTGCGGCCGAGGAAGTGCAGCCCGCGGCGGCATCGGCAAGCCCGGCCGATCAAGCGCCGAGTATGTCACCTCCAACGATTGTCCAATCGTCGTCCAAAGATGTCACGAGGCCTTCGCATCTTCGGCATGTTTCTAGTGCATCGTCATCGTTCTCCTCGCTGGTCGAATCGATGTCGGAAGATCATGCGGGCTCCGCGGAGGGAGCAGGCTCCTTTGCAGAGCCCCTTTACAATTTCCGCAGTCTGGCAGCCGTGATTGGAGATGAAGAGAAGGGCGACGAGGCACCCGAGCATGTTGAAGAGACCTCGTCCAAGCCGAATGTGGAGGGGTCAGCCTCGCAGTCCGTTCAGCCGGTGGCAGAGGCATCGGTTGCTGAACCCGCGACTACCACTGAGGCCAAGGTACCGATGGAGGAGCAGCGCGACAATTTGATACCGAAAGAGCTGGAGACCCAATCCGTCGAAATTACAGGTACCACACATGATACGGAAGCGACGTCCTGAAGCTGCCAGCGCTACGTATCCAAGACCATGACTAGTGAATCTGTCACTGTTGGAGGGCCTGATGATGATGATACGCTCCTTTAACCGTTTTCCTTTTTCTTCATTGGTTGTGATGACACTGGGACGCATATGGTATCTTTCCTTATATACATACAGTTGCATAGATTTCGTCTGAGCCACCATTCTCTGGGTTTTTCATTTTTCTTCTGTGTTGAGGGCCCATGCGCGTGAGTGAGTGGGATGATGCGCCTTTGTCTTTCCTATGTATGCGAGCGTGCGGGAGTTGAACTGGCGGATGTGGATGTCATTCAATCTATCAATCATTCGCTGCTTGAGCATGTTGTTTTTTCGGGGCACCAGATTGCGATGGTGATTGGTAGCTGGAATGGGATAGATCGATCTACTAACTCACTGTTGGAAATTACTGCGGGGATGATTTGACCGAATCTGTCCCTCTTTGTGTTGGTTATCCTATACTTTGTCATCCTTTTTCTATTATTCTTCTGTAGGCGATAGATATCTATCTACCCATAGCCAGTGACCCTTCGGACGGAGAGGGATCATCGGCGGGATCGGACGTGCGATCTCGTTTCAGCCACGCGACGGGCTCCACCGACCCTGGCAGGAAATGAGCCGACCAGGAGGCATCCTCTCAACTATTGACCTTCCATTTCATTGTATCCATTCGTTCTGGTGTGATCACGGGAGGATGAGGAACATACCAAGCGTTGTCCACGCTGAATCACTCGAATTTTCCGCATATGTATTTCACCACGACGACTACGATTTTTACCACTACTTTTCTATGGGAGGCGGGGAGTTCAGATAAGTGGGCAAAGGACTTCTTCCTCGAAATCCTGGCCTGTCGAATGGATTAGCGCCTCAACAGGGTCCATCGGGCCCTCCAGCGCATCCTCCACTTCTCTCGTCATCGCCGATCTTCCCTCGCGGGTTTGCCGGCTGCCTTTCCAGTCCCAGTCATCGGCTTCTCTTGAGTCTGCTGCTGCGAAGTCGCCTTGCACAGCCAATCCCCGGCGTGACAGCATGAACAAAGTCACTCCGAGATACACATATGCATCTTTCATGGGGCTAAACGAGACGGGATGCCCGGAGGTTCACGAAAAGACCACAACACGATGCCGAACGGACGCTATCGACCACTAGTATTCATCCCGAATCATGCTCAACCTTCAGTAGTTCAGCTCGCTTGGCGATTGACCTTTCATTTCACAGGGCCCTTGTTTTAAGTTTTGAAGTCGATCAGAAGGCATCCACCCAGGTGCGATCTATCCATCTCTCTCTCCTGTCTCTCTTTTATTTTATTTTTTTTTCTCTTCTCTCAGCTGCTTTCACCCCCACCCCACTTTTCTCTCGATGACGCTCATTCATTCATGATGCATTATCGTCATTATCCACGGGTGGAGCTCATCCATGGTTCAGCTCGGATTTCCTGTTGCGCGTTCCTGGATCGAGGACAAGCCGGATTTATCTTTTCACATATCCACTTTTTCGGTTCCCCCTGATGATTAGTTATTTGTTGACACTAACTACTTCCTAATGGACCTTTTTTTTTCCTTGAATGTCTTGTTTTAGCGCCTGTTCAGGTTGGACTTGATTTTTTCTTTTCATTTTCCCTCTAGTTTTTTTTCTTTACCCTTTTCACAGCGCTCTCTAGGGTTACCAGGCTTCGCACTCTTTCCCTCTTAATCTCCTTCTCTCTTTTTCTCCTTTCATTCTTTCCTACTATTGCTCTTTCCTTCCTTGTAGGAAAGTTACCCCGCCAGATTCACTTGCGCGGATAATTAACCGTGCTCTCCCGCGGTGTTGCTGCTACCACCACCACAAGACCATTGCGTTCGACCAAGAGACATGGCCATCCTTGACAAAGAAAACCGGCCCCGCGGCCTGCGAGTTCCATCTTTTGCTCGCAAAGGCTTCAAGCAGAAGTCCTCTGATTCTCTGCCAGACAAGGAGCCAGAGCCCGTGCAGGCACCCGCGACGACGGTAATCCCACCTCGAACCGACTCTGTACCTGATTATTCGGCTCCTGCTCCGCTGCCTGCCGCCGTGCAGCCACCATCATCAACATTCAACGCCCCTGTTCATCATCAAGATACCCTCCCACAGCCTGCTCCACCAGCAGCTAACTACGCTCCCCCTCCTCGCGCTTATCAGGCCTATCGTCCTCCTGCTACTTCAGAGCCGGTGCAAAGCCCTCCGGCAAGGAAGGAGGTTCCCGAACCTATCATCCAACGTCCGGATGCCGAAGAGCCATTGGAAGACTTTATTCCAGAACCGGAGCCGGAATTGGACGATACTGGCGCGCCTATGGAACCCGTGTCCAGTGAAGAAAACAATGGCCCATGGACGCCTCCTGATATCGAGCCTGTCGCGGCGCCGCTGAACAAATTGCACTTTGCCTGCTACCAGGACCATCGGTCCATGCCCCCCGCCAACAATGTCTGGCATGCTGTTCCCTGCATGACCTGCCAGAAGTTCGATCGTGATGTTCGATACCGTTGTGTCTTTTGCTGCTTGCGAATCTGCACCGGCTGTTTCCAGACCTTGCAGACGATCCCACGTCGGTCGTTGGCGCAGTTAATGGATTCCATTCCTACGGCCAAGGCCTGAGATCAATCCATCTGGCTTCTTGATCTTTCTTCTTCCGCGTTCACCCTTTTCATTTCAGCATGGAAACGGTGCTGTTTCTTTTCATCCTGCCACTCTTCTGTTGCAAATTTCTGAATCCCGGTGGCTGCTTCGTGCACTGCAGCAGTCGTCGCCGGTGTACGTTTGATGGCTCATGGCGCTTTGACTGATACCACTGAAATTTCTTTCTCACCAACTGCTGGCGATGTTCCATTCATCGCCTATCTCTTATCATGCGGCTTTTCTTTCCTCAACTATATATGCAATCCCGATCCTGGCGATTGGGCCGATGTACCACATGTAATGTTAGGCAAATGTCCTGCATGATATGATAATTATAGCTAGTCTAATTCTTCACATCCAACGATTTAGATAGGATTGTTTTACATACGCTCACATGGGTGGTTTCATAGCATGCCGATCTCCATAACTATAGTAGGCAAGTCGTTAGTCATGATCCTCCTCCGTCACGCCGGGACATCCTTCCATCTCGGCGGTCTCGTAGCGATACTTGCACCAGAAGCAGTAGTGGTGTTTTTCCCGCAAATATTGAACCAGCCGGCCCAGTCGTTCGCCTGGCTCCAGCGCGTTGAATTCCTCCAGTTCTGGATCCTCTTCTTCTAGCTCCTGTTCAAGAATGGAGGACATCTCTCGGCGGCCTCCCAGCGCCTCATGGTCCTCAGGGTCGAGCGTCGAGTCTTCATAGCCCGGCAATCGAGGGTTCGGGAAGAACGATGACGGCAGCGATGTCTGCAACATGTGGCGTGTCTGCACGGCGCGCTCCTTTTCTTGCCGCTCGCGCACCAACCCCCGGTAGAGAATGTTGATCTGAGATGTTGGTTTGACGGGCCTCTTAGCTTTCTTTGTAGTTGATGTGGAGGTATCTGTCTGTGGCTCTTCGCCTTCCACATCCGGTATCGCATGCGATTCTTGCTCCTCTTTCTCTTCTCCGTTGGTCTCAGTTGGTGGTGGCTCTATCTCCCCTTCCCCCTCGGCCTCCGCATCTAAGCGCTCAGCCACCTTCTGCCCCGCATAGAATTGGGCCTCGAGCCGTCGTGTCTCGCGCTCCAACCGGACGCGGTCGCGGTAATCGCCCTCTTCTTGCTTGACCTTCTTGGTTACTTCCGCAGCTTCTTCGAGGAACTTCCGTTTTCGCTCCGAGTCGAGACCGATTCCTCCTCGGTCTTCCTTGAAGATGAGATTAAGGGGCTCAGACCGAATTCGATCTTGGGGATCCTTGGTGTCCTTCTCACTATCTTGTGATGGCGCGGTAGGTTTTCCGAGTACTTGGCCCGGCTTGAATCCCAGCTTGGCCATCATTTGAAACCCTTTGTTGGAAGGGTCGAGCGTGCTGGTTGATAAGGCGGCATCGCGACGGGCAGCTTCTTGAGCGGCGCGTTCGGCTTTGGAAGGGACTTTGGCTCGCGCTTCGGCCTGCGATTAAGAGAAAGGTTAGGTGGAGCTGAAGCTGAATCTGAACGGATATTTGCCTGAAAAGCCTACCTCACGTTGCTGGCGCTTCTTCTTTTGCGCAAAGGTTTCCTTCTGCTGGGGCTCTTCGATGATCATGGACATGTAGTCCTCCTCTTCGTCGTCTTCATCGGGACGCCCGCGTGCGGGGGACTCGGAGTGAGGGGGAAGCGGAGGTGCCATGGCGAACGGGCCTGAGCGTGCGTCGGAGGCAGAAGTAGAGCCGGGACTATGGATATTGGCGAGGAATATATTATAGTAGATTATAGGGAGTCGAATGCAGCTCGGATTGGGTTGTTACTTTGAGTCAGATGGACATTGTTGGAAAAGATGAACGCGACGGGAAAAAAACATGAGGATTTGCGGGGATTTCGTCACATGCGGAGGCGCGGATTTTCCCCTCCGGATTTACTTCCTCAACTCTCCTTTCTCTTTCATTTCCATCCGATTTGAGTCCAACTCATCTCACTCGAAGAATCTCATTAATTTCAGGGTCCTGCTCAGCCCAGTCAAGGTTCCTTAGTTTCGATCCTTCAGTTGGCCCGTCATGTCCATTGACCAGGAATGGAGCAAGCCCCGATGAGGATCGGCCAGCGGAGACAACTGCCAATCCTTGGTATCCATACCCTTAACAGCGCAATGGCACCAGCTCTCTGCCGATTCACGTCATCTGCACAGCCTAGCTGCCGATTAGGCTTGACCCCTTCTCACTTGCGGCATCAGTGCCGCTGATACTAGCCCCCACAGAGTGTTTCTCCCTTCGACTGTGGCTCGGAACGTGGGGGCGGGTTCCAAGTTCTTATGCCCAGAGTTGGTTGGCTAGCCTTGCTCATCTGGGTGGCCAGCACACCTCCCATACAATAGGATCCGTGGTGTTGGCAGGATTCTTGTCATTTCGCCATGTCGAATCACCGCATGCGGAAGGAGGACGCCTTGCCTTGCAATGTTTTCTCCACATCTGCGACCCTATTGTTCAGACCCTGGAGCCGATTCCGCGAGATGTATTCCTGCCGGGCCACTGAAAGTGCTTTATAACGTCTGGGGTGTCCTTTTATTGATGAGAGCATGATCTTTCGCGTTACAGTTCTCACAATCGGTTAAAGCATTCGTGGCCCCGAGGCTCGTTGCACAACACAATATGATTTTCTTTCATCTGGCACCGTTCTTCTTTCTCTTTGGTCTAGTAGTATCTTCTCAGAACCCTACGGTGGACCTTGGCTACACAAGATATAAAGGCAAATCTCTGCCCAATGGTATCAGTCAGTGGCTGGGGATACGCTACGCGGCTGCACCTACCGGGTCTCTGCGGTTCTCTGCGCCACAGGATCCTGACACGGTAGATGGCGTTCAAGAAGCATTCAAGGTATGGTTTTTTCTACAATAAATAAAAAGATATATTGCGAGTCTGTGCTTTGCTAATACCCAGGGCACAGCATGGTCCCCGGTGTGTTCCCACCAGCCAATATCCCACTCCCGCAGGCACGTCCGAGGATTGTCTCTTCCTCGATGTATACGCTCCCAGCTCGGTGGAAGCTACTACGAGGCTGCCCGTTTTCGTTTGGATTCAAGGAGGCGGCTTCAATGCCAACTCCAGCCCCAACTACAATGGAACAGGATTGATCGAAGCGGCCAATATGTCCATGGTGGTGGTCACCTTCAACTACAGGGTCGGTCCGTACGGGTTCCTCTCTGGATCCGAGGTGCTGGAGGGAGGAAGCGTGAACAATGGCCTGAAGGACCAAATCAAGGTCCTGAAGTGGGTGCAAGAGCATATCAGCAAGGTATGCGGACACTCACCAACCCACAGCAAATCACCGCTAATTGCAGCCGCAGTTTGGAGGCGATCCCAGTCACGTTGTTATCGGCGGCGACAGCGCAGGCGCAGCGTCTATCACTCTCCATCTTTCAGCCCACGGTGGCAGAGACGACGAACTATTCCACGCTGCCGCCGCAGAGTCCCAAAGCTTTGCTCCTATGTTGACCGTCAATCAAAGCCAATTCGCCTATAACAACCTGGTCATCCGCGCCGGCTGCGCAAGCGATTCAGACACCCTCGCCTGCTTACGCCGACTAAACACCACAGAACTGCAGCGCATCAACATCAACACACCCTTACCCACCGCCCAACAAGCACCTCTCTACCTGTACGGTCCCGTCGTCGACGGCTCCCTCATCCCAGACTACACATACCGGCTTTTCCAGCAAGGCAAATTCATCAAAGTCCCCGTAATCTTCGGCGACGACACCAACGAAGGAACAATCTTCGTCCCCAAAACGACCTCCACCGTCGGCGAAGCCGACACCTTCATCCAAGACCAATTCCCCAACATCAACTTCACCCACCTAACCAAGCTGAACGACTGGTATCTCAAAGAAAACCAAACTCGCGAGTTCCCCAATTCCTCCCCCTACTGGCGTCCCGCTAGCACCGCGTACGGTGAAATCAGATATATCTGTCCGGGGATCTACATGTCCTCTGTGTTTGCTAGTGCCGGTGTCAACAGCTGGAACTATCATTATGCTGTGCAGGACCCCGCCGCGGAAGCCTCAGGCAGAGGTGTCAGTCATACTGTGGAAGAAAATGCCATTTGGGGCCCGCAGTATGTGAGTGGCACACCGCCGGCGTCGTATCTCACTGAGAATGCGCCAATTGTGCCGGTGATGCAGGGCTACTGGACGAGTTTCATTAGAGTGTTTGATCCGAATCCGCTGAGGTATCCGGGGAGTCCGGAGTGGAAGACGTGGAGTGATGGACATGGGGAGGATTATCGGCGGATATTTGTCCGCACGAATGAGACGAGGATGGAGACGGTGTCGGAGGCGCAGAGGGAAAGGTGCGAATATTGGAGTAGTGTTGGGCCGGACTTGTCGCAGTGATTGCACTTATTATCTTTGTTCGGTGGTAAGGTATATATATAGATAGTATAATATTGTAAGCTATAGAGTGATGGTACGTGAATTGAATATATGGAGAAAGATGGTCTTGTATAAATCAAAACATTCTTTTTTGGCTGCCATTCCACGATCATCATTCCCAATGATCAAACCAAGTAACTATAACCGAATATATACATCTATATCAACCTGCTTCTCATCAGAATTACCAAAAGACGGGTCCGGCACACACAGCTAGACCGAGCAGATACGTCGACATGAACCCAGGTGATGAAACATAATGCAACAAAAGAAAGAGAAAAGAAGGCAAAACAAGTGAGAAGCACTACTGCTCCACATAGAGCAGTAAACGAACGATGAATGAGGGATATCATCATCATCACCGCTTGCCCTGCCGCATTCTCTTCTCCCTTTCGTAAGCATTCGCCTCGCGACCCTCCTCGTTCTGCACCTCCGCCACAAGCCGCTTGTACTTGCGCTCGTACTCGGCATCGCGCTCCTTCTTCTCGCGGAGCTTCTCGCGCGCAATGAAGTTGGCGTCCTTGCGGAGCTCGCGCATCGCTCCCTTGCGCTCGCGCTTGTATTCCGCCTTGAGACGGTTGCTTTCGGCGCGCTCGCGGTCCGGGTCGTAGTGCTTGTCCGGGTTGAAGGTCTCTTCGAACTTGGGGATGGCGGTTTTGATGGCCAAGGGCCGGTGGTTGTGCAGGAGGAGGGGTCGACGGGTGAGTTTGGCTTGAGAGAGTTGGGTGGTAACCTTGTCCAGGGTGGATTGAATGGTGTCCCGCACTTGAGAGGAGATGAGTTTCTTGTTGCCCTTGAGGCTGCTGCGGAGGTGGTTAAGGACGTTCTGGACTGGAGTGAAGATTTCGGTGTAGGCGGATTTGCTGGTCCAGAGGTCGGAGGCGGTGCCGAGGAGGGTGACGAGGGTGGTGAGCAGGGATAGTTTGAGCTCTTCGGGGTTGGAGTGGGTTTGGTCGGTCGTGTCCCAGAAGCGAAGCTTGCGGGGGGAGATGGTAGTCTTGGAAGAAGAGAGGTTCAGACGCAGAGAGGTTTGCGGGCTCCGGAGGGGGAAGGACCCGAGACTCTCGCTGGGCTCTTTCGGGCTGAGGTGGCACAGCATGTTGAGGGTGTAGTTGATGAATTCCGGCATGTAGCGCTTGGAGATGAACTGGTATTGCAGGAGTAAGCTGGCTGCGTAAGTGCCGGCGGACGCGTCGGCGAGGGAGTTGACGACGCCCTGGCCCAGGTAGCGCGAGATGCAGAGGTGTGCCGGGGTTGCGATAGCGTGGAAGTGGTCGGAGGTTGGGAAGGTGGTGGCAATGCCGGTGAGGATGACGAGGTCACCAGCACGGAGATTGAGCGGACGCTCCGTGGCAATCTGGCGGAGATGGGCGCGATATGCCTGGCAGACGGTGTCGGGGTGAGTCTTCGCCAGGGAGTGGATGTGACGGAGGATGTTTTCCACAATGGCAAAGGGAGGATGTTCCGGTAGATCGGCCATGTATGCAACGTGCTCGACGAGGATGCCCGCGAAACGGCCGAGCTTCATCTTGTTGTCGGGGTGAAGACGGGGATGGTGCAGGGCACGAATCCTCTGGACGACGACGGGGAGGTCCTGCATAGACACGGTCCTTGATGATCTCCAGGAACTCGTCATGGCTGCCAGGGCAGGGGTATGTGTATGCCAGACCGTCAGTTGGCTCTTCGGTGCTGTTGGGAGCTGTCGAGGTATCGCCGGACTTGCTCTCAGGGAGCGTGAAGCCATTGATCAACTCGTCCTCCTGGTCGTCTTCAGGCTCCTCGTCGGACTCCTCCGCGGATTCCATCTCCAGGTCGCTTTCATCGAAGGAGAGACTGGCATTAGACCTCGTTTCCACAAGGTCATCGTCGATAATGAAATCGTCCTCATCTTCGACACCCAGTTCGGGACGAGTGCTCGTCTCGGCCGTGGGCTGCTGCAAACCGAACGCTTTGGCATCGTCCGGTAACGACTCCTCGTCGTCGTCCTCACTGCCTTCCTCGTCACTTTCCTCTTCATCCTCCTCCTCTTCGTCCTCGCTTGGCTCCTCACCGCGCATTCGTCGAACACGCTCTTCTTCCAGCTTCTTCAGCCGCTCGGCCTCTTCCGCCGCCTTCTCCTCTGCCGTCTTCGTACGGTCCGTCGGTTGAGACCTCTTATCGAAGGTCAACTGCTTCAAGCGTTGGTCATACTCCTGCTCGGTCTCGTTCTGTGACTTTCCGGCCAGCAGTGCTGCACGAGCGGGGTCCATTGAGGCGAAATCGTCCTTTGGAGGCTCCGGTTTCGGGGGAGGCTTCACGCCTCTCAACATGTCGAAGAGATCGGGAAGACCTTTGTCGAGCTCCTCTCGAAGATCGTCATCGTCTTCCTTAGCTTTCTGTCGTTCGGCTTTGTAGAACTTGGACTTGGCGATGACTTCTTTCATGACTTCGTGCTTCGACTTCTTGCGCTCTGGCTGCTCTTCCCCTTCCTCATCGTCAAATACGATATCGTCATCTAGAGCCTCCTCATCGTCGGCAAACTCTCGCTTCCTCTTGCGAGGCAGTTCCGAATCCGATTCTTCGTCCATGTCCAAATCGCCTTCGCGGAAGTCATCTCCGAGCATTCCCTCTCCAAATGACAGAGACTGGCCTTGATGTGTGAGCTGGAACTCTTCCTCGTCGTCCTCCAAGTTGAACATCGACTCCTTGCGCAGTTTCTTCTGACTCTCACGGGCGAATCGCTCGGCAGCCCTTTCTTCCGGCGTCATTGTCGGATCATCCTCACCGAACCGGCGATCGAGGATTCCACCAACTTTGTTCTTGCGGTCCATTTCGCGCAAAAGCGTATGGCGTCTCTGTAGAGGAAGTACCTTGTCAGTGACACCCCGTGTCGAAGAATGTCCAACCTAGCTCACCTTTTCTTCACCAAGAGACTTGGTCACACCGGGCCTCGCATGGCCATGTTTCGACTTAGGTCCGACATCGCGCGTGGTCACATCGAACTTGGGGCGCGAAGTGGCCTTGATCTCGAACGGGTTGAAACGATCGCGAATCGCCTGCAGAGCGGATTCCCGCTTCATGCGATTTTGCGCGGACACACCAGTCTTCGCATTCTGACGCTTTTGCTTCTTGGACTGCTGGGGCCCCAAGACTCCACCCTCGCGGAGGGAAGCCTTGAGCTGTTTAAGCTGCGAAGGCGGCATGGCTGCGTGTTGAACGACGACAAATAGCAGAAGCGATGCTTTGGATCTCCACTGAATTTTTTGGCCGAAGAAAAAAGCGGGCTCACCGCCTCGGTGGGTCAGGTTCTGCCGGCATTATTGGGGATGCCGCGTGACTCCCCGCTTTTACTCCGCTGCTGGACTTGCAACTATTATCTCATCGGCTGCTGGAGTTGTCGAGTTGAACCATGGGGTCTCATATGAGCGATCGTGTCGTGTGGGTGTGTCTAGGTATGTTGGCTTATCCTGGAATGAGTGTCATGAAGCAAGGACTAACCGTGTCCAGGCGTCTCGCTGTTCTTCGCCGTGCGCGGGATTGTCACGGACCTCCGCCGAGTGCGCGAATTGACCGAAATCAAGCATGTTGAGAAGGAGGATAAGATGATCAGTGAGGGGACGGAGGATGGTCTGTCGATGTGCTCCTGAGTAATGTATACGCTGGCTAATTTATCAGTACAGCATTGAACTTGGACACCTTGCTGAAGCTCTCCGATAGTACCAGCTATGATCTCCGCGCAGCGTATGACCGGCCTCGGATGTTCTCAATAGCGACTAGCTAATATAGAATTACAGGGCTTTGCGCATCATTGCTGAACGATCTACAAAGGGTGAAACACGGGACCTGCTTCTCAGAGGCCTTGCAACCAGGAACAAACAACGGCGGGGCAAGGCACTGACTGCCATGCATTTCCTTGTGTCTAACCGCGCTCGTATGCATCACCTATCCTAGGTTGCCTTGCTATGAGATCACAGTATGCTAATATCTCCGTGCAGTCTCACGAACCTCCGTCTGCAATCGATTGAAAGACCCCGCCACCTACAACGCACTCATTGACTGTCTGTGCATCTTGACCGACGAACACCTCGAAGAAACAACAACTACAATATCCCCCATCCTGCCAAAGACAAGACCTCCTGGTGAGAAAAAGGCACTCAGTATTCTGAATATCATTCTGCAAGAGAATGTACCCGCCGCATTAGAAGCCGGCATCGTGAGCCGCTGGCTAGTCAATTACCCGTTCCCGTGCGCCCTATCGGAGCCCTCCCGGCGACAGGACGTGGTGCTGCTGATGAAGACATGGTGGATGGACGATACTGTGATGAGTGCTATCTTCGGTACCTTGTCTTCCCATCCTGAGGGAGCTAAGCAGCTGCGCAAGTACGGGTTGATGGGCAGCATGATGGAAGAGAATGATCAGGATGACTACGATAGCGACGTGTGGATGGTGGATGGGGAGGATACGGCCGGATCTAGACGAGTGCCAGGGCGGCGTCTTCGCACCGCTGAGGAACAAGCCGTTAGACGTCGCAGGCGGGAAGCTATGGTGTTGAGCGACGGAGGACGTCCATTGGGAAATGATGACATTATACAGTTGCCCGTTTCCGAATGATGTACAATGGGGCTACATGGATGAGGGATCGATTAGCGATGATAATTTCTTTGCATGTTCTTTAAGATACCCTTGGTTTAAGTATGAAAGTCGCCATATGTGATGATGACAAGTACTATAGCTTAATTTACAAATATAAATCTACAAGCCCATCCATGCGCTCTTCGCAACATGGTCTGCCTTCTTGCGACTACTCTTCACCATACCCAGGGCCTTGAGCTCCGACAAAGCGCGGTAAAACAGGGCCATGGTAGTCCGTTCGTCGCAGGAATCACCTTTGTCGCTTTCAAACACCGCGTAGAACGCCTGCCAGAGGTCGTAAACGTTGACCAAGGACCCGGACTCCAGATACAGCTGATACAGAATAGACGTAGCAGGCTGATTCGCGGACACCCTAGCCGTAGCCTCGGATTTCTCTGGGGAGTCTGAGATGAGATAGTCGAACGGATTAGACAAGGCCCGTTCCACTGCAAAGCGTGGCCGCGGCGAGAAGATCTCTTTTAGGGGGTTCCTCATGTCAAAGAGAAAGATTTCATGAAGGACGAGATCTTGCGGGCTCTCAAGAGTTTGCCCAAAGTATGCTTCGAGCAGGGCGTGGAAGCGGTCTATAATTTGGGTGTACTCAATGTGCTCTTGGGGCAGCTTGGCTTTGCCTTTGCTGAGTTTCACCCGCTGCTGGACGACGGTTGTGGCGACGACGGAATGGCGCTTGTCATGGGCGGTGCGAAGGGGTTCGGTGCCTTGATATGATTGTATTAATGCGTTGAAGTCGGTCTGGATCTGTTGTAGCTCGGGGAGGTCTGCTAATGTACTCAGCAGGATATCGAATACTTCCGAGAGGATGGTGGAGTCTAGTGTCTTTGCAGATTGGAGGATGTCGTCCACCAATTGCGAGTCTTGAAGTTCTCCAGATAGGGCACGGATTGAGAGTTCCGATATGCTAGTCTTCTTGACGAGATTGAGTTTCTTCAGAAGCAGATGCGTCAGTTTGACGCATTGGAAGATGTCGCGCATCTTCTGCTGTCCGTCTTTCAGGTGTTGTAGACATTGCTGGAAGAGAACCTCGTCGTTTTCAAGCAAGTCACGCACTTGCTTGGCCGAGCCTTGTTCAAGCAATTCCTCGCAATAACTGTTACTAGTTTAGTATCACCAATCTTAATGAAGGGAAGCTGTCTTACAATCGGAAAGAAGGGAGATTTCGGAGCGCTTCGCACACGAGTCCCCGTCGCATGCTCGGAACCGTCTCGTCTGCAAGGAGCACCGCCAACGGGTTTGCGAAGAAATGTGACATGTATGCGTACTACTGTTGTAAGTCAAATGGGTTGACACACGTTCGAAATGTAAACGTACTTTGACCGTTCGACTGAAAGCCTCCGGAGTCTGAAAGGAATCATTGGATTTCTCGAACAGAACATTCGTGATGTTCCTGCCCAGCCAGATCTTCCCATCCTGCTCCGCTTGTAACCTCCCATAGATGCGGTCAACGCAGTTGCTCGCTTCATGTATTTCGAAATATCTACCCCGTAGCAAGGCGACAGTTGACCGCGGCAGTCTCCCTTCGAAAAGTTCCACAGAAGTTGAGATGCCGAACAGGAGGGTAAATGGTATCCGATCAAGCCAGGAGCTGGACAATTAGCCAGAGTACCACACAAATGCAGGGACGGACACACCTTAGTAAAGACAAGAGGTCCGTAAGAATGCCTGGATCGAAAGCTTCACTATCTCGAAAGGCAAGAACCAGCTTCTTGATGCCCTTCCGCTTCACATAGTCGCCTAATAAGTCCAGATCGTAGCCGAGGAGTCTAGGGCCCTGTATTGGTACTTAGCGCATGTCATGTATTGTCGCTGGACGGAGCATAACCACCTCTCGATCTGTGAGGAATGACTGATAGCCATTGTTCCCTTCCGTGTTCGTAATAGCAAATCGGATGATGTTCTTGAGGGTCGTTTTGAGGTTTGGCGCATCACCGGATTCCAGCACAATAGCTCCACCGTCTCCGGCCGTGATGAATTGGTCGTTGAGTCTGGCCAGCAGACGAGCCAGCGACGAGACATTGGAGCCAACGGTTACTAACGCCGCCGGAATACAGCCATCGTATCTGCAATCGTCAGGGCATGCGGTCAATTATTGGGAACGAATGTTCGCGCTTACGTCTGAGGGGAAGTCGAGCGGACAAAGGACGAAACACTGGAAAGGACCTCGGAGTCGACATCACCTAGAATTTCCTACCCCAAATATTAGACTTGTACCACCGGAAATCGCTTCCAAGGATAAATCACTGACCTGAATCTTCGCTTCCTGGGTCGACCATAGTTGCTGGTATGTTTTATATCGCGCTTCGACGGACTGCTCGTCCTCCTCGCCGTTAAGGAGCGGCACGAAGGGATGTGCTTTCGACTCTTCTTCTTCCTTCTTCGGAGCTACCTTGCGCCGCTTTGAAGGACGCTCCCCTGAGGATTTGCTTCGTTGATCGGCGGGCGTGTAGATATACACACCCTTGGGTCCTTTAGTACGGGTTCGCGACAACGGCCTGGAGGGAGCGGTACCTGGTTGTTGGTGCCATCTTTGGGCGCATTAGCCGCCTCCACCTCTAACGGTTCGAGGTCCATGATGAGCAGCGTCTAGCGCAAGGAGCAATGGAGCTTATCGAGAGGAACAGCTCGTGGGCAAGAAAGAGGAATGGGATGAATTATTTCATGGAGTGACTTTCTTTGCGGCGATCGAGCTCGCGGTGGCGCTAGTCCCGATTGGGGTGAAATGGTTTTCCGCCGCGGAGCTGCTATCCATTCTTATTTTCCGTCAACCTCCTGCAATCCTCGCTCTTGTGCTCTTTTCCAGCTGTCGGTCGGTGTTATTTTGCATCTATATACACCCTTGTTCCATGATTTAAATCGCTCATACTTGATGCTCCGCCAGGCTGTCCGAGGAGCTCGTTGGTATCAGCATGTGGCCCGCGGAAGCCCGTTCTTCCCGCGAGCATTCGCCGCTGTAGCGCCACGCTCCATACACTATGGCGGTCCCAAAGACAAGATCAACTTCTACGAGCAGGATACTCGTAAGAGCAAGATAAGGCGGAAGGTCGACCCAGAAGCAGAGGGGCGCGCCGAGCAGGAAGACGCCGAGAAGGAACTCGCCCGCCTGACCCAAGAGCTAGAAGAGCTGAAGGAAGGCCCGTTCGGCCCCAACAGCCAGTTCATTCGAGAACTACCCGAGGAGGACAGGGCTATTGCACTCGAAGCACTCCGGAAATATGAGGAGGACGAGGCGGCCGGGACGGTCGATGTCAGCCTTAAGGATCTCTACGAGAAGGAGCTCGACGGTCTCTTGAAGAACGAATTTGAAAGCCTGGTCAAGGAAGAGGAGAACTGGCAGTCTGACGAGGAGGACGATTCACGTACACTGGTTGTGCGCCGCCCTTACGAAGTGGAATTGGAGGACTCAAACCTGCAGCCATATGCCGACAAGTTGAACAATTGCCTTCGACGGATCGCGAGTGGCGACTCTAGCCTGCGCTGGGAACAGGAATTGTGGAGGTGGTATCGGCGATGCAAACAGGTCGTCCCGGGATTCGTGGAGTCCTTGTCGGAGGAGACGCTGACTCTCCTATGGGATACTCTGGCCTCGAAGAAGTCCGCCAAACCCCAGGAAACCGCACGGGTATGCACCCTGGCTGAAGACTCGCTATCAGCTGGCCTCACCCTTTCCACGCCTCGTATTCTTTCGTACATTGAAACACTTCATGAATGCGGGGATACTCAAGTGGCATTGGAGAAATGGGAAGCATACCAGGCCGAGCTCAGCCAAAGGAAAGAGGACCTGGAAGCATACTGGAAATTAGGCGTCCGGCTGTTCGCAGCTGAAGACGACCCTCAGCGAGCACAAGATATTGCGCTGGCCTTCTTAGCCAACGATAAGTCACGGCAACCACGCATTCTGATCCCTGTCATCACGGCCTGGGGCAAACGGTCCGGGAAGGAAGCGGAAGTCAAGGCGTGGGCGATGTATCTGCAGCTCAAGGCATTCCTGGACCGGAAGATGACGATGGACGACTACGATCAAGTCAGCATTGGCTTGCTCAAAGCCGGCCGACCGAGCCTTGCCATAGCCGTTTTCAAAGATATGATGGTCACCAACAGCGATCCCCGACACGACTCAACTTCTCTCTACAAAGCCGCCGTCGGCTTAGCAGGCAACCTGCAAGCGTCCAGTATTTCCGAACAAGACGTGAACAAGGTCTCGCTCTCTACCCTGACTGTCCTGCCGCGGAAGTTCCAGAATCGCTTCTTCTACGCCAGCTGGATGAAGAAACTAATCGGCATGGGCGAGGTCGACTCCGCCGCCATGGTTATCGAGCTGATGTACGAACGTGGCGTCAAGCCAGATGCAAAGCACCTCAACGGAGTCATTGCCGCCTGGCTGCGCGACGGCAGCAGCACCTCGCGAGAGAAAGCCGAACGCCTCGGATGGGCCATGGTCCAGCAGCGTATTGACCAAGTCTGGGCGCGCACCACCACCGAGAAGGCTCCCCAACTCGACGTGAACCAGGAGAGCACAGAGGGCGTCCGACTGCCCGAATTCATGAAACGGCCCATGCCAGCCGCCACCATCGAGACCTTCTCCATCCTCCTCCTCCACTACACGCGGCGCAGCGACGACGACATGATCAAATACCTCGTCAAATGCCTCGGCGACGGCCGCATCCACCCGAACTCCTACTTCATGAACCACCTGCTCTACGCCGAGCTTCGCAAACAAGACATCGGCTCCCTCTGGACCAAATACCAATCCCTGTCCGCCATCACCCAACCCGACCTCGAAACGTACGCCTGCCTCTGGGACTGCGGCAAGCTACAATACGACCGCGGCCGAACCGCCTACGTAACCGACTTCCCATCCGCGCGCCACCTCTTCTCCGACATGATCCGCTGGTTCACCAAGCTATCCGCGCGCGCACAAACCGCCACCCGGGGCGAATTCTCCAAGGAACTCTATGACCAAATCATCCGCTGCTTCTGTCTCTCTAAAGACCTCCCCGGCACTCTCGTCGCCCTGTGCACCATGCGCGCGTACTTTGGCTTCTTCCCCGACGACACCACAGCCCGTCTGATCGTGCTACAAGTCGCCCGGTTGGCAGGTGTGCCGGCCGAGACGCCCAAGCGCCGACTCCGTCGGCTGTCCAGCACACCAAAGAGCAAGGAGAATATCAGCCATGTTAACCGGCTCGTGGAGATCCTCAGTGATCGGAAGCTCGGGGCACTCGCGGCCCGCGGTCTGGAATTGAGTGATCTCGAGCAGCAGGAGCGCGAGCAGTATCAGTTGGAGGTTATGACGGAGCTGTTGCGCGTGGTGATGGGCCGGCGGGCGGCTGGAGGGGAGGGTCATGGTGCGGTGGAGGAGGAGATTGCTAAGGTGGCGGAGGAGATGGGGGTGACGGGGGTGGATTTGGGGGTGTCGTTGGGGGATGATTTGTTGTTATAGGTGGGGGTCTATGAGCATGGTTGGCGTTTGGTTGTATCTTTCTACTTCTTGTCCGTTGGTGTGGGTGTATATAAAAAGTGGTGATTCTGGGGGTATACATGTAATATATTATATCATGATGATAGAATTGGATGTCCTCTCTTCAACTAGTAGCTCGTTATTTTCACTTGTCGGTAATACCAGTAGGATTTACCAACCGTCGTATTATTCTTAACCATGTACTGCCAGCTTCAGTATGCAATGGTCTGGAACTGACCAGGATACAACACCAGTAGTAACAATAGTATCCCACCTTGAATTGCACACTACATACACAGGCTCCGTACTCAACAGCTACAGCCACTCAATCTAATATCATCAACAACGAAAATAGAGAAGGATATATATTGATCATAATACACCGAGCCCATATAACTTAACGTAAACCCAGCAAAATGAAGTCAAATCTATTTCTTCCCCTTCTTCTCAGCACTCTGCTCATCCGCCTCCACCAACACCGCATCATCATCACTCCCCGCCACCGAAGGCGGCGCACCAGACGACTCGGGCGTCTTAGTAGCAGGCGTAGGAACACCAGATCCTTCCTCACTAGTAGTCGTCGACGCGGCCGCTGGAGCAGCAGCAGCCTTCTTCTCACCCGCCTCCACCTCCTCCTTCTTCTCCGCCTCCACATCCAACTCCTTCATATACCCCTCCTTCCTCTTCTCCCACCACTGCTTCTCCTCCTCCAACTTAGCCTGCTGCTTCTCCATCCGTTCACGGAAAATAGCATTGTTCAGCATTTCATTAGCGGATTGGAAGATTGTTTGGCCCCAGCCGGGAACGTAGGCGTTTGCCTATCGCAAAAGTTAGCATATTACAGCGTCCACATCATACATCAAGAACAGAAAGGAAATAGATTTTCTTACCTCAGCAACAACATCCCTAACCTCATCCTCCATTTCTTTCTCGGCACGCAGAAACCTCTGCCACAGATCATCCCCGACACTACCGCGCTGGAGGAGCATCGCGAGGGCGCCCTTCTGCGTGCGCAGGGCCATGACGCGTTTAATGTCTTCGATGGCGCGACGCAGGAGAGCGGATTTCAGGACACTGTCGGGCACGGAGGAGGGCGGTTTCTTGCCGGTGCCTTTGTTGTCATTGCTAGCGGAGGGGTCGAGGTGTAGGAGGGAGAAGTAGATGTCGCGTTGCGTGTGTGGCGGGAACCAGGGTTCCAGGGAGAGGGACTTGCCTGTTTTTTGGGGGGGAGGGTTTGGTTAGTTGGGATGGTTTGGGGGGAGGAAGAAGGAAAGGACGTACGGGCTTTGCGCTTGCGGTAGAGGGAGGAGAAGGTTGCGAGGGAGCCGAGGAGGACGCCGAGGTAGGCGAAGGGAACGGCGAGGGTGAGCCAGTTGACCATTTTGGTTTTGTTA